TTTTAACTAAATTTAATTTTTTACAAATAATTTATTTACTTACAAAAATATGAATGATATTCATAATATAAAAATTAAAATAAAATCTATCTATCTAATTTTATTTTAGGTTAAAAAACTTTTTCAAAATATTAAATAATAAAATATATAATATTATTCAAACATTTTATATTTATTCATTTTTTTTCACCAGTAGTTTATCAAGAATCTTATCTTAAAGATAACTAATCTTTTTGATTTAAGACACATGCTTCTTACTTTGAAGTTTTATGATTAATTAATATATCTAAAATTTTTAAAATAAATTTATGTAAATTTTAAATAAATATCAAATAGAATAAACTTTTAAATTAAAATTATTACTTAAATTAATAAATAAAATAATATTGGTGGAATAAAAAAATAAATCAAAAAAAACCTATCAAATAAATTCAAAGAGCTTTTTTTTTTATATTCATTTTTAAAGTTTAAAATATGAAAAAATGAAGAAAAATATGAAAAAATAAGATTAATTAGTAATAATAGCAAAAGTTGAAAAATAATGATGAGTTAAATTAACAAAAAAAAAGCAAGCACAATAAAAAGAAAAAAGAAAAAAGAAAAAAGAGCTTTATTGTTTTTAATTAGTTTTTATAATTAAAAATATCACAATCCAAAACAAATAAACTGTTTTTACTGAAGGCTAAGTGTCAAATTTGAGAGATTAATGCACTTTGATAAAGCAGAACCTAAGTCTTATGCACCTTAGTCACCAATTTAATTTTCACTTTTTAAATATTGAAGAAAAAATATATTATTAAATAGTTAATTAGAAGGAAAAAATGAAGAAATAATAAGATTAATTAATAATAAAAGCAAAAGATGAAAATAACATGATGAGTTAAATTAACAAAGAAAGAACAAAAAAAAGCAAGCACAATAAAAACAAAAAGAAAAAAGAGTTTTATTGTTTTAAATTAGTTTTTATAATTAAAAATATCGCAATCCAAATCAAATAAACTGTTTTTACTGAAGGCTAAGTGTCAAATTTGAGAGATTAATGCACTTTGATAAAGCAGAACCTAAGTCTTATGCACCTTAGTCACCAATTTAATTTTCACTTTTTAAATATTGAAGAAAAAATATATTATTAAATAGTTAATTAGAAGGAAAAAATGAAGAAATAATAAGATTAATTAATAATAAAAGCAAAAGTTGAAAATAAAATGATGAGTTAAATTAACAAAGAAAGAACAAAAAAAAGCAGGCACAATAAAAACAAAAAGAAAAAAGAGTTTTATTGTTTTAAATTAGTTTTTATAATTAAAAATATCACTCCAAATCAAATAAACTGTTTTTACCGAAGGTTAAGTGTCAAATTTGAGAGATTAATGCACTTTGCTAAAGCAGAACCTAAGCCTGATGCACCTTAGTCACCAATTTCATTTCCACTTTTTTAATATTGAATAAAAAATATATAATTAAATAGTTAATTAGAAATAAAAAATGAAGAGAAAAAATTAAATAATAAGATTAATTAGTAATAAATGCAAAAGTTGAAAATATAATGATGAATTAAATTAACAAAGAAAAAACAAAAAAAAAGTAAGCACAATAAAAAGAAAAAGAAAAAAGAGCTTTATTGTTTTTATAATTAAAAATATCACAATCCAAAACAAATAAACTGTTTTTACCTAAGGTTAAGTGTCAAATTTGAGAGATTAATGCACTTTGCTAAAGCAGAACCTAAGCCTGATGCATCTTAGTCACCAATTTCATTTAGACTTTTTAAATATTGATGAAAAAATATCTGATTAAATATTTAATTAGAATGAAAAAATGAAGAAAAAATATGAAATAATAAGATTAATTAATTAATAATAAAAGCAAAAGTTGAAAATAAAATGATGAGTTAAATTAACAATGAAAGAACAAAAAAAAGCAGGCACAATAAAAACAAAAAGAAAAAAGAGTTTTATTGTTTTAAATTAGTTTTTATAATTAAAAATAAATCAAATAAACTGTTTTTACCGAAGGTTAAGTGTCAAATTTGAGAGATTAATGCACTTTGCTAAAGTAGAACTTAAGCTTGATACACCCATTGAACCAATTTAATTGTAACTTTTTAAATATTGAACAAAAAATATATCATTAAATAGTTAATTAAAAGGAAAAAATGAAGAAAAAATATGAAACAATAAAATTGATTAATTAATAATAAAAGTAAAAATTTGAAAATAAAATAATAAGTTAAATTAACAAAGAAAGAACAAAAAAAAGCAATTAATATATAAAGAAAAAGAAAAAAGAGCTTTATTGTATTTAATTAGTTTTTATAATTAAAAATATCACAATCCAAAACAAATAAACTGTTTTTACTGAAGCTTAAGTGTCAAATTTGAGAGATTAATGCACTTTGCTAAAGCAGAAACTAAGCCTGATGCACCTTAGTCACCAATTTAATTATTACTTTTTAAATATTGAAGAAAAAATAAATCATTATATAGTTAATTAGATGGAATATATGAAGAAAGAATATAAAATAATAAGATTAATTAATAATAAAAGCAGAATTTAATAATAAAATGATGGGTTAAATTAACAAAGAATGAACAAAAAAAAGCAAGGACAATAAAAAGAAAATGAAAAAAGAGCTTTATTGTTTTTAATTAGTTTTTGTAATTAAAAATATCACAATCCAAATCAAATAAACTGTTTTTACTCAAGGTTAAGTGTCAATTTTGAGAGATTAATGCACTTTGCTAAAGCAGAACCTAAGCCTAATGCACCTTAGTCACCAATTTCATTTCCACTTTTTTAATATTGAATAAAAAATATATAATTAAATAGTTAATTAGAAAGAAAAAATGAAGAAAAAATATGAAATAATATGATTAATTAATAATAAAAGCAGAATTTAATAATAAAATGATGGGTTAAATTAACAAAGAAAGAACAAAAAAAAGCAAACAAAATAAAAAGAAAAAGAAAAAAGAGTTTTATTGTTTTAAATTAGTTTTTATAATTAAAAATATAACAGTCAAAAACAAATAAACTATTTTTACCGAAGGTTAAGTGTCAAATTAGAGAGATTAATGCACTTTGCTAAAGCAGAAACTAAGCCTGATGCACCTTAGTCACCAATTTAATTATTACTTTTTAAATATTGAAGAAAAAATAAATCATTATATAGTTAATTAGAAGGAAAAAATGAAGAAATAATATGAAATAATAAGATTAATTAAGAAATAATAAAAGAAAAAGTTGAAAATTAAAGGATGAGTTAAATTAACAAAGAAAGAATAAAAAAAAGCTAGTACAATAAAAAATAAATAAAAAAATAGCTTTATTGCTTTAAATTAGTTTTTTTTATTAAAAATATCACAATCCAAATCAAATAAACTGTTTTTACTCAAGGTTAAGTGTCAAATTTGAGAGATTAATGCACTTCGCTAAAGGAGAACCTAAGCCTAATGCGCCTTCGTCGCCAATTTAATTTTAACTTTTTAAATATTGAAGAAAAAATATATCATTAAATAGAGTAAGTTATCATACAAATTTACAAAAAGCGAGTTTTAAAAACTTTGTTTTTACTTTTTATAAGTTTGTAAAATTTTTCAAAAAAAATGATATTTTTTAAAAATATAATGTATATATATTTCAAATTTTACATTTTGTGAATTTCTAAAAACTCAAAAATAAAGCTGTTTAAAGCTAATTTAGCTTTATTTATTATGTTATTAGGATATATTACATTTTGTCTTTTTTAAATTAAATAGGCGTTTCACTTTATTAAATTAAAAGAGCTTTAATGTTTTAAATTAACTTTTTTTATTAAAAATATTACAATCCAAAACTAATAAACTACTTTTACTAAGTGTAAGTTTTAATGGCAAAAAAGGAAGAAAAAATATCAAATAATAAAAAATCAATAATAAATAATAAAAAATTGAATTGAAAATTAAGTTATAATCACTAAAAAATTTTTGTTTTGATAAAATTCAATGAATAATGATGATAATTTCAATTTATAAAAAATATTAATAATAATAAAAATAATGTTTGTAAATAAAATGTACATGAGATCAATATGGAGAACCTAATGAGATAAAAGTGAAGAGCTTACAAACTTTTTTTATTAATTTATATAAATGTAAAAGATATTAATACAAAAATTAATAATTACTTCTTCTAAATTGTCGTAATATTTAATTTATTATATCATTTTTTTTTTTCAAAAATAAATATTGAATAGTAAGCAATTTATGAAATTTAATAAATTAATTAATTATAAATGGATAAAAAGAACAAATAAAATATAATAATTAATTTATAAATTTGGTTTTATGAAGAGATTTTACATAAAAATTAATTAATATTCATTATTTAATCTTAATATTTTTATTTAAAACATATACTTAAAAATATATATAGTAGGAATTAAATATGATTAGTTAGTCATATTTGAAAAAATTCTATAAATTAATTAATCTTCTTAAAAATAAAGAAACAATTAATTTAAAAATAAACTATTAATATAATGATAGATTTCACAATTTTTTATATATAAATTAATTAATATTTAATTAAATAAAATAAGAAAAGGAAAAACAACATAAAATTAATTATCAATAAATTTAAATATTCTTTTTTAAATTCAATAAAATAAAATTAAAATTAAAATTATTTATTTTAAATTAAAAAGTAAACAAATAAATATATAAATATAAAATAACATAAAATTTGAAAAGTAATTAATTATTTAATTTTTTAATTAATTTTAGCATGTAGCATTTCAGCTACAGAAAAAATTTGCTGCAAATAGCAATATTCAAGCACATCAGCCATTCAAAAAATAGTGAATTCAATTCACTAAATTTTAGAAAGGCATTTGGTTATTATTTTTATTTTATTTTTGAGTATTAATAGAATACTATCAATCATCATACGATAAATCAAGGAATATATGTTCTGGAGAATATGTCATGAATTCTGCTATGTATTTATTGAAGGCTACTTTTCTAATGATTTGTTTATCAATTTAGATATTCATGAGGTTATTTATGTAAGATTTATAATATGGCTTTATGTGATTATAGACAGTTACTTTCAAGTTTTATTTACTTTTCATTTGTATTTTTTCGTATATTGACTCTACTTGACTAGGTGTTATCCTGCTGTTATCGTAAAATTTAATGTCAAGAATGGCTAGAGATTTATTTTAGCTAAACTTCTAAATCACATTATCAGTGATAAAATTTTCAGGGTGGACACAAGTTAAAGCGAGTTGTTTTATGTTTAGATTAGAGAGTTGCTCGTAAAATTAGTTGATATTTGGATTAAATTCATTTGATTATAATAATTGGATTTATAGAACTTATAAGGACTTTACTTATTGAAGAATTTATATAAAATCTTAATTTAACCTACCGAATTTCTATTGGAAATCTATTTTTAATGATAATTCTTTCAGAGTGGTGTTATTTTCTAAGAATTGTATCAAATATTTTAGATAATTGCTTGTATTTATATTGATTGAGATGCTAGTTAATTTATTTTTTAGGCCTTTTAATTATTCTAAAATACTCTCTGTAAATTATTTGTTCCCAGAAGAAATATGCAGTTTCTACAGTCCTATATTTTGATCAAAGAATTTTAAATTTTAGAAGTTATCTGTGTTAAGCTTTTATTATACATTGTAAGTGATTTCTTTAATTTTATTATTCTGCTTTAGTATTGCGGAGAGTTGCTTTATGTTAGTAGAAGTATCTATCTACAAGTTAAGATAGATATCTTTATCTAACTATTGTAATTATTGATGTAGATGTAAAGTTTTTTCCTAAAAATTGTAATTAAAAGTAATTTTTTTAATGTTATTGCATTGACTAAGTATCTAAATGCATTGCCCAAATTACTTTGTATCTACTTGGCCTTTTGTGTTTTAAAATATGATGATTTCTTCAACATGCTTTTATAAAATATCCACTCCAAGTTATTAAATTCTTTTTAAGTTTATTCCTAATATTTAAACTTTTTCAGAAAGTGAGATGATTTCATGTACAGATGAATATTCCTACTTGTACTCTGGATCAAATTTCTCTAGAACTATCATTTTTAGGTTAAACTTTTCTATTTATATATCGTTCGTAACATTTTAAACAGTATCTTTAATATATAATTGCTCTAAAAGAGGAAATATGATCAAGTAGAGCTTAGTCTGAAGAAGGCAGTTCAAAATTTAAGAATCGATAGCTAATGTGTGAATGTTTTTATTATCTCCAATCAAATCAATAATGAAATCGATTTGGCCTGTATTCTTTAGTGTTACAGAGTATTATTTTTTATGAACAAGCTACTTAATACTCTAAAAAGAGTTAGCGGTTGTAACATTAGTCTCTTCATCTGCATCAAAAATTAAATGATAGGAAGCTTCGAAATTATTTTAAAGCCTTTTCACGACTTCTTCATGAGCCTAAAGTTAAAAAATGTAGTCTTTAACTAAGATTTAATTCATTTTATAAGTTATTTGCTTTTCCAATATGTTTTGTGAATATTTATTTAATATATTATTTATCAAACCATTCTCATTTAATTGTGGTTAAAAAATTAACTCCTTACTTATCAGAAAAAAAGCTTGATAGATAAATCAATATATGTGATAATTAATTATTAAATTATCTTTCTCTTTTTTTCTAATCAGAATTTAAAAAGTTAAATAAAGTAGCTACGAATTAAGAAAAATTTAATTAAAACGACAAAGAATTTTAGAAATAGAAAAGCTAATATTATGAAGAAGATTTAATAAACAAATCAAAATTTGTATTTCTTAATTGTAAATATGTAAAATTAATACTAGTGATGCTAATAACAATGATATTTAATTACTTTTTAGTATTTTTTCTAATCAAAGCCAAGAGATTAAATAAATTAGATACAAATTAAGAAGAATTCAAATAATATAATAAATCATTTTAGAAATAGAAAAGCTAATTTTATTTAAAAAAGATTTGATAAATAAATTAAAATTTGTTTTTTTTATTAGTAGATAAATGTCCATAATACTAATACTGATCATCGTAATAATAATAAAATTAACCTATTTATATTTTTCTAATCAGAATTTAAAATAAATATTAAATAAATTAGATATAAATTTAGAAGAATTTAATTACTATAATAAAGAACTTTAGAATTTATTTTATTTAATAGAAGATTTCTTAAATAAATTAAATAAATTTCCTTTTACATATTGAAGGTACCGAAATTCAATTTTAAAATAAAAAAAGAGAAAGTTTATTTATAATTTACTTTAAAAAGCTAACTTACTACTTTTTTCAATTTATTTTTTTTATTTCTTTTTAAAAATTATTTTAATATAATTTTTTTAGAAAATATTTCTTTTTTAACTTAAAAATAGCAAATTTTTAAAGTCTAAGAAAATTTAATTTTAAATGATCAGAAATGAAAAAAGAATATAATAAATTCAAGGAGTTTTTAAATTTTTTTCTAGAAAAATAAGGTTACTAAAATAAAAAATAAATATCTGCAAAAAAAATTGATAAAAAACTTGTCTATAATAACTTTATATAGGATGAATTTGATAATAAAATGTGCACGTGTTTGTTTTAAAGATACCAAATGAAAAACCAAAATATATTTTTAAATTTATTCAAATATTTCACTTTTTTCTAAATTTATAATAGAATAAAATTTTTAAAGTAGATTAATGACTTAGATTGATATTTTAATAAGTTTTGTTTATTTTTTATTTAGTATAAAATATTTTTAAAATTTTAAACTTAATTAATTTTATAAATTTATTTTATATTAACGTAAATCATTAAATAAAATAAAAAATATTGGATTTATTTTTCATTTATTTCTATTTTAGTTTGAATTTGTATTTTTAATATATCTTAAAATCTAATAAATCGAATTCATAATTATTTTTGAAATTATTAACTGATTTATATAACTAATTAAATTTTATAAAATATTTTATATATATATGAATTCTATTAGAATGATATAAGATACTCAAAATGAACAAGGACACTAAATATTTTAATGAATTAGGATGCTCATAATTTTTTATTAAATTATTAAATAGAACAAAAATCAGAATAATATTAAAAAATTTTCAGCTAATAGCTTTAATTAGTTAGAGTGTAGAATTATCTTCAATAAGCTTTTTATTAGGAATGAAAATAATTGAATATTTAATTATTTTGATGTTTCTTTCCATTTTTCTAACTAAAAAAGCAGCTAGAACCATTTAAAATATAATAATAAAGATATTTCCTAATATTATTAAAATAAACTTTTATATTCTTTCCTCTGATTCAATAAGTTCTATTGATTTTTAGAAGTATTATTATGATAAATCAAGAATATCTAACAGTATCATACTCATTTTTACGTAATCGAATGTAGTTGGGTCACTTTGAGCAGGAGTATCTAAATAGAATTAAAACATTTGCCTTAAGACTTTTAATAAACCTTCACTAAATACTCCATAATTTACTGATGCGCATTCTTCTTATAATTGTGGTGAAGAATCAAAGATTAAACAGCTATTTGCTTGGTTGAGTTATTGGATTTTAGCAGAATAATAATACTGCTAGCCTTTGATAGGAATAATCTGAAAACTTTCTAGATAATATGAACTTATCTATTTAATATTATTATTAAAAAACTGAACAGAAAACTTTTAAGAGTCTAACTAAGGTTAGTAGTTGATTAGCTGATGAGCTGTATTTAAACAAGATAGTTCGCTTATTTTTTGAGAGTATTCTTTGTATTAATTTAATGGCTCTACTAGAGTATTTAGTTATTTATAAGTTACTGCAAATATCTATATTTTATATGAAATTTTTTTTTATTATCAATTTAAAAATTTAAAAAATTAAAGTTAAAGTGCTTAAAAATAATTTAATAAATATTTAGAAAGGTATAAAATAAAATATTACAATAGCTTGAAGGATAACACTCATTGATGCAACTATAGAAGTAAAGATAATCATTTTAATAAAAATAAAATTTTAATGTTTTATATTATTGTAAAGAACTTAGCTGTGGTAAGTTTTATCTTATTTTTAAAATATTAAAAGTTTATCATGATGAATTTGTTTGCTATTTATCATATGTGAACGTTCTAAATCATATTAAATGTACTAATCTTCATTTTATTCTAGAAAACTAATAATGTTAGAGAGTTTAATATATTCTTACTGTGCTTCATTTTAACTTATCTTTGCACTTATGAAAAGGTATTGTTAGATGATATCTCTAAACTTAAAGTTTATTTTTATTAAAAGTAAAAAAGCTATAAAGATTAGTGCAACAACCAATATCAAAATTATCAAATTCATATTTTAAATAGTTGTGAATCTGTTATTTATTTAATCTTTTATTTTCTCGCTAAAATTTTCTAGAATAGAATTTAACTGGAAAATGTTACTGGCTGGTGTTTGTATTCCATAATAGTTATTTTACGATGTAGCCTTGAATATATCAGAAAGAAAGCTTTCTAATTAATTAGTTATTGAATTTTGCAACTCATATTCTTAATTTAAGCTATTGTATTCACTAACATGGCTATTTAGCAGCTAACTCATCACTGAAATTAATTTTTTATAACTTTGATTTAAATTTAACTGATAAAACACTTAGTTGCTTGCTATTAAATAAAATTTAAATAAGAATTAAATTATATAAAGAATAAATAAATAAATTATATTTTATTAATCATAGCGTAAATGTATTTTTTTTAAAGACGCATTAACTAACTAATTAACACCTCTTTAACCTCAATAACACTGTTTATAATTAAATTTAGAGGGGAGGTAAACTAGGTGATTGAAGAAGAGGAATAATGGTTATATAAAGAATAAATAAATTATATTTTATTTATCAAAGCTAATGTATTTTTTTTAAAGACGCATTAACTAACAAATTAATACCTCTTTAACCTCAATAACACTGTTTATAATTAAATTTAGAGGAGATATAAACTAGGTGATTGAAGAAGAGGAATAATGGTATTTCATTTAAATTGCTTTTATAAAAAATTATGAATCAAGCAAAAACTAGCTAGGTTGTTATATTAATAATAGATCAATAATTAAATGTAATTCGAAATAAAAAATAAATTTATTACAATCATTTTAAAGACCAAAAACAGATGAAATGGCTTGCGAATAAGAAAATGTAGTTGTTTCTTATATTTAGTAAAGATTAGAGTCTTCTATAATTTAATTTACATAATTATTACAAAAGATTTATGAACCAGCAGCAGCAAAGATATGAAGGCAAAAAATAAATAGAAATATGACTTTAGTGAAAGCAATAAAGTTTTGTTTTTTATGAGAGTAAGCAATTCTGTGAATTTTCTGAACTTTCTTTGCTACTTCTGATAAACGACTAGATTTCTCTGATGTTACGTCGTTTTCTTTATTCTTTCCTTCACTTCTAATACTGAACTTTTCTTCATTTTAATCATTGTTGTTTTACTTATCTTTTTTCTGAATTTAGTTTTGATCTTCTTCTTCACCATCATCATCTGAAAGCGCACACTCTATGTTAATTACGTTATTTTTTTCTGTAGCCTATTAAATCTTCATAATAACTTCTTATTTGTTTGTTTTTTTCGAAGTTTTGCTTTCCTTGTCAGTAAAAGCTGTAGCTTTGGTGAACCGTGAATCATTTTATTCTGGATTATTTTATTCGCTTTAACTTTGAAGAATATCAATTTATTTCTGTGATTTACTGCTGTTTTGCATAGTTTTCATTTTCAGTTAGACATTACAGTTTTTTATTTTTATTTTTTTCACTTTAGGACTTAAACTTTCAAGACTTCCTTCGTCTTCTATTTGGTCAACTTTTTAACTGCTCTATGAACAGATTTTAATAGAAACTTTTTTTGGCTTTTTAATACGTAAATGAGTAATTTCAATTGCTCGTTAGTGATGATCATCATTTAGCTGAGTTAGGCTCTTAAAATTTTCTTATTCATCCATAATATGACAGTCATTTATTAATAAATTATTATTTGAAAAAGCATTAAATATTTTTTCTTATTAGTTATTTATTTAGGCTTAAGAGTAGTTAAATAAACTCTCTCTTGGAGAGACCATGTTAGTTTAAGAATGGATTTACTCAAACTCCCTCTATGATGGTAAAAAACTTAGATTATTATGACTGTTAACACTTATGATATTCCTTTATGATACAGTAAAAGGAATATTATCAAATTTTTGATCTAAAATTTAATTTTTTTAATTTAATCCCATAAAGCAGTCATTTTCTATTATTTTACATGAAGAGTTAACATTTGAGATAAACCTTAAATTATTATTTTCGCAGAACTTAGGAAGTGTGCTCAATTTTTATTCAAATTACTCATTCATAAAGTCAATATCATGATCCATTTCATCTAATTAAGAAAATAAATTTTACTCTTTTTCATCAAGGAATTTCATTGATTTATTTGTTTTGATTGTATTTTTTTACTAGAAATTTAGCTCTTCATGGTCTATTCCCTCACAAGAATTAAAAGGATTGGATGTTATTTTAGTTGAATGAGTATCTTATTTTGTTAGCTTTATTTCTTCTTAGAATTTAATTTATTTAGAAGGTTATATTTCATTTTTGAAAGATGCTTATTTGTTATTGATTAAAGTTGTCATTGAAGGAATTTACATATTAGAAAAAGTTTAATCTTAAGAATATTAAGAAAACTATGAGTTATATAGATGTTAATTTCCTTCGTTATTCTTAATAGGAGTAATTCTGATTATTTCTAAAATGTACAAAGTCAACTACTCTCCACTAATTAAAGAGAATTTGTTTTATATTAAATTAGCCTTAATATCAAACTGAAATATATCTTCATTATCAGCAATATCAACTTCATCTTCGAATTCTTCTAAAATTTTTATTATGTGAAATATCAATTTGTTAATGTGTCTGTCTTTTCTCCAGTAATTCTTAAATCTTATTATCATTTCATTCATACCTTCATTTTATAAAATTAATTAAATATATTAATCACATACCGTGGTTTCTCATATATTAAGGACTTTTTTCAATAAACTGTAAAAAAATCTGAATTAATTAAGGACTAAATTTGATCAAAAGTTTTTATCTGAATATGTCCTCAATATATGAGAAACTACGGTATAATGCATCAACAATATGAAAATTACTATACTTAATAAAATAATTATCTTTGCTTCAGCTACAAAGGTAATTTTAATTAAAATTAGTAAACACTAAATTAAATTTTATATTTAGTATTAGTTGGAAAAATAATTAAATATGTACTTGTTTTTGTATGAATTTAATCACATGAAGAGTTAAATAAAATAAATTTATCTTAAAATAAAGCATTTTTTTAAAATAAATTTTTTTAATATCAATAAAGGTTTATTTTTTACTAGAATTGAGTTTGAGGACACACTTAAGATTGTTAATCTTGCCTTTATGTGAACATTATCTTAAATATGAATCTAAGTCTTCAATGAAGAGCTACATATTGGAATGTACGAGTTACTGGACTGTAATTTAAGGACATACTATTTGACAAAATTCAAAGAAATTTTAGGAAAAACTATCTATGAAACCATGCTGATCAATTAAGACATATTATGAATTGGATGGCTTTCTAACAATTAGAGAGCTAAAAATGAAATCATTATGAAGCTCAAAAAAATAATTAATGTAAATTTTAACTGGGAATATAAATCCTTATTTGCTTTTAGCAAAGGCTTATCTGTATTATCTTAAAATTTTCGACTAGCCAGAGTCAATAAATCTTTCTAAAAATAGATCATGCTTTTCTCCGATCGTTTAAGGCATGATTTCGTTCACACTTTAAAGAGAATCAAATTCGAGTTTTTTATACCCGAAAAATATCGGGGCACTCGCTGAATATTTGAGTATTTTCCCTACTTTTGTTCTGAAGTGAGCAATAATTGTTGCGACATTTCCTTACAAAATCTCTTATCCTAAAATTGTGTACTAAGAAATATAATAATCTACTTTTTTTAAAGATTCTGTTAATTTATTTTCTAAATATAGAGCTTGTTTTAAGTCTTAAAAAAGCACAGCATAAAATATTGTGAGCAGTTTAATAAAATGAGGAGAGTTTTTGTGAGTTAAATTAAAAAATTCTACTTTTGTTTGAAAATATTTGCATTTTTTAATGATATTTTTTTAATCTTTGTAAAGATCATACAAAGAAGCATAACCAATAATCAGCTTCTCAAAGTAAATTTGCTTCAATTTAATTAAATCTTGCAATCTATGGTTGAAAAACTTTTTAATTTCTTCTGTAACAACAAACGAATCAAAATTTTCATATCCTCTAGCCTCTAAATTGTCTTTCTTTCTTATAGAGTATTTTAAAGCTTTGTCTTTATTTTTGATTTCATTTTCTATCAAATCAGATAGTGACTTTTCAACTACTTAAAAGTAATAAGGCTTTGAATCAATGTGAAATGCCCATTTCCTGACAAAGTAGAGAGCCTTAATAAAATTCGCTATTTATAATAGAAAATATCTTATATGAAAGTTTGTTTAACCATCAAATGCAATAATTAATTTGTATTTTCATAATTTCATTTTAAAAATTTTAATTTTGAGAAAGGTAAATAACTCATTATGATTAAAAAACTGACATCAAATGTAATCTAAAGTTATAAAGAATTCATTATATGGAACAATTTTCCTTCTAACATGTAGAAAAAATAATTAAAAAAATAATTGAATCAATTTTTAATTAATTTTTTTTCAGCTGATTAATTGTAATCGCCCTTAATTAACAAAATTTTCAATCTGTAACAAAAAAGTTAAAAGATTCTTAAATAATTAAGAGATCCTAATGATAATTCAATTTTAGAAATTTAATTAAAAAATCATTTATAATTAAATGTATGGTTAATTAAATTTATACATTTTTTGATTATAAAATTCTCAGCTATTAACTAAAACAAACCTTCAAATTGCATATTTAAAAACAAAATATATTCGAAAAATTATTCTTGTTTTTAAAAAAATTCTAAAAATATGTTTTTAAAAATTAGATTGAAACATGATTATTATTGTTTTATGCAATCCAATCCATGTTTTCCTTTCTTAAAATAAATGTTTTCCTATTTAAAAAGATATATATTTGAATTATAAAATGTAACTTTTTTAAATAATTATTTATTTTTATGAGGTAGTTTGTTTAAATGACTACTTTCTTAGATGTTAATTAAAAAGGCGTTTGAAAAAATTTACCTTTTATTTCTATTTCGAAGTAAATGTAGCGTATACCTAAGCTAATTAAAAGTTAAAATTCTCTTTAAGAATAAAGATGTCTTAGAAGTTATTCGTATTAATAATCTATAAATTGCAGAGTCCATTTTTTGAAACTTAAAAAATCTTGTTGAAGCACTGAGAAGTTTATTTTTGTTAACTTTTGATGTCCACAATATGATTTTTGTTTTATAGTTGATTGTCTACTTAACTAACTTGTTTATTTTAAAGTAGACGTTTGAGTGGATTTTGTAAATGAACTTTTTTGCTTTCTTTAGTAATTCATTTTTTCAAAATCAAATGCTGCTTGGGTGAATACTTAAGGATTACTTACTTCAGAAAATTGAGCTTACTTAGGAGTAGAGGATGATATAGATTATTTCATAGTTTAGCGTAGAGATCTGCCGTAGCTAAGAGACATATTTTTCATTTTCATAACCTCATATTCTTCTATATCTTCTTTATCACTGTAAATATTCTTTCTTGTTGTTTTGAATTACTCTATGTCAAATTTCTTTCCAACGGCATTAATAGGCACCAGACTACCATTGTTAATGTGCTTGCGTGAATCATAATCTTCATTCTAAATAATTTAATATTTGCAAGGACAAAAACTATCTATGCAATATCTCTAGTGAACTTCAAAGATCCCTAATAAAGTCAATTAATTTTGATATGTCTTCTCCATTAATAAATTAACAATCTCTAACAAAGCATTAACTGTTTCTTAAGGTTACTCTTTAAAAAAAGAAAAATCAAACGTTCTAGATTTATGTAACCTTATCCTTTCCCATTAAACTAAAACTCCTCCCATAAAACTGCCTAAAATTAGCTTCATAATAAATAAAACATTATATTTTTTATTATATTAATTTGAAATCATTTTTATTTAACACCTCAAAAAAAAATGTTCCAAAAAATGATTTTCATTTGAAATTAATTTCATAGTTATCAAATAATTAATTAATTTGTGTTAATTTTCAAATACTTAATGTAGATTTTTATAACAATTAGTCATATTTTTAAATATCACCAAAATTTTTTTTGAATTAATAAAATATAAATTGAATTTTTTGATATCAATTTAAGGTGAAAAAATGGTGAGGAATTATAGTAAATTTTTTTTATTTATTGTAATCTATTTTTTGGGTTATTAACTTTAAGAATATTATTTTGTAAATGTAAATAAAAATTTAATATTTAAATTACTCTTTAATAAAAGTCACTAAAGATAATAAATTAATCAGTAATAAATAATAATATAAGAACTATTACTAAATTTAACTAATTTTTGTTTTGAAGTAATTGGATACTTTTAAAGAATGCTCAAGAAGAAGTTGATTTTAATTTATATGAAAAGCAAGAAAGGCAAATTAATTAATTTTTAATCATTACATATTTTATATTTTTCTATATGATTTTCCTAATAATTTTACCTAAGAAAAAATTTAAATTCTTTGTTTTGAGTAATAATTAGATATTTTCTAAAATCTGAATACCTAATTGTATTTTATTAGATATTCAATTTAAAACTGTAAAATAATCTATATTTTAAAATACTATCAAAATTAAGCTTATTTGCTATTTATTATTTTTAAAACTTATTTTTTAGAGCTAAATTAGTTTGTTTAAAAATTTAAATTTTATATTTGCATTTGTTTTGTTTTGTTTTATTTTATTTATTTTCCAAAAATTTCACCAATGTTCTCACTATGAAATAATAAGAATATGTAAATAATATCTTACGAATATGAAAAGGAAGTTAGAATCGCTCAATTGATTATAGTGTCTAATGTGGAATAGGATTGTGGCAGCTAAGTAAAAGTTTAAAAACACAGCGTAAATATGTGAGATACTTTTAGTGAATAGCGGATAAGAAAAGAAGTATTAAATGATATAAAACAGAGCTAGAATCTCAAAAGCAAATAAAGAAATTAAACTACCAAAGTAACTTAATACATGGGCAACTAAAATAATTGAATAGTCAAATAGCTTTAAATAAGTAAACTGACTTCTTAGACCATTAATAGGAATAAATTATGCTATAGAATGAATGATACTATTTATTACTGACAAACCAATACCTAGTACTATATTAATTATAATTAATATATATCTTAAAGAATTATCTTAATATTGTATATTATTTTAGCATTTATTGCTCAAATTTTGCTAGCCTTAAACACAAAACATCATACTTGATGTGATGTCAGCTTAAATATTAAACAATATCCATCTCTGCATCTCTAAGAAAAATGTTGTATAACCCATAAATATTAATCCATTCTTAAATTTTTTATCACTAAGATTTGTAGTAGATCTTCCTAAAATGTAAAAAGTTATAAGAAAGAAAACTTCTAATAAAATGAGCAATAAGTTAATTATAATGCCTTGGGCTTCTTGCGATATTTATAAAAAGTCTTTCAATAGAGGTGATATTCGAATATACTCGCATCCCTTTAAAATATAATACAAAATCTTATCTTAGACCTAGTCTTAGCTAGAAGAAACAGATCCAATCAGCTGTAAGAAAAAAATAATGATTAAAAAGTGATAGTAGAATTTGGGTCGTGTAAGCTATTTCTCAAAGTAATTGACAAAATAAAAGACTTTTGAGCTTCTTTAAAGAAAATGGTCTCTAACTGGATTATAAAATGTTCTTATTTTTAAATTTTTAAGCTATTTCCAATGATCTTCTTTTTATCTTTCTACATTTTTTAATACTTTTCTCATGCTTTGTTGTTTAATATCCTTTACTCAAAGTCTTATTTTCTTTCTTTTTGTTTTATAAAAGATTTGATTATATATATCTACTGATAATTATCAGCCAAATTTCTTCTTAAGAAATTAATTAACAAATACTAAAAAATATAATTTTGAATGGTATTGTTATTTGTAATAAATTAATAGAATGTTGTGTAATAATTATCTAATAGATTGAATACTTTCTATGTTTATTTTTATAATAATCTTTATTTTTTATACTGGAAAATTTAAAAAAGAGTAACAACATTCATGGACTACAAAATATCTAAAAAGTTATTATTTTATTCCATTAATTAATTTTACTTTATTTTTTTTCTATCTATAGAATTAGAATTTTTTTCTTTTTGTTATTATTTTCATGATAAATTTGATATTTTTATTTATTAATTTTATGATGGATTTAAGTAAGTAAGTATCTTTTGAATATTGTAGTATCTTTTAATAATTCATATATCTGCTTATTTTTATTTGAAAGAGTTAAATAGAAAGAAAAGAAATCTTAGAAAATTTACATAGAAAAAGCATATTTATCATCTAATTTTAATTAATTGTCAAAATTAGTTTAATTATTTGATTTTAATAATATCAAGAATATTTTCATTCATTCCTTTATCCAAATTTCTTAATTCATCTCACTCTTAAATATTTTTTCAAGTTTTTTAATTCGATAATTAAAATTAGAGTCTCTAGTAAAAAATATAAATTAATCAATATTTTTTCTTTTATATTTATCTAAAGAACTGTAAGCAATGAGATTGAATTCAAAAATTCTTTAAAAGAGCAAAATACTTATTAACATTCATATTATTTATCAAATAAAGCATATAGATTTAATTAAATTAAACAATAAAAGACATATTATATCAAATAGAATAGTTATGTTAAATAATTTTATTTTAAATTGCAATTCAAAATGTTAGAAATAATTAATTGTTTCTTTAAATTATTTTTAGATTAAAATTGATTAAAATATTTGTTGATTACTAAAGCCTTAATTACTATTTTAAATGCTCATCTAATAGATTTTATAATTTTTAATTTAATTAACAAAAAAATATATATTAAAAAACTATTTATTGTATTAAAATAAATAAATATTTACATTTTAGTAAGAAGATTTGTTTGTTTTATATATTAACATTATTAGATTTTAATAATAATTTATTCAATGTTTGTTTTTTATTTAACAATTTTGATTATTTAAAATTTTAGTATTTGAAGTAAAATTAGACAAAAATTCATTTTAGTTTACTAAGTAATGTAATAGTAGATTGAATGCTTTTAATGTGTTAAATTAGCTCATAAAAAGCTTTATTTTCAATTCTGAATTGCCTTAATTAGTTGAATGGTTGAGTTATCTTCAATAAGTCTTTTATTAGGAATAAAGCTTATAGAATACTTTACTAGTTCTATATTTTAATTCATTTTTCTGATTAAATAAATAGAAAGTATCATGTAAACAATAATAATAAAGATATTTCCAATTATTATTAAGATAAACTTTTAGATCTTTTCATCAGATTCAATAAGTTCAATTGATTTCTAGAAATATTTCTATGACAAATCAAGAATATCTAATAAAAGCATACTGATCCTAATATATTCAAACGTAGCTGGGTCGTTTTGGGCAGGAGTATCTGAGTAAAATTAAAACACCTTCCTTAAAACTCTTAACAAACCTTCAATAAATATTCCCTGATTTATAGTATTACATTCTTTATATAATTGAGGAGAAGAATCAAGGATTAAACAGCTGTTTGCTTAGTTAAGTTATTAAATTTAATCTGAATAATAATATTGTTATCCTTTTATAGGTATAATCTGAAAATTTTCTAGATAATAAGAACTAATCTATTTAATATTATTGTTAACAAACTGATTAGAAAGCTTTAAAGGATCTAACTCAGGTTAATAACTTATTAGTTGATGAGCTGTATTTAGACAAGTTAGCTATGATATTTTTTGCGAGTATTCTTTGTATTAGTCTAAAGGCTCTACAAGACTATTAAGCTGGTTCTTTGTTACTATAAATATCTATTATTTTATAAATAAATTAATATTTTAATCAATCAATCAATACTGAAAATCTTCAAGTTAATATCATATCTCAATATATTTTTTATTACTGAATAATTTCTTTAATTAAGAGCCATAATTAATAAGGCTCAATTCATTAATTTTTATTAAAACTTAAAAAATTTTAATAAGAGGCTTTGGTATAAAAAAGCCTTAATTAAGGAAAACTGACAGTAATGAAATAAAAATTAATTAAAATATTTTTTAGTTTTATTAATATGAAACTTGAAAAATGATTTAATTTAAAATATTAAATTTTTACCACTGCTTGAAGAGTAACACTCATTGAGGCGGCTAAAATTGTAAAAAAAATCATTTTGATAAAAACTAAGTTCTAGTTATTAATGCTATTGTAAAGTACTTAAGTGTGTTTATGTTTTTCTTGTTTTTAAAATGTCAAAGGTCTAATATTAGTTATTTGCTTTGAATTAAAAATATGGGAATGCTGAAGATTAAATTTAACATATTAATCTTCATTTTACTCTAGAAAATTAATTATATTTGAAAGCTTAATATATTCTTATTCTGCTTCGTTTTAACTTATTCTTGTGCTGATGTAAAGATATTACTTCACAATGTCTCTAAATCTTAAATTTATTTTTATCAAAATCAAAATTGACAAAAATATGAGAACCACCACCAATATCATTATTATTAAATTCATTTTTTTAATCATCTAAAATGTGCTATCAATTGATTCTTAAATTTTTTGGCTTAGACTTTCCATAATCTAACTAATTTAAAAAATGCTATTAGCAGAAGTTTGTATACCAACAAAATTATTTTGAGATGTTGCCTAAAATATATCAGAAAGAAAGTTCTCCAATTTATTAGAAATAGAGTTCTATAGACCATATTAAGAGTTTATGATCACATTCAAACTCTCATATTCATCAATATAGTTATTCAATAATTAGTTAATGATTGATTATAATTTAGAATAGCTTAAATTCAAGTTGAATTAGTAGAAGCTCTAATTATTTGCTATTATAAAATTTAATTTTATTTTAAATAAAAATAAATAAAGAATATTAAAAACATTATTTTTCCTATAAAAAAAAATAAATTACCGTAAATCCTCATAAATTCTCAGCAGCATAAATTTTCACCATATTTTGTGAATATTTATAATTTTGATGATTACCATATAGTACGTTTGGGGAGGAGGGTTGGTGAGAATTAATGAGGATTTACGGTATTTAATTTTAATTGGTTTTTTATTTGATTGGGAATTAAAAAAGATTAAATCTAATTTAAAATTTTCAAATAATAAATATGATAATTTTATAAATAATTACGATCGTTTTGAAGACCAAATACTGACGAAATAGACTAAGAAAAGGATAAGGAAGTAGATTCTTGTATTTCATAAAGAGTAGAATCGTCTATAATTTTTTTCACATAGTTGTTGGAGAAAATTTAAGAGCCGATTGTTGCGAAAATATGAAGACAGATAATGAATAAGAAGATGACTTTAACTAGTGCTATAAATTTAGGCTTTTTATTTGTGTAAACTATTCTGCGAATATTTTCAATTTTTTTTGCAACTTCAGAAAGGTGACTAGATTTTTCTGAGACAGTTTCGGTTTCTTCTTTTTTACCTTCACTTCTTATGCTGAAATTTTCATCTTATTCGTTATTATTTTTTTTACCATTTTTCATTAAATAATTGATAGCTTCTTCATCTTCTTCATCATTTTCATCAGAAAGAGTGCATTCTATGTTTATTGCGTTATTTTTTTCAGTCATTTGTTAAATTTTCATAATAATCTCTTTTTTGCTTGATCTTTTAGAAACTTTGCTGTCCTTATTTGTGATGATTGTTCCTTTAGTGAATTAGGAATTTTTTTCTTCTTTCTGAATAAAAGTTTGTTAATTTTCAATTTGAAAAATATCAATTTATTTAGATGATTTGCTTTTCCAATAGCTTTAATTATTAAATTGGATATTATAGTTTTTATTTGCTATTTTTTTGTTTTTAGAGCTTGAACTTTCAGAGTTGGCGACTTCGTCTATTTGATCAATATTGGAATTGCTGTCTGAAGAAGACATTTCAACTGGTACTTTATTTAGATTTATAATGCGAGATTAGTTAAACTCAAGTGCTCTCTAATTATTGTAGTCATTTAACTGAGATAAACTCTTGCAGTTTATATTTTCTATTTCCATAATATGACTATCGTTTATTGATAAGTTATTGTTTGATAAAGCGTGAAATATTTTTTCTTGTTAGTTATTAATTTAAGCTAAAGAGTGATCAATTAAACTTCCTCTTGGAGAAACCATATGAGTTAAATTAATTTACTCTAAATCTCCATGTGTTGTTAAATTATTTTAAGTATGTTGACTGTTAATGCTTTAAATATTCTTTTATGATATTGTAATTGGAATATATCCTAATTTTTATTCAATGTTGTTATTTTTTTAATTTTATCCTCCACCTAACCAATCATTTTCAACTATCTTATATGAATCGTTCACTCTTGAAATAAATCTTAAATTATTGTTATCGTTGAGTTTTGGAACAACATTTGTTTTATGCTAAAAGCTGTCATTCATAAAAATAAGGTCTTGATCCATTTCATCTAATTATGAAATAATATGTTTATTATTTTCATCAAGAGATTTCAATGATTTTTGCGAGTTTATATAATTCTTTGATTGAATGTTTATGAGTTCTTCATAGTCTAATCTATCATGAGAGTTAATTGGGTTTGATGTTATTTTAGTTGAATGAGTATCTTGTTGTGCTTGCTTTTTATCTTCTTAGAAATTTATTTATTTAGAAGCTTCTTTTTCACTTTTGCACTGATCTGAAGAAGGTTTATTATTTATTAAAGCAGTCATTGAAGGAATAAAAGCATTTGAAGTAACCTAATTCTACATTTTTTATGAATAACAAGAAAACTAAGTGTTGCTTTTCTACATCGATCCATTATCACTCTTAATTGGTATGATGCTAATAATTTCAAGAATGTATAAAATCAACTATTCACCACTGATCAAAGAGAATTAATTTAATATTAAATTTGCCTTTATATCAAACTGATAAATATCTTCATTTTCTTCTTCTTCAAATTCATCTTCGTATTCTTCTTGAACTCTTATTATATGATACATTAGTCTATTATAGTGTTTATCTTTTCTCCAATAATTCTTAAATTTGATGATCATTTCATTCATGCCTTGATTCAATTTAAATAAATAAATATTAATTAAAAAAAAAATTAAATTACGAGAATTCAGTTTTAGGACGCATTTTAAATTGCTGATTTTGCTCTTCTGTTAGCATTCTCTTAAATGAGTGTCTAAGTCTTCAATGAAGAGGTAAATATTAGAGTGTATGAGTTATTGTACTGTGACTTAAGGACATATAATCTGACAAAATTCATAAAAATTTTAGGAAAAGCTATCAATGAATCCATGCTGATTGATAAACAAATACTGTGAATTAGATTGCTTTCTAACAATTAGAGAACTAAAGATAAAGTCATTATGCAGCTCAAAAAAATAATTAATGTATAATTTAATTGGAAAGATAAATCCTTTCTTATTTTTAGCAAGAGTTTATCTGTATTATCTTAGAATTTTTGACTAACCTTAATCAATAAACCTTTCTAAGAAAAGATCATGCTTTTCTCCTATTATCTAAGGCATAACATCATTCACACTTTAAAGAGAGTCGAACTCTAATTTTTTATACCCGAAAAACATAGGAGCACTAGCTGAATATTTGAGTATTTTACCAACTTTAGTTCTAAAATGTGCAATAACTGTTGCAACGTTGCCTTATAAAATTTCTAATCCAGATATTGTGTACCAAGAACTGTAATAATCCACTTTTTTTAGAGAATCTTTTAACTTATCTTCTAAAAACAAAGCTTTCTTTAAATCTTGAAAAAGCACTGCATAAAATATAGTGAGCAATTTGCTTAAATGTGGAGAATTTTGGTGATATGAATAAAATGCTTCTACTTTACTTTTGAAAACCATGCCTTTTTTAATTATATTTTTCTATTCTGCATAAAGGTCATTTAAAGAAGAAAACCCTTAAATGAGTTTCTCAAAGTAAAATTGTTTCAACTTAATCATCTCCTGTAATCTTTAATTAAAAAATTTTTTTATCTCCTCTATCACTACATAAGATTCAAAATTTTCATAAGCTTTAGCTTCTAAATTATCTTTCTTCCTTATAGAGTATTTTAAAGCTTTATCTTTATTTTTGATTTCATTTTCAATCAAATCCGATAACGATTTTTCAACTACTCTAAAGTAGTAAGGTTTTTAATCAATATGGAAAGCCCATTTTCTTACAAAATAAAGAGCTTTAATAAAATTTGCTATTAAAAAAAAATTTTGTAAAATTTATATTTAAGAAAAAATCAATTTAAAAAGATTTTCTAGAAATAAAAGAATTTTTCAATTAAAATGGTAAAAAAATAAATTTTAATATTTAATTTTGAATAAATTAATACAAAAATATTTTATCAATTAACTTGAAAGTGTATCTAATTAATAATTTATGTTTATAGTAAATTATAAAATAAATAAACTGTAAAATCATTAACACCAAATTATTGAAAATGAATCTAATTCTAATTTATGCTGATAGTAATTTATAAGATAAACTAAAAAAATATTAATACTAAATTATTGAAATTAAATCTAATTCATAATTTTTTATGCTTAAAATAATTTATAAAGATCAATAAATTATATATAAAAATATTAAAACCAAACTAAGAAAAAATTTAATCACTAATTAAATAGTTAGAACAATTATTTAGTTAAAGTAATAAAATAGTTAGAATTATTATTTAAGTAAAAAAAATGTATTTATTTAGAAATAAAAAATTAGAATTAATTAAAGAAAATATTTTAATCATACAGATTTGAAAAGAAAATATTTAAATTGAATGAATAAACTAAAATAATTATACTTAATTACCTTTGATTTCTATTTCAAAATAAATGTATCGTATGCCTAGGCCTATTAAAAGTTAATAGTTTCTAGAAGTATAAAGATATCTGAGGAGCTACTCGTATTGGTAGTCAACGAATGTTAGCGTCCATTTCTTAAAGCTTAAAAAGTCCTATTAAAGCACTGAAAAGTTTATTTTTGCCAATTTATAGCTACCTTTAATTGTTCTTTGCTTTACTGCTGACTTTCTCCTACTTTTTGTATTGGATTAGTTTGTGGTAGACGTTTTTGAAGACTTTGTAGTAGAACTTTGCTATTTATTTTTGAGCTCATTATTCTAAAAGTTTACCATTTCAGTGAATAATTGGGTTTTGGTTCCTTTTGAAAATTGTGCTTGCTTTGGAGTGGCTGTCATAATAGATTTTCTTAAGGTTTAGCGCAGACTCTTGCCATCAGTTGGAGACATGTTTTTAATTCTTTGAATATTATCATATTCTTCTATATCTTCTTAATCTCTATAAATATTTTTTCTTGTAGTTTTGAATTACTCTAAATCAGATTTCTTTCCAAATCCATTAATCGGCACAAGACTACCATTGTTAACTTGCTTGTGCACATCAAAATCTTCATTTAATATCATTTAATATTAACAAGGACAAAAGTTATCTACGCATTCTCTTTAGTGAACTTCGAAAATCCCCAATAAAGTCATTTAATTTTAATAAGTTTTCTCCATTAGTAAGTGTACTACCTCTTACAAAGCATTAACTGTCTCTTATGGTTTTTCTCTAAAAATAGAAAAATCAAACATTCTTGTTTTAAACAACTACATTCTCTCCCACTAAGCTAAAACTCCTGCCATAAAACTTCCTAAAACCAACTTAATAATAAATAAAGCATTATTTTAAATATTTCAATTTATTTTATAAATAATAATTCGATTTAAAAATAATACTAAAATAATAATTTTTCTATGATTAAAAAGAAATATTTTAATATTATCAAATATTTTTTATTGAATATTTAATGTATATTCTATTTTTTTCGTATTTTATTAATTCTTTAATCAGCATTTCATTTTTATTTTTCATCTCTATTTTTTTAAATATTTACAATCGATAAAGGGTGCCCATCAAATGATGAATTAAAGTAAGCTATCAATATTTTTTTTATAATTACAAATTAATTTCTTGCTTAGAAAAATGTTTAGAGATTATTTATCTGTTAATTACATCTAAGAATATTACCAAATTAAATGAATCTTTAATATTCAATTATTTCATTATTTTTAGCAGATATATGATTGGTTTGTCATAAAAATATTATTAAATTTTTGTTTCATTTTAAGTGAAAAACAAAATGTTGTATTGGAATTACTTTATATTAATTAATAATAATTTTGAATTTTCTAATTTTTCAAATACTTGATAGAATTTTTTCAAATTTTTAATTTTGATCTCTTGATTAAAGAATAAATACTATGTAATTTCATAGTAAATTGATAAATAATCAATAATTAGTGTCAAGATATATTTATTTAATGCTTAATTGCTGGTAGAATTAATTTTTAAAATGAAATCTATTTATTGTCTTTCTCTTATTTGGCTCTAAAAAGGTTAAATTTGCTAAACAAAATAAATAATTTCACTTGTTAAAAAAGCAAAAAATTACAAATAAGTAAAGGAAGTTGGAATCACTTAAATTTTTATAGTATCTGATATGAAAGAGGATTGTGGCTGCAAAGAAAAAGTTAAGGGAGACTGCATATACATAAGAGATGTTTTTAGTGTAAAGAGGATAGGAAAAGAAGTATTAAATGAAGTAAAACACAGCAAGTATCTCAAAAGCAAAGAGAGAAAGCTAACTATCCAAGTAACTCAGTATATGAATAATTAAAATGAATGAATAATCAAATAGCTTTAAATTAGTAAACTGACTTCTTAGCCCATTAATAGGGATAAATTGTGCTATAGAATGAATTATACTATTTATTACTGATAGAAAAACACCTAGTACTATGTTAATTACTATTAATATATATCTTAAAGAATCATCTGAATATTGTATATTGTTTTAGCACCTTTTTTCTAAGTTTTACTAGCCTTAAACACAGAACATCATACTTGCTGTAATATCGGCTTAAATATTAAATAGAATCCATCTCTGCATTTCCAAGAAAAATGTTGTATAACCCATTAAAAGCAATCTTTTTTTGAATTTTTTATCACTAAGATTTGTAGTTGATCTTCCTAAAATATAAAAGGTGATAAGAAAGACTACTTCTAGAAAAATTATCAATGAATTTATTAAAATGCCTTGTGCTTCTTGCTGAATTTGCAAAAAATCTTTTAAAAGCGGAGACACTCGAGTGTACTCACAAGTCTTTAAAAAATAGTACAAAAGTTTATCTTGAATTTGAACTTGGCTAGAAGAAACAGATCCAATCAGCTGCAAGAAAAAAATAATGATTAAAAAGTGATAGTAGAATTTGGGTCGCGTGAGCTGTTTCTCAAAGTAATTAACAAAATAAAAGACTTTTGAGCTTCTTTATAATAGGTGGTCTCTACTAGGATTGTAAAATGTTCTTATTTTTAAATTTCTTAGCTAATTCCATTGGTCCTCCTATTATATTCCTCCTTAATATTAAACTGTTCCTTTTAATGCTTTTCTTTAATTTGACATTCGCTATAAAAACTAAATGAATTAAGTGATTTTTGCTTTATTAAAAGATTATTTTTTTTATTAAATATTGAATTTACCTTTTTTTTTGCTTACAATATAATTAATATAATGAGCAACCAACTATTAATCAAAGCGTATCATGTATTCGCTTTTGATAATTAATTCTTAATTCAGTAGCAATTTATAGCTAGCAACTAAATCCTAAATTACATTTAACTCTTATTCATAAATAAATAAATACTTTTGATAGCAAAATACACTTAATCCATTTCAAAAATATTAAACTGAATTTACTCCTTTCGTTTAAAAATTAAATTAAACAAAATTTAGTGAGCTTTAAACGATCACATTGAAATTTCAAATTAAAGAATTTGAATATTTATTTCCTTTCTTTTATAAAAATCTTTAATTTTTCTACTGGATTATTTTAAGCAAACTACACTCGCAAATTAAATAAAGCTTCACGCTTGTAATTAATTTTGGTAATTAAATAAATTTTGAATCAGAATCATTATGATTTAAATCCTAATCGCAACATTTTAATTTATCTTTCAATATATTTTTTCATAGGTAATACAAAATTTCTTTAAATTAATCTTCTGAGCTTTTAGCACTACTAAAAATTACACTTTTTAAAGGAAAAGCTATCATAAATTTATAAATACTTTATACATAATATATTTATTAAAAATAAGTTATTATAGCATCAGTTTCTTTTTTTTGAAAAGAAAACATCTTAATATGGTTTATACTCAAATTAAAATAGTTCCTAATGATTTTATCTTCTCTTTTAACATCTTAAGAAAAATTTAAAATATATAATTTAGTTACCGAATTCAGCTAATTAAGCAAATTAAAAAAAGTAAGTAGAAATTGTAAATTAAAATTAAAAAGTATTACCTTAGAAAAGAAAAATAGATGAAATTTAACTTTAAAAATCAAACTTTTAAGAATTTAAAAAAACAATTTAATTTTAAAAGGAGCTTCTAAAAATATTTAAAAGAGTGTTTTAACTATTTGATATGAAAAATAATTTTAAATTGTAGATTTTTTAATGTTTTATTTAAATAAAGTAAAATTAATTCAATTTATTAAATTCCTCATTTATTGAATTTATTGATGTAAAAGAATGAAAATATTAAAAATAAATTAATTTAATTTGAGGTGTTTTTATAGCTAGCTTAATAAAATATTTATAATTAATTAAATGTTTTAGAGGTATTTAAATATAGAGCATAATCATAGAATATTTTTTCAAAGATTCCTTTAAGTAATCAAGTTTTAATAAACTCTAAATTTGCTATTTAATTTATTTATTTTAATTACAAAGTAAAGATTAACTCATCACTAAAAAAATAAAAACAATGCCATTAGCTGCTATTAGGATAATGTATTCCTCAAAAATAATTGGTGTTGCTTGTTTGTTATTTAACAAAATAAGAAAAATATGAAACAAAGATGTTTTATAGAGCAATTACTTATTTATTCTTTGCTAATTAATACATGCAAAACTAAATGAAATTGTTTTTATAAAAAATAAATACACTCAATTACTGCTTTTTTTATTTTCTTCATTGAAATTAAAAGAGTAGACATTATCTTAATTTTATTATTAATTGGTTTCTTACTAATTATTTTATAAATTTGTATTTGCTTAGAGTTATTACTGGAGTTAATCAGCAACACCATCAAAATGATAGGGCTGTAAACCAAATATGATAGCTATAGATTCATTTTTATTAACCCATTCTTTGAGTTCTTGATTTGTATAGATGTCTTTAAAAAGATCACTGTTATGAGTATAAATTTAAGGGTAAAACTGCTTCATGCGTAACAAATGCTTTAAATAATCCTAATCGCATTCATCAACTAGTTCCTTTCTTAATGGAGTTAAATTTTAATAGACTTAGTATGTTGCCATTTTGCTAAAATAAACATAACCACCCATAACCATGGTAGTATCTAAAATCATTCTCTTGAAAGATATCTCACCAAACTAATTTGGAAGATATCTTCTCAAACTTAAACTTAATGCAAATCCCAAGCAAACTCCTGCAACGCTTAATTTTAACATTTAACCTATTTTTTATTATTTTAAAGTGTTACTCCTCAAAAGTCATTTTCCATTTACCAAAAGATTCTAGAAAAAAAATTGATTACCTGTTTATTCATTAATCTTTGAATCTTGAGTAGGAGTTGTTGGTTTATAATTTTAAAAGAAATATGTCACATCTTCGCTAATTACTTTAAACTTATCATTAATAAAATATTTTTCTAATTTAGATAAATCCATCTCCTTTATTTCCTTATTCTTCTTTTGCTTATATCCTTTCTTTGTTTATTATTTTGGTTTGCTTTCTTTCTTTCACCTTTTGCTTACTTGCTGTATTTTAAAAATCTTTTCAAATAAAGATATTAATTATACCAAAGATTTTTCTAAGAAATTAAATGATATCAAAATTTAAGCAGATTAATTCATAGTTTCACTAGATTATTTGTTTATTTATTTATTTCTATCAAACAACAAATAAATCAAGTAGTAAAATTTCATATAAAAATAATGAATGGGCGATTAAAATAATACAATTCTGCCTGCCAAACATTATAATTAGATTTATTTTATTATGCATAATTTTTCTCATAAAATATTTCAAAATAAAATATAAAAGATGTAAAGCCGAAGAAAATTATTTTAAATAATACAAAATGAAAGCTACTAAGAAACAAATATTTTAATATTTGGTAAGAATCTAAATAGTATAAAATTAGCTTTGCATTCTAATCATAATAATAAGGAAATTAGCTGAAGATACATACTCCCTTTAATTCATAAAATTCTAATTTTTATAAAATTTCTACATTTATTCAAGCATGACTAAAAATTTTTAAAAATAAATTTTAAATAAAAAATATTAAATTATGAGGAAATATTAAATAAAAATTAAAAAAATAAATATTAACAAAGATTAATTAAAGTAAAAAATGTATTTTGCATACAAATTAAATTGAACTTTTTTTTAATAAAATCATATTTATATCGATCAATTAAATTCTGATAAATAAAAATAAAAAAGCAAGAAAACTTACATGACTGACTGACTACTTAGCATTAAATTTTTAAATAAAAATGTATTAGCAATATTTAAAACATGCTTTCCTTAAAGAAAATTTATAAATGAGTTTTTGAAAGTTGTTAATTTTAATTCTTCTTTTTATCCAAATTAATTTGACAAAAAAGCTATTTATAAATTTATATTTGATAATTAATTATTAAAATTCATTCATTTGTTTTTTTAATCCAAATTAATTTGATAAAAAAGTAAATAATTTATTAATAAATAAATAAATACATTAATAATTAATTAAATTTCCATTTCAATATTTTTGAAAATATAATAAAATAAATGATATAAGAGAAAAAATATTTTAATAATATAAAACAAGTAATTATTTATTTATTTCTTTATTAATATTATTTAAATTTATATTATTAATAAAATAAGTTTTTAAACTCTTCACTTTAATAGTTTTAGGTTCTCCATATTGCTCTATAAAATTGGTATATTTTATTTATTATTTATTTTTTTTTTTTTCCTATGAGCTACTCTATTATTTTTCTAATTGAAATCCTCATCTATCTAAATTCATTCAATTTTATTAAAACAAATATTTTTTAAAATTTTTTTAACTTAATTTTCATTCAATTTTTATTTTAATTATTAATTATTTATATTTTCTCTTCATTTTTTCTTTACAACAAGCTAATTAACAACATATTTTTCTTAAAATATAAAAAGTGGAAATTAAATTGGTGACGATGGTGTTTAAAACTTAGGTCTTGGTTTAGAATAGTGCACTAATCTCTCAAATTTGGCTCTTGATCTAAGGTAAAAACAAACGATTTATTTGTTTAGGATTGTTATATTTTTTAATATAAAAGTTAATTTAAAAAAATATAACTAGCTATTTTAAATTATTTATTTATTTATTAACCTTTTGTTTGATTTATTTTTCTTTTTTTAATATTCTGCTAGTGTGTTTTTTTATATTCGTTTGCTTGTTTATTAATTTAACTCATTTTTTCCTTCTCAGCTTTTTCTTTCATTATTACTTAATTAATATCTTATTCCTTCTAACTTACTATTTTACAATATATTTTTTCTTCAATATTTAAAAAGCTACAATAAAATTGGTGATAAAAATGTATCAGACTTAGGTTCTTGTTTAGGAAAGTGCAAGAATCTCTAAAATTTAGCACTTAATCTTGAGTAAAAATAGTTTATTTGTGTTGGATTATGATATTTTTGAATATAAAAGTTCATTTTAAACAAAATTTAACTAACTATTTTAATTTATTTATTAGTATTTTATTTGGTTTATTTTTTTTCTTCTATTCAACTTGTGTTTATTTATTTGTCTGCTTATTTGTTAATTTAACTTATTTTTTCATTTTCAACTTTACTTTTATTATGAATTAATTCATTTAACTATTCTTTCATTTATTTTTTATACATTTTTTCTTCTAACTAACTTATTAACTTTTTACTTTTTCTTCAATATTTAATTTAAAAAGGTACAATTAATTTGGTTTAATTGGAGCATAAGGCTTAGGTTTTGGTTTAGGAAATTGCACTAATCTTTCAAGTTTGGATCTTCTTTTAAGGTAAAAACAATTTATTTGTTTTGGATTGTGATATTTTTGAATATTAAAATTAATTTTAACTAACTAATTTATATATTTATTAGTTATTATTTGGTTTATTTTTTTTATTTTCTGTTTGAGTATTTTTATTTATTTATTTCTTTGTTAAATTAATTGTCATTTTCTCTGTTATCAACTTTTATTTTTATTATAAATTTATTAATTCTTTTCAAATAATTTCATATTCTTAATTTTTTCCTTCTAACTCACTAATTAACTATATAATCTTTTTTTAAAAGTTCGAATTAAATTGGTTTTGAAGGTGCATAAGGCTTAGGTTTTGGCTTAGGAAAATGCACTAACCTCTCAAATTTGACACTTGATCTTAGGTAAAAATAGTTTATATGCTTTGATTATGAATATAAAAATGAATTTAAAACAATATGATTAATTCTTTAAATTTATTTATTAACTTTTTATTTTTTTTATTCAGCTTGTGTTTTTTTTAATTTATTTCATTATTTGTTAATTTAACTCATTTTTTCATTTTTAACTTTATTTTATGAATTAATTTCTTATTATTTCATATTTTTTCCTTCTAACTAACTAATTAACTAAATATTCTTACTCAATATTGAACTTTTTTTTGTTTGTTAATTTACCTCATTTTTTCATTTTCATTTTCAACTTTTACTTTTATTTTTAATTTTTTATTATTTCATATTTTTACTTCTATTAATAACTATATATTTTTGTTTAATATTTAAAAAGTTGGAATTCAATTGGTGATGAAGGTGTATAAGGCTTAGGTTCTGCTTTAGTAAAGTGCGCTAATCTCTCAAATTTTTAACTTGATCTTTTGTAAAGTTTATTTGTTTTGGATTGCTATATTTTTAATATAAAAATAAATTAAAAAATATATAAATATCTCTTTAAATTTAAATATTTGATTTTTATTTGATTTAATTTTTTTTTTTATTCCGCTTTTATTTTTTTAAAAATATGTTTTATATTTTTGTTAATTTTACTAATTGTTTCATTTTCAGCTTTTACTTTAATTTTGAATTAATTAATTTCTTATTATTTAATTATTTTCCTCATTTTTTCCTTCCTTACTAACTAATTTTATATCTTTACTTCAACATTTAAAAAGTGGAAATAAAATTGGCGATATAGGTGCATCAGGCTTAGGTTGCGATTTAGAAAAGTTCACTAATCTCTTCAATTTGACACTTGATCTAAGGTAAAAAAAATTTATTTTTTTTGGATTGTGTGTGATATTTATTTTATATATTTTATAAATGAATTGAAAACAGAATTAACTGAATCTTTTAATTCATTTATTACCTTTTTCATTGATTTTTTTTTTTTTTACTAAGCTTGGGTATTTGTTTTCTTTATTATTTTGTTTGTTTGTTAGTTAACTTAACTCATCTTCTCATTTTCAACTTTTACTTTTATCAATTAATATAGTTCTTACTATTTCATATTTTTTCTTCAATTTTTTCTTTTTAGTAACTAATTAATTATATATGTTTTCATCAATATTTAAAAAGGTATAATTAAATTGGTGCAATTGGTGGGTCAGGCTTAGGTTCTAGTTTAGGAAAATGCACTAATCTCCAAAATTTGACACTTATTCTAGAGTAAAAACAGTTTATTTGTTTTGAATTGTGATGTTCTTTTTTTATTTATTAGCTTTTGATTTGATATATCTTTCTATTTTTTTATTATGACTGTGTTTTTTTTATTTATTTAATTGCTTGTTAATTTAACGTATTTTTTTATTTTCAGCTTATGCTTTTATTATCAATTAATTAATTAATTCTTTCATTCTTACTATTTCATATTTTCTTCATTTTTTTTCTTCTTTTTAATTATATATTCTTTCTTCAATATTTAAAAAGTGGAAATTAAATCGGTGCAAATGGTACATCAGACTTAGGTTCTGGTTTAGGAAAGTGCGTTAATCTCTCAAATTTAACACTTTGTCTGATGTAAAAACAGTTTATTTTCTTAGGATTGTGATATTTTTGAATATAAAAATAAATTAAAAAAAATATAACTAAAGGGAGGTAGTTAGTTGCTACCTGAGTCTGAATTGTCCCGATCCTAAAAAAGTGGTCTATTTTTTTATTATGAATTATATCTAGACTCAGATAATAACTACCTACCTAACTCTTTTAATTTTTTATTCGTTAATTCGTTTTTATTTGATTTATTTTTCCTTTTTTTATTCTGCTTTAGTTTTTTTTATCTCTTTGTTTTTTAGTTATTTTAACTTATTTCTTCATTATCAATTTTTCTTTTATTATTAATTAATAAATTCATATTTTTTTTTCATTTCTAATTAACTAATTGACATATATTTTTCTTCAATATTTTAAAAGGTCTAATTAAATTGGTGCAATTGGTGTATCAGGCTTAATCTCTGGTTTAGGAAAAAGCACTAATCTCTCAAATTTAAAACTCAATCTTTCGTAAAAACAGTTTATTTATTTTGGGTTATAATATTTTTGAATATAAAAATGAATTTAAAACAAAAAAACAAACTCTTTATATTCATTTATTAGCTTTTTATTAAATTTATTTTTATTTTTTTTATTTTTTTTTATTTACTAATTTATTTGTTATTTGTTTTTCTATCTATCTGTTAATTTAGCAAATCTTTCATTTTTTACTATTTCATATTTTTTCTTCATTTTTTCCTTCTAAAAAACTAATTAAATATATTTTTTCTTCAATATTTAAAAAGTTCTAATTAAATTTGTGATGAAGGTTCATCAAGCTTAGGTTCTGGTTTAGGAAATTGCACTAAACTCTCAAATTTGGCTCTTTATCTTGAGTAAAAACAGTTTATTTGTTCTGAATTGTGATATTTTTGAATATAAAAATGAGTTTAAAACAATATACTACTCTTTAATTTATTTATTAGCTTTTTATTTAAATTCTTTTTCTTTTTTTATTCTTCTTATGTTTCATTTTTATTTATTTATTAGTTTAACTCATTTTTTCATTTTCATTTTCAACTTTTACTTTTATTATTAATGAAAATATATTTTTTATCAACATTTAAAAAGGTCTAATTAAATTGGTGATGAAGGTTCATCAAGCTTAGGTTCTGGTTTAGGAAATTTGACTAATCTGTCAAATTTAACCCTTGATTTTTCGTAAAAATAATTATTTTTTTTTTGAATTGAGATACTTTTGAATATTAAAATGAATTTAAAATAGTAAAACTAACTCTTTAATTTATTTATTAGCTTTTAATTTAAATTATTTTACTTTTTTTTATTCTGTTTTTGTTTCATTTTTATTTCTTTTTTCTTTGTTAGTTAATTTAACTCATTTTTTCATTTTCAACTTTTACTTTTATTATTAATTCTTTCATTTCTTATAATTTATATATTTTTTCTTCAATGCTTAAAAAGTAGGAATTAAATTGGTGATAATGGTGCAGAAGGCTTAGGTTTTGGCTTAGGGAAGTGCACTTATTTCTCAACTCTGAAGCTTCGTCTATAGTAAAAATAGTCAATTTGTTTTGAATTGTGATATTTTTTGAAAAAATAAATGGATTTAAATCAATATAATTAACTAACTCTTTTAGTTTATTTTTTAGCTTTTTATTTGATTTATTTTTCTTAATTTTTATTTATTTCTTTCTTTCTTTGTTAATTTATCTCATTTCTTCATTTTCAACTTACTTTTACTTTTAATATTAATTAATTCTTTCATTTCTTTTGATTTCATATTTTATCTTGAATGTTTAAAAAGTGGAAATTAAATTGGTGACAATGGCGCATAATGCTTAGGCTCTGGTTTAGGAAAATGCATTAATCTTTCAAATTTGATTCTTCACATTTCGTAAAAATAGTTTATTTTATTTATCATTGTGATTTTTTTAATAAAAATTAATTTAAAACAATATATATTACTAAATTCTTTTAAATTACTTATTAGCTTTTTATTATCTTTGTTATTTTTATCCTGCTTATTTATTTATTTATTTCTTTATTTTTTTGTTAAATTAAATTTTCAGCTTTTTTTATTCTTAATAAATTAATTCATTAATTTGTTAATATTTCATATTTTTTTTCTTCATATTTTCCTTCAAATTAACTAAGTTTTTTATCAATATTTAAAAAGTAAAAATTAAATTGGTCATGATGGTGCATAAGGCTTAGTTTATGGTTTAGGAAAGTGCACTAATCTTTCAAATTTAAGGCTTGATCTTAGGTATAAATAGTTTAATTAATTATTTTGGATAGCTATATTTTTGAATGTAAAAATGAATTTCAAACAAAAGAGCTAACTCTTTTAATTTATTTATAGCTTTTTATTTGATTTATTTTTCTTTTTATTTTTTATTGAGCAAAATTTTGTTTTGCTTTTTTGCATAATTTAAAAATTTTATTATATTTATTTTATTTTTAGTAATTTACTCTATTTTATATGTAAAGTAAAAACAAAATCTATCAATCTTAATAATTGAAAGTAAAGTGTCTCAAATAAAAAAGATTAGTTGCCTTAAAAATAAAATCTATTTGATAAAAATTGTGGTGAAATAGGAGGAATAAATAAAAATATATTTAAATACTTTAATATATTTTATTTTATAATGGTATGTAATATGTTAAACTAACATAAAATATAGATATATAGATAGATTTACTAATATTTTTATATTTATAAATATCATATTTTGGTAAGTTAATAAATAGCTTATCAAACAAATAAAATTTAATAATGAAATTTACTTATTTTATATAAAGAGTAATTTTTATATACCATTACTTTTACTTAAAATAATATTAATATCCATTATTAAGGAATCTAATTTATATATACGGTATTATCTCTAGTTATTCTCTAATCCTATTAGTTTTTTTGATAGCATATGTTTTAGGTATATAGGTTAGATGCAACAAATAATTACACTTATACCTTTTTAAATAAATTTTTAATAAATAGATTATACATTTTTATGTCATCAATAGTTCAATTAATTAGATTATTTATTTAATTTATAACTAGATAAAAATTTAAATTACTGATTAAACCTTTATGAGAAGTAAATTAAGATGATAATCGATAGCTATAACAATATATTTATTGAGAGTTTTAATATAACTCTTTTACTAATATCAAAAAGTAGTATCGGTTAGATACAAATTAAATTATCAATAATAAAAATTTTAATTGTTTTTTGAGGAATTCTTACATCAGAAAAACTAAGTATATTTGATCAGAAACCTTTATGAGAAGTAAATTAAGATAATAATCGATCGTTATAACAATATAGTTATTGAGAGTTTTAATATAACTCTTTTCCTAAAATCAAAAAGTAGCTAGCAGCAGTTGGTGAAAGATGAAGTTATCAATAATCAAAATTTTAATTGTTTTTTGAGTAATTCTTACATCAGAAAAACTAAATATATTTGGTATAACCTAATGCTTGATTTTACAAAATTCATTTTGTGAGAATCGTTAAATGAGATTAATAAAATGATAATGGTCAAATTCTTAATAATTAATTTCCTTTTATAAAGTGACAATTTATTAAAACAATTAACTCTAAAAAAAGCTTTATCCCCTATTCAAAATTTTCAAAGATATATTAATGCAAGGTTTAATTGAGAAAATTTATTTTTTCCTCTTAATTTTTGAAAAAGAATAAATTTAGCTACTTAAATGTGTGTGTATTTTAAATAGACAAGTCAAAATTTTCTTTATTTTACAAATTGCTTTATTAAATATTCTGAGGCTGCATAAATAATTTTGGCGCGAAATATATTTCTTATAATTCATTCTAAACAACTTTTAAAAAATTAAAATGGTTTTTAAAAATAAATTATCTGGGCTTCTTTTTATATTTAATCCTACTTTTTGTTTATCTAAGATCTCATTTTTATATAAAATAATCTACTTTTATTCTAAAAAAAATGTATCTAATCGATGAAAAGAATTCATCATATTCTTCAATCAGCAAAATTATAAAAGAATAAAGATTTTTGAATAAAAATTTCTTTATTTTAACAAATTGTTTTGTTAAATATTCTGAGGCTGCATAAATAATTTTGGCGCGAAATATATTTCTTATAATTCATTCTAAATAACTTTTAAAAAATTAAAATAGTTTTTAAAAATAAATTATCTGGGCTTCTTTTTATATTTAATCCTACTTTTTGTTAATCTAAGATCTCATTTTTATATAAAATAATCTACTTTTATTCTAAAAAAAATGTATCTAATCGATGAAAAGAATTCATCATATTCTTCAATCAGCAAAATTATAAAAGAATAAAGATTTTTGAATAAAAAATGATTGAAATCATTTAGATTTCAAGAAATAAATTATAATAATTAATTAACAAACTTTATTGAAATCACTCAAAAATTAAAATGAAATCATAAATTCTGAAATTAGTTTAGTAAAACTGCAAATTTTTTAACAGATCTCATATGGCTCTGATATTAGATGCTCTTGAAAAATAGAAATCATATTACATTTAATCGATCACTAACATCAAAGAAAGAAAGATTTGTTAATCTTCTAGTGTTTGCCTACAATTTTAAGTTTTTGATAATAAAGAAAAAACAAAAAAAATAATTGAAATCTTCTCTGAAGATTTAATGGAAGATTAGCAAGAAATAAACTATATTGTTGAATATGCTTAAAAAAACAAGAAATTAACTAGAACTGATCTAGTTTTAAAGGTTTTAGACTCTTATTATTTAGATGAATATTAACTTTTTTATGCAGTAGAGTATGAATTTTTTGATTACTCTCTGAATCAGGTGAATAATTATGAAGATATTCTTGCAGATAATGAGGATTTAAATAAGTACTTAGTTCAAATTTATAACTACTCTAAAAATGCTATGTGTTGTTTTTAAAACTTAGATTTTCTTAACAATTTCGGATACATTTCACATTATGGGTACTTTGTGTGCCAGTTAAAGGATAATGGATAAATAGCTATAAAACTAAATACAGTTGATCCTTATTTATTTATAACTAAAAATATAAAATAGGTAAGTCTTTGCGGTTTTAAGGAAGTATAAAAAGAATAAGGAATTAAAATATTAGATTTCGAGAAAAGAGTAGTTAAATCTTAATAAAAATTATCAGTGAGAAGTGGATTATTTTTACAAGAAATGTAATTGTGGTATCCTGAATTTTTTTAAGAAAATCAAATTATGCTAGAAAATATAGTCAACAATACGAATCAAAACACATTTTTAACTCTTTTAACTCTTGATCAAGAAAATAGTATAATCGCCATTAGGGTTTATTCTTAAAAGAAGTATTTTAATTTGTAAATTTAGAGATGCTCAAATTTAGAGGAAGCTCAAAATAAAATAAATCTAATGAAGACTTAAATATAAAAATTTATTGAACATTCTTTGGAAGTTTTGACTGATTTTAGAATTAACCATAACTTACAAGGAGTATATTTGATATAACAAAAAAATTATCCTACTAATATTGAATAGATGATCTAATTATCTAACTTTTAAAAATTTTAATTTAAACCTCCAGCTGCAGCAGCTGTTGAATATAGCGATAGTTCATCTGAAGAAGAAGAAGAAAAACCTGCTCCCTTTAAATAAAAAGTTGGATTTGCAACTGAGCAAAAAATTTAATATAAAATTTGTGCTAAAAGAGAGAGCGATTCTGATGAAAAAGATCAATTATAAATACCTAATTTTTAAGAATTAACAGGACAAAAAATTCTATCTGCTAAAAAAATGAGCGATTCTGATGAAGAAGATTTATTATAAAAACCTAATTTTGAAGCAGTTCCAGTTTAAATGACTTATTAAGCAGCTACAGTTCTAGCTCCAGCTGCATAAAGCTATATGCTATAAAATATTAACTAAGATACCGTTTGTTCTTCTGAAGATGAAAAACCCATATCCAAAACAATTAAAATTTCATAAAAATCAACTGGACAAAAAATTCTAGCTGCTAAAAAAATGAGCGATTCTGATGAAGAAGATTTATTATAAAAACCTAATTTTTAAGCAGTTCCAGTTTAAACGACTTATTAAGCAGCTGCAGTTCAAGGACATTCATCATTATCTCCAGCTCTATAAAGCTATATACCATAAAATATAAACTAAAATAGCATTTGCTAATCTGAAGATTAAAAACCCATACCTAAACCTATTAAAATTACATAAAAATCAACTGGAAAAAAAATTCTAGCTGCTACAAAAACGAACTATTCTGATGAAGTAGATTAATTATAAAAACCTACTTTTTAAGCTTTACCAGTTCCAAATACAAATTAAACCGCTACAGTTATAAGGTCAGTTTTTCCTGCAACTATAAATAGCATAACATATTAAACACTTCATTAAGAGAGCGATGATTATTCTGAAGATTAAAAGCGTATTTGTTAATATGCTGTTGGTAATTAATAACCAATAAATGATTTTGAAGAAGAAGAACCTTTGCAGGGTTTATCTCATATTCCAAGAAAAACAAAACTTGCAGATTTTATATCTTAATCCAAAACAAAGATAGAAGTATTTGGACCTTTTAAACAACAAATGTTTTTGAAAATCATTTCTTTATTTTAAAAAGTTATAATTTCTTCAAATATTTTGTTGAAATCTGGTATCAGTGTTGATGATATATATTTTTCAGAAAATATGGAGCTTTTCCTTGATATAAATCTTTTATCACTAGATTAAGAAATAAAAAGTGATCCTTTTAAATCTAGATTATCCTAAAATTATATCGATTTAATCAAAAACTTACTAAAAGAAATGTATTCTTTTTTTGAAGGTTATAATTTATCTCCAATTTATAAATAAGTTGAATAGTTCTTTATAGAATACGTTAATAATTTAATTAATTAAGACTAATAAGGATGCAATAATGTTTAACTAAAAGTTATTTTTGATAATATTTAAAAACTATTTACCATAAATTAAATAACTAACTTAATCAATTTTAAAATCTCAGAAAATAAATTAGATAAATTTACTTTTTAAGGCTAACTAATTAATATCTCTACATTTCCTCACATTATTTAATTTTTCTAAAAAAATAATAATTTTGATAATATAAATTTTCGTAAAATTAATTACAAAACCCGAAGTTTCTTTTAAAATATTTCAAAAACTAAGATTCATAAAATTTTGGACAATTTCTCAGATCTTAGTGAAAAATCAAAGGCTGATATCAAAGAATTATCCCAAATATTATTAGATGACAAGTTTAAAACAAACAATGAGTCAATTTGTATTAACAAAATTTAGTATAAATCGATATGCAAGTGCAATCATTAAGAATTAGATTTTAAAGGTTTAAGTAGGATTCATTTTTTTTGGAATTTAAGTTACATGCATGTAATGACAGAGCTTTTACTAAATTAGAATTTAAAATCAATTTGTTTAAATGAGCAATATTATTAAATTATTAATTTAATTACAAGAAACCAAACGTCTCTGCAAACACTAAAATTTGATTTAATATTTTGCAAAGAAGTAGAAAATATAATGAAATCAAATTTAGATTTCTTTGAATTAAAAAACAAATAAAGTTTATTAAATTTACAGTTTGTTATTTAAAATCCTTTTAAATCTATAACACAATCATAGAGTAATTTAGTATATTAGTAGATTCAATCTAATAAAAGTAATATTAACTCTATCTAATTACTTAGTTATACATTAATTGGATCTAAATCTAAAATACCAATTTTTTACTCTAAAATGTAAAAGTTGTCAAGACTTGTAAATATTAAATTTGTTTATTACTAAAGTGATCTAAATCCTATGCCAGCGACTTTATGATGATAAAAACTTAACAAAATTATAAATTTTAAAAAAGATTTTTTAACTGAATTTATCTGATTAGATAGCAAAGTATACACATAAATTCAACTATTATTTGTGTAAATTTAATTTTAAAAATATTTTTTCTTTTAGTTAATTTCTAAATTAGTTGCTGATATTTTAATATTAGATATTATTTTCACTTTTTCATTCAATAATTATATTTATTTTTTATAAATTAGATTCAAAAAATTGGCAAATAAAAATGTTTATAAATATTTTAATCTCCATTTACATTTAGATATATAATTATGAATAAAAGAGTTATTATAATATATACTTTCTGTTCATTCTCGTGTAGCAAATCTAAAATAATTTTTCAAATAAGCAAGTTACTACTTACTTTTTTATTTCTAAATAAGCATCAAATTATAATCGCAAAATACCTGTAGAATATTATAATCACTAGAGATAATAATTAAGCTTACTAACAATCTTTATTAAAATAATTACCTTCCTATTATTCAGAAAAAAAATTCAGATTATTACTCAATACCATTAATAATATTTATAAAAGATATAAGTATTTTTTCTCATTAGCTTTTAATTCTTCAACTTAATTATTTTGTTTTTTACTCATATCAAATTTAAAAAAAAAAATGAATTACAATTTTTTAACTTAAAGCTAAAAAGTAGTGCCATATAAAGGATAAAATTACAATTTAAAAAAATATAAGAAACATTTGTAATGAAATAACAAGTTTTATTCATATTGGCAATACTAGAACTAATATAGATATTTATATAATTTATGAATAAGTGTATAAGCTATTTTATTAGCTATTTTATGAGCTTTAAGTGGAAGAACTTTAACAATCTTTTTGAGTTTTAGCCGCTCCTGCTTTTGATGTTGTATTGTTTGGACATTTAATACATTAAGTTTTTGAAGCACTTGTTGTTTAACTTGCATCTCCATAAAAATTAGCAGCACATTAGCATTAATTTTTATCTACAGACCAAGTCACTGCATTTGAATCATAGCATTTACAGCCAATAAAATCTTCTGAGTTAGTAGATCCAGGACCACAATTGCTACAGGCTGTATTTCCAGTACCATTTGCATATTATCCTGAGCTACACTATGTGCAGTTTACATTAGCTGAGCCATTTGAATATGTGCCTGAGGGGCAAGGAGAACACTTTCCAGATGGTAAATCTGTAAATTATCCAGCTGGGCAAGCTGTGCAACTATTTGAATTAGCTGATATTCCAATATAACCTGGATTACAAACACAGCTATCTCCATTTAATTTAGAGTTAGGAATGCATTAACAATCAGAAAAATCTGGAGTATTTGTTTTACCAGAGCCGCAAGTTTAACATGATGTATTCCCAGTATCAGAAGCGAATTAACCGCTACCACACTACTAACATTAAGAACTTCCAGTACTAGCCGCAAAATATCCAGCAGCGCAACGAGTACATGCTCCAGAGGTAGAAGAATTTGAATACTGACCTTTTTGGCATGGTGAGCATCCTTAATAGCTTGATAAACCTGATGGATTACCCTAATAGCCGTCAGGACATACGCATCTATTGTTTTTAAATACAGCACTTGTATCTGGACACTTACAGCCAGAAAAATCTGCTAAAGGAGTTGTATTATATGGACAACTAGTGCAAGCTTTATTTCCTGTTCCTTAAGCATAATTACCAGCAGTACATTAAGTACATGAAAGACTTGCTGGTGAGCTTGAGTAATATCCCGCTTGGCAATCAACACAGCTTCCTGATTAATAGTATTTACCTGCAGGACATGGAGTACATCCTTAAGCACCAATCGAAGTTGCTGGGGTGCCAATATAACCTTGATTACATTAGCAGGAATTAGTATTTGATGACCATGTTGCATTCTAGTCATAGCAATTGCAAGTAGAGTAGTTGCCTTATATTGTATTAGATCCAGGAGGACATTTTTAGCATGATGCAGTTTATCCTGCTTAAAATGCTTTTGTCATGTAATAACCAGCAACACAAATAGAACATTAAGTTGCATCACCTTACTAAGTTACAGGATTTAAAGTACCAGAATTATTAGGGCAAGGTTAGCAAATAGCTGAGGTAGTAGGTGTGGGAGCCGTTTGCATGTAAAAATTCAGTTGGCACTTATTACAGCTTGAAACTAAAGTTGAAGTTCCAGGGTCAGAAGTAGAATTATTTGGGCATTGTTGGCATTAGGCTGCAGTTCCAGGATTTCCATTAGCAGGATCTTAGTTGGGTGTGATCATGTAGTATCCAGCCTAGCAAATGTCGCATTGAGATTAATCTCCAGCTAAAATTGATATTTAATAGTTTCCGGAACCATTAGGACATGGTAAACAGGTTGGAGCAGAAGTGGATGTTGATGCAACTGTCATATAGTAGTTTTTCATACAACTACATGAATTAATTGTTTTAGCAACTGTCCCATAAAAAAATGTGTTTGGAGGACATTATACACAAATTGCTTGTTATCCATCGAAAATATTAGTATTATAATAGCCTGGCAAACAAGCACCACAATCATTAACATTATATTAATAAGAGTAATGTTAATCATAGATATTTGAAGAATTATTAGGACAAGGTGAACAAATTGCAGGTTAGGAATCTGTAGCCCTTTACGAAACATAAAAACCTTAATTGCAAAGATTACATTCTGAGACTGAACTAGCGTTAATACCTTTTGTATTATTTGGGCACTGAATGCAGACTGCTGCTTAGCCAGGATTACCATTTTAAGGTGGAACTGCTGGAGTCTAAAGATAATAACCTGGTTAACACTACATGCAATCGCTAATATCTTGAGGATTCGAAGGAGTGTTAGATTGAACCTAGGAGTTATTTGGGCACTATAAGCATACCGAGCCTGTAGATGAAGTTGCTGCTTAAGACATATAGTATAAAGTAGAGCTACAACCTTTGCAGTCTGATATTGAATAGGCTATATTAGTAGTAAATCCATTATTTGGACATATTTCACAATTAGCAGAGCTAGAATAAAATCCACCGAGACATAAGCAATTACCTCTTTATAAAAAGTTAGGCATAGTTGAATAGTGGCAGTACTAAAAGGAGACTTAGAATAGCGCAAAAAGAACAAGACAAATGCTTACTTTTTTCATTTATTTTAAACTTTTGAATATTTTGAATTTGATTTATTTAATTGTTTATATGTAAATTAGATTTCCGAATCTATTTATACCTCAAAATAATACTTTCTATAAACTCAAATAGATCTTCTATAATGTTAAATTATTGAGTTTTGATTATAAGTAAATAAATGTATTAATTTAATAATGATTTGTTTAATCACCAGAATTAATCAATAAAATTAAATATTTCTATCTATTATTAACTTAAAATCCACCAGAAAATTAGTTAAACAATCTGATAAATGCTAAAGGTTATTTTTTTAATTAAAATTTTGTGGTATTTTTCATAAGAAAAAATAACAAAAGTAGCCAATCGCTAGCCTATTTACAAAGATATTAATTCATAAAAAAAATTTACTTCTCAGATTACAAGTCAATACATCAAAACATATTTATTTGATTAAAAATTTTTCATTTTAATTAAATTTTTTCTTTCTAATTAAATTCAGCTTCAATATCTTTTTTATAAATTCTGAGGCATCAAAATTAATTTTTAAAAGGCAAACCTTGTTTTGTATTCACTTTTAAGGAAATCTAACTTTTTAATATAAATTACTCTCATATTCTAATCATTTTTAAAGGTATTAGATCTATATTATTTTGTCTACAATTAAAACAAATATATAAAAGCATTCATTCATCCATATTTAAAAAGCTGATGTAATTAATTTCATTGTAAATATTAAAAGATCAAAAAAATATTATTTATTAGTAAAGCGCACATATTAAAATTCTAAAAAAATGAGTTTACAAGCAAGGTAAAAAATTATAAATGTAGAATAATGAAGCAAGTCCTTTCAAATTATTATATTCCCTATTCTAAAAATAAAAATATCTCTGATATGAATTATTGAGAAGTAAGTTATTTTGATTTTCATAAATAATTTAATAAAAAAAGCAATTTTACCATTAATTTAAAACAGAAATTGAAGTTGTTAGTGTTTAACTAAAATGAATGAATTTAAATATTATCCAAATATGAATAATTGAAAAACATATTTTAAATTTGAAAATTTTATTAATAATTACATCAAAAAGATACATTTTCTTTATAAAAGCTGTTAAACAATTTAAAAAATTTTATTAAAATATTAAATGAAGTTATTTTTTTAAGATTATAAAAAAAAGAATAGTAGGAGGATGATTGTTAAATATTATAAGATAAAATCTTCTTGTAAGCTTCCTTTTTATTTTTGTTTTTCTTTTATTATTTTCCATATCAAAAAAGGGCTTATATTTAGTTAATCATTGTATATTTACAGCTTAGGTTAAGGGGGGGTGGGGGGGGGGGGTACGAAAAAATTTTTTTTAATTTTAAAAATTTTAGCATATAAAATAAATTTCAAAAATTAAATAAACTAAAAAATTAAAATACAATACCCTATATTTATTTAGGAATTAAACTTCATTTAAAAAAATATAAATAACATTTGCAATGAAATAATAAGTATAATTCATATTAACAATAGTAGAACTAATATCGATATTTATATAATTTATGAATATGTGTATGATCCATTTTAGGAGCTCTAAGAGGAAGAAGAATTTTAACAATCTTTTTGAGTTTTAGCTGCTCCTGCTTTTGATGTTGTATTGTTTGGACAGTTAGTACATTAAGTTTTTGAAGCACTCGTGGCTTAACTTGCATCTCCATAGAAATTAGCAGCACATTAGCATTAATTTTTATCTGCAGACCAAGCCGATGCATTTGAATCATAACATTTACAGCCAGTAAAATCATCTGTGTTAGTAGATCCAGGTCCACAATTGCTACAGGTTGTATTTCCAGTACCATTTGCATATTATCCTGAGCTACACTATGTGCAGTTTACATTAGCTGAGCCATTTGAATATGTGCCCGCTGGACAAGGAGAACACTTTCCAGATGGTAAATCTGCAAATTATCCAGCAGGGCAAGCTGTGCAACTATTTGAAGTAGCTGGTACTCCAATATAACCTGGATTACAAACACAGCTATCTCCATTTAATTTAGAGTTAGGAATGCATTAACAATCAGAAAAATCTGGAGTATTTATTTTACCTGAGCCACAAGTTTGACATGAAGTATTTCCAGTACCAGAAGCGAATTAACCCTTACCACATTATTAACATTAAGAACTTCCAGTACTGGCTGCAAAATATCCAGCAGTGCAAGGAGTACATGCTCCAGAGGTAGAAGAGTTTGAATATTGACCTTTTGGGCAAGGTGAGCATCCCTTTTAGCTTGATGAACTTGATGGAGTACCTTAATAACCGTCAGGACAGACGCAACTATTGTTTTTAAAGACAGCACTTGAGTCTGGACACTAACAATCAGAAAAATCTGCTAAAGGAGTTGTATTATTTGGACAACTAGCACAAGCTATATTTCCTGTTCCTTTAGCATAATGACCAGCAGAACATTGGGTACATGAAAGACTTGCAGGTGAGCTTGAGTAATATCCAACTTGGCAATCAACGCAACTTCCTGATTAATAGTATTTACCTGCAGGACATGGAGTACATCCTTAAGCACCAATTGAGGTTGCTGGGGTGCCAATATAACCTTGATTACATTAGCAGGAATTAGTATTTGATGACCATGTGGCGTACTAGTCATAGCAATAGCAAGCAGTGTTACTGCCTTATATTGTATTAGATCCAGGAGGACATTTTTAGCATGATGCAGTTTATCCTGCTTAAGTTGCTTATTTCATGTAATAACCAGATACGCAAATAGAACATTAAGTTACATCTCCTTACTAAGATACAGGATTTAAAGTGGCAGAATTATTAGGACACGGTTAGCAAATGGCAGAGGTAGTAGATGTGGGAGCTACTTGCATGTAAAAATTCAGTTGGCACTTATTACAGCTTGAAACTGAAGTTAAAACTCCAGGGTCAGAAGTAGAATTATTTGGACATTGTTGGCATTAGGCAGCAGTTCCAGGATTTCCATTAGCAGGATCTTAGTAGGGTGTGATCATGTAATACCCTGCTTAGCAAATGTCGCATTGAGATTAATCTCCAGCTAAAAATGGTATTTAATAGTTTCCAGAACCATTAGGACATGGTAAACAAGTTGGAGCAGTAGAGGATGTTGGTGCAACTGTCATATAGTAGTTATTCATACAACTACATGAACTAATTGAAGTAGCACCTGAACCGTAAGTAAATGTATTTGGAGGGCATTTTTCACAAATGGTTTATTATCCTAACGAAGTATTAGAATTATAATATCCTGGTAAACAAGTACTGCAATCATTAACATTGTATTAAATATCAAAAGGAAGTATATAGTTATTTGAAGTATTATTAGGACAAAGTGAACAAATTGCAGGTTGGGAATCTGTAGCTTATTAAGATATATAAAAACCTTCATTACATGAATTACATTAGGAGACTGAACTAGCATTCATACCTTTTGTATTATTTGGACATGGAACGCAGACTGCAGCTTAACCTGGATTACCATTTTAAGGTGGTACTGCTGGAGTCTAAAGATAATAACCAGGTTAACAATACATGCAATCACTAATATCTTAAGGATTCTAAGGAGTGTTAGATTGAACCTAGGAGTTATTAGGGCACTATAAGCATACTGAACCTGTAGATGATGTTGCTGCTTAAGACATATAGTATTTAGTAGAGCTACAATATTTGCAATTTGATATTGAGTAGGAAACTTCAGCAGTTGATCCATTATTAGGGCATATTTGGCATTTAGTAGAGATAGAATAAAATCCGCCGATACATTAGCAATTACCGTTTTACAATTAGCTAGGTTTAGTCGAGTAGTGGCAGTACTAAAAGGAGGCCTAGAATAGTGAAAAAAGAGCAAGGCAAATGTTTACTTTTTTCATTTATTTTAAACTTTTGAATGTTTGAAATTTTATTTTTTTAATTGTTTTATATCTATCTAAGTTAGGTTTTGGAATCTATTTTAACATACATACCTCAGAATATAATTTTCTATAACCTCATATACATCTTCTATAAATTCAAATAACTTTGTTTTAATTATAAGTAAGTAAATTTATTAATTTAATAGTGATTTCTTAAACTGTTGTGTATTATGAAAGTAAATTAAATAGTTCTATCTATTATTTAATTAAAATTCACCAGAAAATTAATTAAAAAATCTGGTGAATGCTTAAGGTTATTAATTTAATTAAAATTTTGTGGTATTTTTTAAAAGTAAAATTAAAATAGCACTCTTAATAGCAAAAATATTAATTTAGCTTAACTTTAATTAAAGGAAGAAAAAAAATTTACTTATCTGATTACAAGTTAATACATCAAAACACATTTATTTCATTAAATTTTTTTCATTTTAATTAAATTTCTTCTTTTTAATTTACTTCAGCTTTCAATATATTTTGTATAATTTGGAGGCATCAAAATTTCTAATAAGCAAGCCTTAATTACAAACATATTTACATTCTCTAACAAAGAAACCTAAGTTTTTAATTAAAATTTTGCTTTCATAATTTAATCATATTTAATGTTATTAAATCAATATTATTTTGTCTTAAATAAAAATACATATAAAAAAGCATTTATCTGTATTTTAAAAAGCTAATGTAATTAATTTCATTGTAAATTTTAAAGTTCAAAAAGATATAATATTTTAGTAAAGCGCACATATTAAAATTCTAGAAAAGTGATTTTACAAGATAAGAAATCTAGTTTAAAAATTATGATTATAGAGAAATGAAGTGCATTAAAATGATTGCTTATTACTTTGGAGTGATTACAAAAAGAAATGCTAAAGGAAATAAGTATAATAAAGAAAATCTTTGATTATTAACTTAATTGCTAATTTTTTTAGTTGTATTATTTAAATGAATTTTAATTAATTTCCTTATTCCAATAATAAAAATGGCTCTGATATGAATTATCTTTTTTTTAATTATTATTGAGAAGTAAGTAAGTTATTTATAATGATTTTCATAAACATTTTAATTATAAATACAATAATTTAAAATAGAATTACAATTTGTTAGGATTTAGCTTAAATGGATGAATTAATAAATAATTCAAAAATCAGTGAGTGAAAAAAGATATTTTAAATTTAAAAATTTTTATTAATAATTTCAACAAAATAGTTTTTTTTCTTTTTAAGATTAATGGAGAATATGTAATTAGAGATATTTTATAAAAGCTATAAAACAATTTAAACATTTTAGTAAAATATTAAATGAATTATTTTTTTATGATAGCAAAATAGGAGGATGATTCTTAAATATTCTTTCTAATATGCTACTTAAAATCTTCTTGTAAGCTTTTTTTAATTTATTCTTTTTCTTTTATCATTTTCCATATCAAAAAATAGTTTATATTCAGATTATCATTATTTCGATATCGAGAATTAACTAAAATTTATTAAATTATAAACAAAATTAGTTAAATTAATTATTATTTGAAATTTTATAAACTGTTTTATAAGGGCTATATAATGATGGTACTTTTATTAATTCATAAGTATAAACAAAGTTATTGAAAAATCTAAATTTAAGATTCTACATTATTTTTAACATGAAAAATTTATAATAAATTAATTAAATAAATTTCCAATATAACTCTTTTTTATGAACAAAAAAATGAGATAGAGATAGAGGATAATTTTATATAATTTATTAGTTAAATGTGTTATTTTAAATAGATTTATTTATACTTACATTAAAAATTGCTCTGAATTTGAATACTATCAGTATTAAATTGTATCAAATTATATTGATTCTAAAAATATAATTATTGAAGAATTTTAAATTTGAAGGTATCTTTTTTTTAGAATTTATTTGATAGAAAGTTCTTCCAATCATAAATTTTTATTACATATTGCTAAATAATTGATTTAAAGGTGAATAATGTTCATAGTTTTTATTCTTTATGATTGATTGAGATTATATCTGTGTAGCATTCTATATCTTTAGAATAATTAGTTATTAAATTTTTTAATACACCAAAATACTTCTCAAGACTTAATTTAGAATGTCCAGGTATCATGAATTAAATAATAAAAATATGAAAATCCATAATTATTTTTATTTGTTCCTGGACAATAAATTGCCCAGGTATATTATTAAACATTTAGATATTTTTACAAATTTTTTATGTAATGATAAATTGTTACCTAAAATATATTTTTATAAATAATAAAAATTAACAAAAAATAAAAAATTGCAGTACTTACTTACAAGAGCTACAAAATGTAACTAATTTTTTGAAAGTTATAAAAAACTAATAATTATGAAAATATCTAAAAAACAAAAATATCATAATCAAAAAAAATAGACTGTTATTACCTAAGCTCAAACTCAAATTTGATAAATTAGTACATTTCTGCAAACCATAACTTAAGCCTGATGCTCTTTCATCACTTATTCAATTCTTAATTTTTAAATATTGATAAAAAAATATATAGATAGATAGTTTGTTAGTTAGTTAGTTAGTTAGTTAGTTAGTTAGTTAGTTAGTTAGTTAGTTAGTTAGTTAGTTAGTTAGTTAGTTAGTTAGAAGAATAAATGAAGAAATATATGAAATAATAAGAAATCAAAAAAATGAAAATTACAAAGAAACAAAGAAAAATAAATAAATTAATTAAAAGATATTTTAAATTAATTTTTATATTGAAAAAATATCACAATTCAAAATAAATAAACTGTTTTTACTAAAGACAAAGTGTCAAATTTGAGAGATTTGTTAGTTCACTTTCCTAAACCTAAATCTAAGTATTATGCATCTTCATCACAAATTTAATTTTAACTTTTTAAAAAGTGAACAAAAAATGAATACATAGTTAATTAGTTTAAAACAAAAATGAAGAAATAAAAAGAAAAGTAAAAGTTGAGTTTTAAAAAACGAGTTGAATTTACAAAGAAAGAAAGAAAGAAAGAAAGAAAGAAAAAAAGAAAGAAAAAAAGAAAGAAAAAAAGAAAGAAAAAAAGAAGATAAAAAAACACAAGTATAATAAAAAAAAGTCAAATAAAAAGCTAATTAAAAATGATCTGATTTGCGAGATATAACTAAATAATCAATGTAATTTTAATTTTTTGGAATGTTAACATTTATATCAGGGGTTATTTCGTTAGACAAAATACTCTTTTTTTTATAAAATTAAAAATATTTGATTTAAAAAAATAAAATGGTTTTAAAGAAATAGTGCTTAAAGTAATTAAGTAAGACTGATTATTTATTACATTTACAAATAAACCGTTTTTTTGATAAAAATTAATTAAATGAAATATGCAATATTTTTAATTAAGAATTCATAAGAAAATACAAGGTTATTATTAATATGTAATTAAATAATTGTAAGACTATTAGGAGCTCTTACTTAAATAATGATTACCTATAAAAGTACTTAAGTCTAGTTGATATAACAATTTAAACTAACTTTGTTGCAAAATTTTTTTAGATAACTAATTTTAGTAAATTAACACTTTAAGAACATTTGAAAACTTACAAAAGTTAATATATAATTTATAGAGTTCGCTTTATATGTAAATACATTTTAATGTGTTAATTGAATAAAATAAATGATAAAAAATTGTAATATTATCAAAAATGATTATTCCTTTTTATTATTACATTCATTCATTATTTATATCATTATTAATATTCTTAGAAGTTCAATTTTTAGGTCTTATTTTATTTAATATATTTTTATTTATTTAAAATTAGAAGAAAGCTAGTAGAATAATATAATAGAATCAATTTACCATGAAAACATACTTTTCAAATGTATTAAGATAATCTTTTGTAATAAAAGTAAAAAGAATTAATTAGATAAATATTGCTTAACTAAATTTAAGTCTAGTAAATTAATTAATTTCAAAGACATCAAATTAAATAGATAGATACTTCGTTTAATCACTCTATCAAATCAAAGATATTTTTACATATTAAAGCCAAGAAAATCTTAACTTTTGCTTTTTATAAAAGGTTCTAAAGAATTGATATAAGCAGATAGGCATTTACTTTTGCTTATTACTTTCATGCGTTCTAATAAATGACAATTTAATTTATTTTTTCTTAATCTAATCTTGAGGTAATTAATACTTTAAAAAGCAAAATTTGATGATTAATCGCTTTCATAAAATTAGTTAAATTATCAAAAATTTATTTCCACTAGATACCTCTCTATATTTTTATTTATTTTAAATTAGAAGAAAGCTAGTATAATAATATAATAGAATCTAATTTACCATGAAAACATACTTTTCAAATGTATTAAGATAATCTTTTGTAATAAAAGTAAAAAGAACTAATTAAATAAATATTGCTTAACTATATTTAAGTCTAGTAAATTAATTAATTTCAAAGACATCAAATAAAATAGATAGATACTTCGTTTAATCACTCTATCAAATCAAAGATATTTTTACATATTAAAGCCAAGAAAATCTTAACTTTTGCTTTTTATAAAAGGTTCTAAAGAATTGATATAAGCAGATAGGCATTTACTTTTGCTTATTACTTTCATGCGTTCTAATAAATGACAATTTAATTTATTTTTTCTTAATCTAATCTTGAGGTAATTAATACTTTAAAAAGCAAAATTTGATGATTAATCACTTTCATAAAATTAGTTAAATTATCAAAAATTTATATCCACTAGATACCTCTCTTTATCATATTCCCCTTAACCTAAGGGATGCTTACTTAATAAATAAATATTATTTATAGTACGAACGAACAGTAAGGAATTAGTCAGTTATATGTAAAAAATAAGTACTAATTATATTAATAAAATTAACTAGTTTTAATCATAACTAATTTAGTTATAGTTAATTTCGTATCTATTTTACTTAATTAATTTACTTAAAACAGTCATAGAGATTGTGATAAATGAAGAAATGCTAGAAGAAAACAAGTAAACAAATTGTCAGAAAAATATAATTAAATAAATAAATATTAAAAAAGATAGAAATAAAAATAAATAAATTTATTAGTAATCAAATCATATGAGATTCCTTATCTTAGCTCTAATAATTATTGTTTCTCTAGCTAATGTTAATGCTTAATTTAGTGGTGATATCTAAAAGGTACTTGAATGCTTTGACTCACAAGGAGGCTAATTTGAATGTTTTATTGATGATAAAATATGTAATGATGAAGTTATTGTTGTCCAAAGTTGCATAAATGAAATTGAATAAAGCTCAACATCTTTAAAAGCTATAGGCTTACTTCTAAAATCTAAATGCTCATCTTAAGTAAAAGAGGTATAAGCTACTATTGAAAAGAAGTCAGAATGCTACTTACTTGGTGAAGTCACAGAAGATTAATAAGATAATAACAATCAAAAGGACTAAAACAACTAAAATAGTCAAAAAGAATAAGATTAACAAAACAATTAAGACAAGGACCAAAAAGATTAAGATTAAAAAAATGATCAACCACCAAAAAATGATCAACCATCAAAAAATGATCAACCACCAAAAAATGATCAACCATCAAAAAATGATCAACCACCAAAAAATGATAATAATGACAAAGAAAATTAAAGCAACGATACCAAATAAGATCAAAATAGTCAACAAGGAAAAAATGATAACAAAAACGAAGAAAATCAATCTACCAATCAAAATAATCAAAAAGATTAAGAAAAATAAGATAATAATCAAGAAGCCAAAAAAGACCAAAAAGACTAAAACAATCAAACAGACAGCAATTAAAATGATCAAAAAGATAAAGATAATTTAAAAGACAAAAATAATGATTAAAACAACCAAAAAGATAAAGTAACTAATTCTGCTAAATCAGAATAAAGTTTCTACTCAAATGGTATTACTTTGATGCTTTCATTAGGATCTATTGCAATAGCTATTTTATTTTGAAGTTATTAAATATTTATTTGTTTTTAAATAAAATTTTATATCATAGTATTTATATTAGTTTTAAAATAATTGTAAAATTATGTACATTTAAAAATAAAAATTTTAAGATTAATTTCTATTTATTTTTCTTATACCTTTACATGCAAGATTAAAATTAATTCTTAAAATAGATATATAATTATTACATTTGATTATGTTATATATTTTAATTAATATTTTTAGTGATAGTTATTATTTATATTGAACAGAATAACATACACAAAAACAAAATGATATTTAAGTTAAGTCAAATTTATAAACTAAATATTTTTTTAAGTGTTTTACTTAATCAGTACTATTATTTTTAATTTAATACTAGTAGCTAGCTAGTAACCATTACCATCCTCATTAATTCTTAATTAATTTATATTTAGCTGATTTTTATTTACATATCAGCTATCAAAATAATTAATTGAAAAGTGCTTTATAAAAATAATATTTTAATCTGTTAAAATATTTTTTAATTCAGTAAACCAAAATTTATTTGTTTGTGCTTAAAAAAATAGCTTATTTAGAAAAAGCTAAATATTTAAAAAATATAAGTCAATTACTAATATTTCTAGACTTAATATCTCTGTCTGTAATATGTAACAAAATATAAAAATAAATAATACCAGATATTTAATTATTTTGTACTAACTTAAAAATGAATGAAAATAAATTAACTAGATATTTGAAAAAAGAGAAGTTTTTATTGATAATTAAAATGGTTACTTATTTTATTTGATATTACCAAACTATTATACTTTATAATTAATTAATTTAAATCACATATAAATCATTTGTTTGACTTTTATTTTTTTAACTGGACTCAAAGTAAGTAAGTAAGACAGACAGACATTATGTAAAAAATTGAATTAAATAAAATCAAAAATAATAAAGATATATTTATTTATTTATTTATTTACAATGAATAGTAAAAACGATAATTTTGAAAACTAAAAATTTAATATTGAGAATATAATTAGTTATTTCAATAATTTTTAATATAATTATACTGATTCTTTTAATATACCTTATTTTTTCATTCTATTTTCTGATTAACAAATATAATCTATCATATTAAATTACTTCTATTTAATTTACTAAAAATCGCGGTTTAATTGCTAATTAAGTCATTAAATAGCGTTTTACAGTAAATGAAATTATAAAAATTTTAATTAACTATTACTAAATTTCTGAAATAATCTCTATTAGTATTTGATCAGATTTAATAATTAATTCGTAATTAATAATTGCGCTGGCTGGTAACAAAATAGAGTAAATTATAAAAAGCTAGTTTTCATTTACTTGTAAATTACTATAAAAATGGTTGAAAATTCTAAAAGGATCTTAGAATGATAGATGAATAAGCGCTATAATAAGCTTGAGTTTTAAACATCTTCCTATATTTAAAGAAATGATATATGTAAAATTTTAATCTTTAAAAATTTAGATGATATTTTAAAGAATGAATTAAAAATATTTATTTAGAAAAGCTGCATTTTCATAAAGCATAAAAAGACAAATAATTATTTTAACGTAAGTATTAGCTATTAAATATGATTAGTAAAATATTTAAAATAAATATTTCTAATTATTGGAAATATTTTAAGCAATAATTATATATAGATTTATATTTTAAAAGCGATTTAGTCAAAAATATTAATTTGTCTGATAAAGGTTAAACAAATAATGAAAAAACATTAATTAGAAACAAATAAAACTAAAAAAACTTTGATTCTTCTTCTTCTTGGTTTTTAATTTAGTAAGACTTTTTATAACATTGAGAATCATAAAATAGTTAATTTTAGTTAGATCTTCAATCAATTTAAATCCTTTCATTCTTCAGTTTGGAAATATATGCATTTAATAATGATAAATATTTTTCATGGAACTAACAAAAATTTCATATTATGATTTAGAAAGAGCATTTATTCTTTCATTCGATATTAGAATATATTTATTTACAAATTATAATAAATAAATATATAGATTACTTTATAGACATATTTACATTTCAATTAATTAATAAATAAATAGAGTGTTATTATTTTCAAAGTAGAAAAATGATAGCAGCAATTAGTGATAAAGAATATATTAAAACATTTGAGCTTAGACATGATGCTGACTCATCAATATTATTTTAAATAGCTTAATTATCAGATCTACAATTTTATGTAATACATTATGCAATATCATTTAAATAATTATTTCTAGCGCAATCTTTAACACACTGTTAGGCTTTGAAGTTTTCGATCTGGCAAGCTTCATCATTTTCTTTACAAGGAATATTAGCATTTACATTTTATACACAGTACATCATCATCCTAATATCGTCTGAAGACTAAGAGCAAACAAACTTAAAGCAGGCTAAAATAATTAATACTGAGATAATTATTTTCATTTATTTTTGAATATTCTTTTTTTAATTTGATAATTAACTTTTTTTTTTGAAATTATGATTTATTACAAGTAAGCTTTGCTAGATCTAAGCTTAAAAAGAATAATAGTATCAAAATTTAGATTAATTAATTCTAATTATTTTTTTAATGTTTATCTATCTATCTCTCGTCTTTCGTTAAATCAAAATATTTCGATTTTTGATAATTAAAAATAAATAGAAATTTATTAAGATATTTACTAAAGAGCATATTAATGAATAATTAGATTTTAAAATTCACTATCAAAGTGAAATAAATTAATAGCTTTTCCTTACTCTATTTATTTAATAAAATTACTCATAAGATTATTAAGCTAATAGCTTATATAAAGTTCTTAATATATAACAGCCCTTTAAAAATCTAAACAAAAACAGAGGAATCCTTCAAATAATTTCATTTTTTTTTTAAAATCAGAAATACCACTTAATTTTTTTTATCATCTAAGAAATTAGTAAAATTTAAATATAAATAAATAAAGAGTTATAGAGCTAAAAAATTTTAAATCTTTTTGTAATATTAATTGGATGTGATTTAATTTTATAGGTATTTAAAATTAAATTCTAATATTAACTAAAAATTAATCCGATTTAACCAAGTTAAGAACAATAGATAAATATTATCCTTACTAAGATCCCCAATAAATATAACTTAAAGATCTATTTTTTAATTTTTTAATAATAGAAAAATAGTAAAATGGATTTTAATTTTTAATTTTGCTTGTATTTTTTATTTATTTCTTTGTTATTTAGCTCCTTTTTACATTTTCAACTTTTGCTTTCATTATTTATTAATTCATTTCTTATGATTTCAAATTTATTCTTCATTTTTTTCCTTCTAAATAATTAATTAAATAACTATATTTTACTTCAATATTTCTAAAGTGTTTAAGAAAGAGCTCTAATCTCTCAAATAAGGAACTTGAAATTTGGTAAAAACTATTCATTTGCTTTGAATTGTATTATTTTTTAAAACAAAAACGAATTTAAAACTATTCAACTAACTCTTTTAATTTAAATATTTATTAGCTTTTTATTTGATATATTTTTACTCAACTTGTGTTTTTTCTTTCTTCCTATGTGAATTTAACTCATTTTTTCACTTTCAAACTTTAGCTTTTATTATTTTATTCATTTGTTTTTTATTATTTTCATTTTTTCCTTCTAACTAACGAATCACCTGTATATATATTTTCTTCAATTTTTAAAAAGGTCTAATTTATTTGGTGATGAATGTGCAACAATTTAGGAAAGTTAACTGAATTCTCAAATATGAAACTTGATTTTTAGTAAAAACAATTTATTTATTTTGTATTATGGCATTTTTTAATATAAAAAACTAATTTAAAATAACTCTTTTAATTTATTTATTTTATAATTCTTCTTGCGTTTTTTTTTTCTTTGATAATTTAGCTCATTTTTTATTTTCAAATTTTGCTTTTATTATTAATTCATTTCTCTTTATTTATATTTTTTTACCTTCCAAAATAACTAACTAATCTATAATTTTTATTCAATGTTTAAAAACTAAAAATTAAATTGGCGATAGAATAGAATAGAAATACTCATACATATAAATGCACTCAGAATACAACTTAAAATTTATTTTTTTTATATTTATATATTTTTATTTTATTTTGTATTTATTAGGTGTAGAAGCTATTTCATATTCATAATCATAAATGAAAACCATTTATTTTAATTTAAATCCATTTTTTGATTATTTTACATACATGCATACACTCAATTTCCTCTTTTTCCTAAAAACCTAAAAATTTGATAAAAATAATGTAAAATCAATTTTTGTAAATTTAAGCTATTTTTGTTTCTTATGAAACTTAATTGATTGATAGTTTGTTTAGGGTATTTAATTATTTATTTATATTATCTTTATAGTGATTATTTATACTTGAGTAAGTGTTCTCAAATTTATATCATAAATGGTAAAATTTTAAATGCTTTTGCTTACCCTAAATACTCATTAATTATTTTTGCAAATATCTAAAGCATTTTTAATTTTACTATAATAATTTTTTGCGTTAATTTAAATTAAAATAAATATCAATAGGTAGGAATTGTTTCAGTAAAAAATTATAAATTTGTAATGAAAATAAATACCAATATTAATTATGAAGTTAATATAAATTTCTACTGAAAAGGCTTAGAAATTTAATAAGAAAATAAACATAAAAGTGTAAAGGAAGGAAATAAAAATAAATGATTGATATGAGCAGAGAAATATGTAAATTAGCTAATAAAATAAATTTGAAAATAGAGTTAATTAATTAACTAACTAAGAAACAAAGTGGGTAAACAATTAATTTTTTTTCTCAATGAATAAAAGCTTAAACCGATCTCTCAAGCAAGTACAAGCAAGCAAGCAAGCAAGCAACCAAAAAATTATCCTGAATTTATTAACCTTTTTTATGTATTGATTATGAAATTGTAATGTAAAAGAAATTTAGATCATGTTAACATATGAATTAAGTATTAAAAACAAATATTAATAGACTTGTTAAATTATTACTTGTGAATTAATATATTTAAAAATAAGATAAAAAATAATTTAAACAATATATTTAAAAACAAACAAACAAAATGAAATCTGAATGCCATTTATGCTAAATGACTGTTTAAAATCTTGCTAAATGCACTAAGACTCGTTGTCGCAATTTTTTTTGTGAGAAATGCATCCAAGAAAATTTTGATAAAGGGTTTATTTATCATATTTGTTATAAAGAAGGCTGCTGGGTTTGCTACGCATGCTAAAATGTCTGTTGCTGCAAGCTTTGCAAGGGAGAACTACTATTATACAGCAAGAAATCTCTTGCAAAGCGTAAAAATAAAAATATCGAAGCATTGAAATAGTCTTCTGTGTTAGAAAAGAGCAGCTCTACGATTTCAAACATCTAAGAAACAGAAAAAGAAAAAGATTCCAGTGATGATCTACTTTTACACAATGATGATTTTGTAAAAAGAGTATTTTAAGACGATAACGAAACTATAATCAATGGATTTAAATATAATTTGAAATAGCCAAGAATGTTAAACTAGAAAATTACGAAATCTTTACCATTGTACAACAAAGAATATCACTTTAATAAATTTTATAGAAGAAAAATGCTATTAAAAGCTTTATGATTAGTTTTTATTTATTAATACAAAGGAAGTAAGTACTACAATCTAGTACAAAGAAAATAACATTTGCATAGAAAATTAATTTTACTAACTAAATGCTAAAAATTTATTATTTATTAATCAGACAATGCACTAAATATGAATGAATAATTAACTAATTAACTTTTAATGAAATTATTTTAATTTAAAAATATCTTTTTACAAATTATTGTTATATATATCTAATAATTCTTTATTCAATTAATAATTAGTATTTTAAATATTTATAATAGCTCTAACCTTCTTTTGATTTCTATCTTACTCACTCACTCAAATTAATTACACTAAACAACTGATTATTTTTCCAGATTTAAGTATAAATACAATTTTCTATATAATAATTATTTTCCTTAATTATTTGGAATATTTTTATCAATTATTAATACACAAATAATTTTGGAATTCTATTCAATTTGTACTAGTAAAACATTTTGTATAAAAAAGCATAATTATTTAGTATATATTATTGATTACCTCTAATTTAAATACGCGCGTGAATGGATGGGTGTATGTATGTATGTATGGATGTTGTTTGTATCCGGGATTAATAAAAAAATTAATTAATTTATTGTAATACAAATTAATTTTCACTATTGTTGAGAAATTTAGCATTAAATCATAATTAATTAATTTATAAAAAGAAGATATTTGATATATTTATTCACCAGATATAGTAATAAGTTTCTTAAAAATTAAAAAAATTATAATTCATAGACAGTTAATTGAAAATAACATATGTTTATTTTTATTAATTCGTAGAGTAATTTTCTTCAAATAAAATATTAAAAAATGAAGTATTTTAATACAAATATAATAGTTTTAATTTCTTCTTCTTTTTTATAGATTTATTTTCTTTTTCGCATATTTTAAAAATTTTATAACAAAAGATATGAAAATGATCAAGCAAGCAAGAATTTAATCTACATAAGAAACCATATTTCTTTATAGTTAGACCTATTCTTAGATTAAAATTTTGTTATTCTCATATTCATAATAAAAAAAAATTTTGACAATTTTAATTAAAGAACCGGAGTTTTAGTTAATAAGGATTGATATTATATTAATTCCTTTAAAAATATTTTTATAAAATATATAATTAGAATTTTTAGTATAAACAAGAGTATTAAATAAAATATAATTAAAACATTTAATTGATTTTATTAATGACTTTTTGTAAAATCAGTCAATAATGATTTGTTTAAATACTAATTTATTTAATTTTGGAACTAATCTTGTGACTTTTACCACCTCATTGGCATTCAAGTTGAGTTTGCTTTTAATCAAATGAAAATATTATATATAATATCAATAATAAATAGGTAAAATTAAATTAAATTAAAATAATTTCTAAATATCTTTAAAATTTATTTGTTAAAAATAAATATCTTTCTTTTTTATGCTAAAATATCCAAAAATATTTTCTTTGAAAATTTATTTTAAATTATTTAAGTAATTTAATAGAAAAAACAAACTAACCTCAAATAAAGCTCTAAGCTTGCGAGATTCACACAGCTTTTTAACGCTTATTTAAGACTCTTCAAACCATTCTTTCCTATCTTATTCCATCTTTTTTATAATTAAATTATTTTAAAAATTCAGAAGAAAAATATATTGAAATATTTTTAATATACCTTAAATCGAGCTTCAAAATCATGATATTAGTATTTATGATGTCAGAATTTAAACCATGAGCACAGTTAGCACCTTTAGCTCTTTTAATTAAAGTTAATATTTTTAAATTAAAAATACTTGTGAGTTTTAATATTTTAATATAATTAAGATTTCATATTTTTAATATTTGTTCTTCTTTTAAACATATTATTTTATTTTAGCTTACTTAAGATTTATAGTTAAGTTGCGTAGATGCTTGCAAATTTTTAGGCATGCCCATAAATCATGAGAACCGTTCGCAGTGATTTTGTTAAGGCTTAATAAATATTTAAGTTTTTTGTCATTATGTTTAATTAGGAATTAAATCAAATAATTTTTAGATTTATTAAATTGAAAGAAATTATTTTAACCTAAGATTTAAGATTAATTCTGACAAAATTTTGAAATTCTTTAAAGCTGATCCTAATTCAGAAATTCCTTTATCACTGAATTTATTATATCTTCATATTAATAAAATCATTAAAAAATAAATTAGTAAGAGCTGTTTTTAGTAAATTTAAATTATCACGATAAATCTAGAGCTAAATTTGAGAGATTAGGGCAATTAGATAGAGCATTTGCTAAGTCTGAAATACCCTCGTCATAAATTTCATTAGAGCTTTTAAAATAAAATTGAAACTTAAATATAAAATAATCCTAAATTATTGATTGTTATTTCTTTAAATTTAATGAGTTTTACTACTTTATCTGTAATATTTGTTTATTCAAATTTGTTAATTGCTAAAATAATTGTTCATTTATTACAGACAGATAAATAATATTTCAGATAACTATAAAAAAATAATTTTTTTAAATATGTGTACCTTAAATCCAATGTTAATGATGATAAATGTGTGCAATCTATTAAAGCAAATCCCAAATCAGATATAAAATTATCACCTATTTTGTTTAAGCTTTTTGAAAAAATAAAATTTTGATTTGTTTATTAATACATTTTATTTAATAATAATAAAAATAATATACTGTAAATGCTCATTAATTAAGGCATTCCCTAAGTATCTTTTTTGCCCAAAAAAAAGTACCATACACCATAGTCGAAAAAAAAAAAATTTAAGAAAAAAATGCCATAATTAAAGAGCATTTACAGTATATATATTTGGAGTTTTATTTAAAGTTTTTGTAGAGAATTAATTTCATTTTTTACCTTAATTAGAGTGTCAAATTAACAAGTTGTTGGCATAATCTTAAGCTATTTGCCAATTTCAAAGCATCTTCTTCATCAACCTTATTCCACCTTGAAATCAATAAAATTTTGTTGTTATTAAAGAAAATTAAAATAAACAAATAAATAATTAAATAAATCGAATAAATGATTAAAATAATTTAATAATTATTTATTCTATTTGATAAATTTAAATGAATTAAAGAAATTAATTTCAAAAATAAATAAAAAATTTTACTTGAAGTTTAACAGCAACTGCGTATGCTAAGATAAATTAGATTTAGAAAACTTTTAAAGCAAAAAGCAAAAATATTATTAAAGTATTCAAATAAGAAATGAATTACATCTTCTAGATGACTGTATTTCTTATTCTATAAAATCATTCTTTTTTAACTTAGATTTATTAAATTTTATTTGATCAAAATTGATACATATTAAATTTATCAATTTGACTGATTGTTTATTTGTTTAATTTTTAAATTTATAATCAAATTAGTGTGATTTTTCTCTAATCAAATGTTTATATTATAAATAAATTGAGGTTAAATTTAATTAACGAAATTCTTCAAAAAAAATAAAGTATTTATTTTTAATCTAAAGTATAAATAGAAATATTTGAGGCTTAATTAATAATAACAAATATTTTTAAAAGTCTTACTTACTTTATTTTAAAAGGTTTTATTAAGGTTTTTCAATAACTTTGTTAAAATCTAGTGTTAGAGCTGATGATACATACTTTTCACAAAATATATATGAAGATTTTCCTTGATGTAAATCTTCTATTACTAAATTACGAAATAAAAAGTGATACTTTTAAGTCAAGACTATTCTAGAATCGTATCAATTTAATTAAATACTTGCTAAAATAAATTGGTTATAGCTAATTTATCTCAAATTTTAGAGTAAGTTTAGTAGCTGTTTATAGAACTCAAATAATCCAAAAAAGAAATCTTTCATCCTAGAAATAAAAGGGAATCAATAAAATAGACTTATTTTGCTTATTTTTTTGTTAGATTAATGAATTACTAAAATTACATAAAATTCTACTAAAATTAATTATTCTTCATATTTGGGTTTAAGCACTCAATAAAGTTATTACAGAGAATATAAGCAAAATAAATATTACATCTAAATTTATTGATATATTAAAGCAGGAAACAATGGTTGTGAAGCTTAATTGGTTTTTAAAATGTAAGATAGAAATTAAATGAAGTTAGAGTCATTAATTATAAATATCTGAAATATTAATTATTAACTTAAATAACTTAAGCGATTAGATAGATATAACAAAAAGTTGTAAAATATTAATTTAAAATATAAAAATAATTTTATTTTTAGTTGTATTTGATATATTTTTACTCTGTCCTATAAATAAATTATGTGATATTAGCATGTTATTTTTGAAATTATTAAGATATAATTAATTTTCTCTTTATAAAAGATAATAGTATTTCTTTTGATTTAATTAATAAAAGCTATTCATAGAACTTTTAATAGCATTTTTCTTCTATAAAATTTATTTGAGTGGTATTCTTTGCTGTAAGAAGGCAAAGACTTTGTAATCTTTTAGTTTAGCAATCTTTGTTGTTTTAAGTTATATTTAAATGCATTATTTGAAGTTTCGTTCTCTTCTTATGATAATCTTTTTTCGAAATCATAGTTGTGCGAAAGAAGATCATCACTAGAATCTTTTTCTTTTTCTGTTTCTTAGATGTTTGAAGTCGTAGAGCTGCTTTTTTCTATCACTGAAGGCTATTAAACTGTTTGAATATTCTTATTCTTGCGCTTTGCTAGAGATTTCTTGCTGTAAAGTAGTAATTCTCCTTTGCAAAGCTTGCAACTACAGACATTTTAGCATGCGTAGCAAACCCAGCAGCCTTCTTTGTAAGAAATATGATATATAAATCCTTTATCGAAATTTTCTCTGATGCATTTCTCACAAAAAAAATTGCGGCAACGAGTCTTTGTGCATTTCGCAAGGTTTTGAACAGTCATTTAGCATAAATGGCATTCAGACTTCATCTTATTTTTCAATATATAGAATATTGTTTTAATTATTTTTTATCTTAATTTTAATCTATTAAAAAATAAATAAATAATTAATTAATTAATACCTTCACTTCACAAGTAAATTAATATATGTTATTATTACTAAATTCTTTTATTAATACTATCTATTTTTCTATTAAACCTATTTCTGTTAGTGCCTATAACAATCCATATAAACAAAAGAGGAATATAGATTAAGAATTTGCTTGCTTATTTATTTATGAGAATTGTTAGAAGCTCTTTCTTTCTAATTAAAAAAAGTAAATTTGAAAGATTAAATTTTACCCATTTTTTTTTGTATTCTTATGCCTTAAAATATTGAAATATATTTATTTATTCTCCCATTTAATTTAAATATTTTGTTTGATTGTTTGTTTGTGTCATTTTTTTATCATTATTGAGAAATAAATTTAAATATATTTTCATTCTTAATTCACAAATGTGCCATATCAAATTCATATTTATTAGAGATTTTACCATTTTTTTTCATTCGGCCATATAACCATATAATAATATAATATGGTAATCAATTTTTTAATTATACCAAATAAATACCATATTTTCCTTGAAATAAAAACTGAATACCAAAATTATATTTTGCAAAAAACTGTATGTGTTATCCGATGTTCCCATTGAAACCATAAAAAAAATGTTTGGCAGCAAGAAAAATTTATACTGGGCTGTATGGCATTAAATAATGAATAATAAATTAATTTTTTTGTGATACCTATTCATAAAAGCAAATTTATAAATTAATATTCGATAATTAATTATTAAAATTTATTTGTTCTTTTTATCCAATTATAATTAATTAATTAAATTCCTTAAATTTCTATCCAATATTTTTGAAAAAAAAATAAATGATATAAAAGATTAAATATTACAGAAAATTAGATGAGGTAATTATTTATTTTTTTATTTATATCCTTTAAATTTATTTTTATTAATAAAAAAAGCTTTTAAAGCCTTCACTTTAATCTCATAAGGTTCTCCATATTAATATGAAGTATATTTAATTTATAAATATTATTATTATTTTTTATATATTTAATTTTCAATTTATTTAAAAAAATAATATTTCAAATAAATATTTTCATAATTATTCTTTGATTAGTATTTATACCTAAATTATTTAGCTATTTTAACTTAATTTTCATTTCAATTTTTCATTATTTATTATTCATTTTTTATTATTTTATATTTTTTATTCATTTATTTTTTGCTATTAACACTTTCACTTGATAAAAACAATTTATTTATTTTTAATTATAAAAATTAATTTAAAACATTAAAGCTCTTTTAATTTATTTAATTTATTTTAATTTTTACTTTTATTGTACTTGTTTTTTTTTGTTTTTTCTTTATGAATTTAACTCATAATTTTATTCCCAATTTTAGCTTTTATTATTAATTAATCTTATTATTTCATATTTTTTCTTCAATATTTAAAAAGTTACAAATCAATTGGTAATATGGGAACATCAGGCTTAGGTTCTGCTTTAGCTAATTGGATTAATCTCTCTAATTTGACACTTTAACTTTCGTAATAACAATTTATTTATATTTCTTTTTGATATTTTTAAATATAAAAACTAATTTAAAACAATAGTAAATATACATCTTAATAATATTAGAGTTTCATTAATATTGAAGAAGATAATCTATTTATTTATTGATTTATTTATTTATTTTAGCTGTTTATTTTCTTCCTAAACTACTAATAAATCATCAGAAACCTTCTGCATTAGATGAGTAAGTAGGTGTAAGATAGCTTGCAATAAAACTAGAATCTGATCTAATCTATAAAGCTTAATTAATTATTTACTATACTATTACAATTATTACAATTAGATTATATTTTTTCTAATTTAGTATCCACTTCAATAAATCTTTTTCCATTTCATAGTTTTCCTCTGTTTGGATTAGAATTATTTTTATTTGATTTATCTTTTTCTTGTTGAATAAAGAGGGATTTATTGTTTCTCACAGACTTTTCACATGATTTTATATTTTATGGTAATAAAAGTATTATTTTTTATTTTAATTTCTTCAATATCAATCCTTTATTTTCATTGAAATATCAATCTTTTCTTTTTTATCTAAGATCTACTCATTCATTATCAAATTCTTAATGCTATTTTTAATTTACAAAACTAATTTAAAACAATAAAGCTCTTTTTCTTTATTATTTTTATTGTGCTTGCTTTTTTTTTTTCTTTATTAATTTAAATAATCATTTTATTTTCAACTTTTGCTTTTATAATTAATCTTATTATATCATATTTTTTCTTATTTTATTTAAATTTATACAAATTTGTTAAAAAAGTTTTAACCAAATAAATGAACAATAAAGATTCAAAGTAATAAGCAAGTGTCTTAAATAAAAAAGATTATTTGTCTTTGAAAAAAAATTTTGATGATAAACAAGTGGCAAAAAAAACGATGCATACATATTATATAAATGTTTGAATAATTGAATATTAAATGATTTATTATTTAATATTTTTAAAAAGTTGTTTTAACCTAAAAAAAAGATAGATTTTAATACTGTTTTTATATTTATAAAAATCATATTTTTGTGAATTAATAAATAACTAATAAAAAATAAAAAAAATAAATTTACTTAAATAAATTAATTCTTCTTAAGTCAGTTTTGTATAAAAAATAAATAGGCATTTTTTAAAAATTTAATCACACGTAATATGTAGATCTGATATATAAAAAAAAAAAGCAATTACTACTTAATTTTCCATCTTTAATTAAAAACTTATAGAAATTTCTCTAATTGGGTATATAATTTCAGAAAATTTCAATACCATGGTTAGCTTTTTAAAAATAAAATATGCCATATTCATTGAAAAAATTTAATAAAAATTAAATTTAGATATTCTTGATTGATTTATTTGAAATATTTCTAACTTAAAAAATCATAAATACAGATTTATTTTATTTAAAAAGATTGTTAATTTATGAGTTCATTTATTTCTTATCTAAAAAAAAATTAACTAAATAAATTTCATTAATTAAATAAACTAAAAAATTAAAATACAACACTTTATATTTATTTACTTAAGAATAAAACTTCAATTAAAAAAATATAAATAACATTAGTAATGGAGTAATAAGTTCATATCAGCAATACTAGAGCTAATATTATTGATATTTTTATAATTTAAGAAAATGAGTATTAACCAATTTATTAGCTCTAAGAGGAGGAAGTAGAAGTAGAAGAAGAAATATTTTAACAATCTTTTTGAGTTTTAGCTGCTCCAATTTTTGATGTTGTATTGTTTGGACAGTTTATACATTAAGTTTTAGAAACACTCGTGGCTAAACTTGCATCTCCATAAAAATTAGCAGCACATTAGCATTAATTTTTATCTGCAGACCAAACCACTGCATTTGAATCATAACATTTACAGCCAGAAAAATCATCTGTGTTAGTAGATCCAGGGCCACAGTTGCTACAAGAAGTATTTCCAGTACCATTTGCATATTATCCTGAGCTACACTAAGTGCAATTTACATTAGCTTAACCATTTGAGAATGTTCCAGCAGGACATGGAGAGCATTTTCCAGATGATAAATCTGTAAATTATCCAGCTGGACAAGCTGTGCAACTATTTGAAGAATTCTTTGAGGTAGCTGGTGTGCCGATATAGCCTGGATTGCAAATACAGCTACCTCCATTTAATTTAGAGTTATGATCAATGCATTAGCAATCAGTAAAATCATTATTATTTGTTTTACTTGAACCACAAGTTTAACATGAAGAATTTCCTGTACCAGAAGCGAATTAACCATCACTGCATTATTAACATTAAGAACTTCCAATACTAGCCGTAAAATATCCAGCTGGACAAGCAGTACATGCTCCAGAAGTAGAAGAATTTGAATACTGACCTTTACTGCAAGGTGAACATCCAGGTTAGCTTGATGAATTTGGTGTACCAAAATAACCATCAGGACAGACACAATTATTGTTTTTAAATATAGCGCTTGAATCTATACATTAGCATCCAGAAAAATCTGCTAAAGGAGTTGTATTATTTGGACAACTAGTGCAAGAAGTATTTCCTGTGCCTTATGCATATTTACCAGTAGTACATTGGGTACATGAAAGACTTGCAGGTGAACTTGAGTAGTGTCCTGCTTGACAATCAACACAATTTCCTGATTAATAGTATTTACCTGCAGGACAAGGAGTGCATCCTTAAGCACTTATTGATGTTGCTGGTGTTCCTATATATCCTGAATTGCAAATACAGCTACCTCCATTTAATTTAGAGTTAGGATCAATGCATTAGCAATCAGTAAAATCACTATTATTTGTTTTACCTGAACCACAAGTTTAACATGAAGAATTTCCTGTACCAGAAGCGAATTAACCATGACTGCATTATTAACATTAAGAACTTCCAATACTAGCTGCAAAATATCCAGCTGGACAAACAGTACATGCTCCAGAAGTAGAAGAATTTGAATACTGACCTTTACTGCAAGGCGAACATCCAGGTTAGCTTGATGAATTTGGTGTTCCAAAATAACCATCAGGACAGACACAAATATTGTTTTTAAATATAGCACTTGAATCTATACACTAGCAGCCAGAAAAATCTACAGAAGAAGTAGTTTTATTTGGACAACTAGCACAAGAAGTATTTCCTGTTCCTTATGCATATTTACCAGTAATACATTGGGTACATGAAAGACTTGCAGGTGAACTTGAGTAGTATCCTGCTTGACAATCAACACAACTTCCTGATTAATAGTATTTACCTGCAGGACAAGGAGTGCATCCTTAAGCACCTATTGATGTTGCTGGTGTTCCTATATAGCCTGGAATGCAAATACAGCTACCTCCATTTAATTTAGAGTTAGGATCAATGCATTAGCAATCAGTAAAATCACTATTATTTGTTTTACCTGAACCACAAGTTTAACATGAAGAATTTCCTGTACCAGAAGCGAATTAACCATGACTGCATTATTAACATTAAGAACTTCCAATACTAGCTGCAAAATATCCAGCTGGACAAACAGTACATGCTCCAGAAGTAGAAGAATTTGAATACTGACCTTTACTGCAAGGCGAACATCCTGGTTAGCTTGATGAATTTGGTGTTCCAAAATAACCATCAGGACAGACACAAATATTGTTTTTAAATATAGCACTTGAATCTATACACTAGCAGCCAGAAAAATCTACAGAAGATGTAGTTTTATTTGGACAACTAGCACAAGAAGTATTTCCTGTTCCTTATGCATAATTACCAGCAGTACATTGAGTACATGAAAGACTTGCAGGTGAACTTGAGTAGTATCCTGCTTGACAATCAACACAATTTCCTGATTAATAGTATTTACCTGCAGGACAAGGAGTGCATCCTTAAGCACCTATTGATGTTGCTGGTGTTCCTATATAGCCTGGATTGCAAATACAGCTACCTCCATTTAAGTTAGAGTTAGGATCAATGCATTAGCAATCAGTAAAATCACTATTATTTGTTTTACTTGAACCACAAGTTTAACATGAAGAATTTCCTGTACCAGAAGCGAATTAACCATCACTGCATTATTAACATTAAGAACTTCCAATACTAGCTGCAAAATATCCAGCTGGACAAACAGTACATGCTCCAGAAGTAGAAGAATTTGAATACTGACCTTTACTGCAAGGCGAACATCCAGGTTAGCTTGATGAATTTGGTGTTCCAAAATAACCATCAGGACAGACACAAATATTGTTTTTAAATATAGCACTTGAATCAAAACACAAACAGCTAGAAAAATCTAAAGAAGAAGTAGATTTATCTGGACAACTAGCACAAGATGTATTTCCTGTTCCTTATGCATATTTACCAGTAGTACATAGGGTACATGAAAGACTTGCAGGTGAACTTGAGTAGTATCCTGCTTGGCAATCAACGCAATTTCCTGATTAATAGTATTAACCTGCAGGACAAGGAGTGCATCCTTAAGCACCTATTGAGGTTGCTGGGGTACCAAAATAACCTTGATTACATTAGCAGGAATTTGTATTTGATGACCATGTTGCATTCTAGTCAAAGCAATAGCAACCAGTATTAATGCCTTATTTTGAAGTAGATCCAGGAGGACATTTTTAGCATGATGCAGTTTTTCCTATTTAAAATGCTTAAGTCATGTAATAACCATCTGTGCAAATAGAACATTAAGTTTCATCTCCTTACTCAGTTATAGGATTTAAAGTACCAGAATTATTAGGACAAAGTTAACAAATAGCGGAGACTCCTAGTGCGGGAGCGGTTTTCATGTAATAATTAAGTTTGCACTTATAACAACTTGATTCATAAAATGAAAGTCCGGGGTCAGAATAAGAATTATTTGGACATTGGTGGCACTAGGATGCAATTCCTGGATTTCCATTTGTAGGATCTGCATATGGCGTGGATGCGTAGTAACCCGCTTAGCAAATGTCGCATTGAGATTAATCTCCAGCTAATAAAGGTGGTTAATAGTTTCCTGAACCATTAGGACATGGCAAACAAGTTGGAGCAGAATTATTTGTTGACTGAACTGTCATATAGGAGTTTTCCATACAAGTACAAGTTGAAATTGAAAAAGAACCTGTAATGTAATTAAATGTATTTGGAGGACATTATACACACATAGGTGGTTAATTAAAGTTTTGATTAGAATTATAATAGCCAGGCATACATGAAGTGCAATCATTAATATTATATTAAAAATTAGAAGGTTCATCGTAGCTATTTGTCGTATTAATAGGACAAGGTGAACAAATTGCTGGTTGGGAATCTGTTGCTTGCTAAGAAATATAAAACCCATTTTAGCATGAATCACATTAAGAGATTGAAGTAGGATTTGGACCCATTTTACTTGTTGTATTATTTGGGCACGGAACGCAAACTGCAGCTTAGCCAGGATTACCATTTTAAGGTGGAACTGCTGGGGTCTAAAGATAATAACCAGGTTAGCAAATATTACAATCACTAATATCTTGAGGTCCCTAAGGATAATTAGTTTGAGTCTAGGAGTTATTAGGGCATAATAAGCACACTGAACCTTAAGAATCTGTTGCTGCCTAATCCAAATAGTATGAATTAGAGTTACAATATTTGCAATCTGATATTGAAATAGATCCTCCTAAACTTAATCCATTATTTGGGCATACTAAACAATTAGCAGAGTTAGCATAAAATCCACCAAAGCAATTGCATTAACCATTATTATTTTAAATTGAATAGTGACAGTACTAAAAGGAGACCTAGAATAGCACAAAAAGAACGAGGCAAATGTTTATTTTTCTCATTTTTTTTCAACTTTTGTATGTTTTTTTGTTTTATTTATTTAATTTGTTTATATCTAATTTAGATTATCCAATACATTTATACCTCAAATTATTATTTTCTATCTAGAATCTCAAATATATCTTCTAAAACTTCAAATAATGGCGTTTTATGTATAAGTGAATAAATTCATTAATTTAATAGCTATAAACTTTATCATCAAAATAATACAATTAAATTTAAATTTTTTTTTCTGTATTATTTAATAAAAATCCTCCACAATGTACAAAAGGTTACTATCTTAATTAAATTTTTGAGATATCATTATAAAAATTGCAGCCAAACACTTACTTAATTGTAAAAATATGGTGGGGGGCACTTATAGTGGACTTAAAATCCACTATTTATTCCTAAATATGTTTTTTGTAATGAATAATCGAGTATTTTTCTTACTCCAATATAAGTGCCCCCCCCCCCCCCCTACTTCCCTACCAAAAATATTATTTCAGCTTTATTTTAAAGAAAGAAAGAAAGAAAAAAATCTACTTTTCAACTTATTAGTTATTACATCAAAACATAGATATTTTGTAACTAATTTTCCTTTTTACTAAATTTAGTTTCAATGTTTTTAATTCAAGAATTTTAAAATTCACTTTACTTACAATCAACCTACTTTTTAATCAAAATTTTTATCATAATCTAACCATTTTTAAAGATGTTAATGAGCATTAGTTTTTCTTGCCTGATTCAATTATAAAATATGTAAAAGAAATAATTGATCATCTTAAAAGCTGATGTTACTTCATTTTATAAATTTTAAAAGATCAAAAAATTATTATTCACTTATAGTATGCAAATAAAAAAATTCTAGAAAAATATGTTTAAAATTTAATAAATTTAGCTTAAAAGTCATGAGAGTAGAATAATAAAGCCCTTTAAAGTTTTTAAAATGATTATTTATTACTTTGGAGTAATATCATAAAGAAATGTGTAAAGAAAATATTTGGCCATCCACTAAATTGACAATTCTTAATTGCATAATTCAATTAACTTATTATTAATCTAACCTATTTAATAATAAAAATAATTATGTAATTAATTATCTTATTTTTTTAAATTTATCATTGAGAAGTTATGATGATTTTAATAAATATTTTAATAGAATACTCAATAAAACAATTTTATCATTAAAATAAAATTGTATTTGTTAGGATTTAATTAAAAAAATGGATAAACACAAATATAATTCAAAAGAGAGTAAGTGAAAAAGCTACTTTAAATTTTAAAATTTTTATTAATAATTACGTTAGAGTATTATTTATAATTGGAGTTTTTTAGACGATAAACTTAAAAAGACTTTTACTTAATTTTTTTCACAAAATCAATCATTATAAAATAATAACTTTTAAGAAGTATTTTCCTGAAATATTTTATCAAAAAAGTTAGGAATAATAAAAAGATTTTACTTGATTCATTTCTCAAAATGTTTTGAATCAAGTGTTTTCCTAAAATTTTTTATCAAAAATACTAAAAGGAAACCTTTTCCTTAAAAATATACCTTAGAACATTTCATTACCAATTAAACAGATTGAATCATCTATTTCTGCCCATAAAATTCCTAACCCAAAATAATTTTACATCTAATTATGAACATTAGTTTTTCTTCTATCAATACAAAAATATTAATGATTTCATTTTAAAAAAGCTTATTTTATTTCATTTTGTAAATTTTAAAAGATCAAAAAAAAAATGTTTTTTATTTATAAAACGCAAATAAAAAAATTCTAGAAAAATATTTTTACAATTAGAGAAATCTAGCTTTATAGTGAATAAAGTAGATTAATGAAGCCCTTTAAAGCTTTTAAAATGATTTTTTTATTAGTTTGCAGTAATATCAAAAAGAAATGTGTTAAGAAAACGTTTGATCATCGATTAAATTGTCAATTTTAGTTGTATTATTTAAATAACTTTTTATTAATCTAACCTATTTAATAATAGAAATAGCTCTGCAATTAATTTTCTTATTTTTAAATTTATCATTGTGAAATTATGAAGATTTTCATAAATATTTTAATGGAAAACTATTTTAATATAACTTTATCATAAAAATAAAATAGGAATTGTATTTGTTAGAATTTTAATACAACGGATGAATTAATGTATTATTAAAAAAATTATGAGTGAAAAAGTTATTTTAATTTTCAAAATTTGTATTACTAATTACGTTAGAGTACTTATTTACAATAGGATATTTTGAAACCAGAAAACAAAGTAAGACTCTATTCAATTTAAGTTAAAATCAATCATTATCAAATAATCATTTTGAATGAAGTATTTTCCTGAAATATTTTATCAAAAAAAGCTAGAATAATAAAAAGATTTTACTTGATTCTTATCTAAAAACTCATTGAATCAAGTGTTTCCTAAAATTTTTTATCAAAAAAGCTAAAAGAAAACCTTTTATTTAAAATTATACCTCAAAACAAATCATAATCATTTAAACATATTGTTATTTATTTATAAAGCACAAATGTTAATATAATAAAAAAATAAGTTTACAATTCAAGAAATCTAAAAGTGATGAAAGTAGATTAATGAAACCCTTTAAAGTTTTTAAAATAATTTGTTATTTTTTTGGAGTAATATCAAAAAGAAATGTGAAAGAAAATGTTTGATCATTCATTAAATTAGCAATTTTAAGTTGTATTATTTAAATAACTTATTATTAATCTAACCAATTCAAAAATGTCTCTGCAATGTATTATCTTATTTTTAAATTTTACCATTAAAATAAAATAGGAATTGTATTTGTTAAGATTTAACTAAAACGGATGAATTCTGTATATAATTCTAAGAAATAAGATTAAAAAAGTTACTTTAATTTTCAAAATTTTAATTAATAATTACGTTAGAGTACTTATTAACAATATGAGATTTTAAGGCCAGGGGATGAAATAAGACTTTATTTAATTTTAGCAGAGAACCAATCATAATAAAATTCAAAAAATTTAGCTTAAAAATCATGAGAGTTGAATAATAAAGCCCTTTAAAGTTTATAAAATGATTATTTATTACTTTGGAGTAATATCAAAAAGAAATGTGTAAAGAAAATGTTTGACCATCTACTAAATTAGCAATTTTTAATTGCATTATTTAAATAACTTATTATTAATCTAACCTATTTAATAATAAAAATAGTTTTATAATGAATTATCTTATTTTTTATATTCATCATTGAGAAGGTATGATGATTTTCATAAATATTTTAATAGAAAACTCTTCAAAAGAATTTTAACATTATAATAAAATAAGAATTGTATTTATTAGGATATAACTTAAATGGATGAACTCATATATAACACAAAAAAGAGAGTAAGTGAAAAAGTTACTTTACATTTTAAAATTTTTATTAATAATTATGTTAGAGTACTTATTTACAATCGGAGATTTTAAGACTTTTACTTAACTTTTATCATAAAATCAATCATAAAAAAATAATCACTTTTAAAGAAGTATTTTCCTGAAATATTTAATCAAAAAAGTTAGGAATAAAAAAAAGAATTTACTTGATTCTTATGTCAAAACATTTTAAATCGAGTATTTTCCTAAAATTTTGATCAGAAATGTTAAAAGAAAGTCTTTTTCTTAAAAAATATATCAGAACAAATCATTATCAATTAAACCGATTGCATCATCCATTTCTGCCCATAAAATTCCTAACCCAAAATAATTTTACATCTAATTATGAACATTAGTTTTTCTTCTATCAATACAAAATATTAAAGCACTCATTTTAAAAAAGCTTATTTTATTTCATTTTGTAAATTGTAAAATATCAAAAAAAACGTTTTTTATTTTTAAAGCTGAAATAAAAATTATTAAGAAAATATTTTTTATATCTAGCTTAAAAGTCATTAAAGTATATTAATTAAGCCCTTTAAAGTTTTTAAAATGATTTTTTTATTATTTTGCTGTAATATCAAAAATAAATGCGTAATGATCAGCAATTAAATTGGCAATTTTAGTTGTATTATTTAAATAACTTTTTATTTATCTAACCTATTTAATAATAAAAATAGCTCTGCAATTGAATTATCTTATTTTTAAATTTATCATTGTGAGTTTATGAAGATTTTCATAAATATTTTAACTGAAAACTCTAAAAATATAATTTTATCATTAAAATAAAAAGAATTTTATTTGTTACGATTTTAATAAAACGGATGTATTCATGTATAATTAAAAAAATAATGAGTGAAAAAGTTACATTAATTTTCAAAATTTTGTTAATAATTACGTTAGAGTACTTATTTACAATAGGAGATTTTGAAATTAGAAGACGAAATAAGACTTTATTTAATTTTAATAGAAATTCAATCATTATCAAATAATCACTTTGAATGAAGTATTTTACTGAAATATTTTATCAAAAAAGCTAGGAAAAATAAAAAAATTTTACTTGATTCTTATCTAAAAACGCTTTGAAGCAAGTGCTTTCCTAAAATTTTTTATCAAAAAGGCTTAAAGAAAAACTTTTACTTTAAAAAGAAACCTCAAAACAAATAATTATCAATTAAACCGATTGTTATTTATTTATAAAGCGCAAATATAAAAATTCTAGAAAAATATGTTTACAATTCAAGAAATCTAAATGTGATGAAAGTAGTTTAATGAAGCCCTTTAAAGCTTTTAAGATTATTTTTTGTTACTTTGGAGTAATATCAAAAAGAAAAGTGTTAAGAAAACGTTTGATCATCCACAAAATTGACAATTTTTAGTGTTATTTAAATAAATTTCTATTAATCTAACCAATTTAATAATAAAAATGGCTCTGCAATGAATTATCTTATTTTTAAATTTATGAAGATTTTCAAAAATATTTTAATGAAAAACTCTATAAATATAATTTTACCATTAAAATAAAATAGGAATTGTATTTGTTAAGATTTAATTAAAACGAATGAATTCTTTCTGTGTATAATTCAAAAAATTATGAGTGAAAAGTTGCTTTAATTTTCAAAATTTTAATTAATAATTACGTTAGAGTACTTATTTACAATATGAGATTTTAAGAACAGGGGATGAAATAAGACTTCATTTAATTTTTTTTTTAAAGATTCTTTATCACAAAATATTTAAAAGGCCAAAATCTGTAAGGCCAACTTTAATTTTCAACCCTGTGATATTAAATCCACAATAATATTTATTAAAAAAAAAATATCATCAAATTTTGGACTTATTGATTCAAGCAAGAAGCAAATATAAAAAAGCTTTTTTAGGTTCAAGCAAATTAATAATGTATAGAATTCAGTTAAAAGAGCATTTCATAAGAGAAAACTTATTTAAAATGAAATGAATTTAATGAATATAAAACACTTAAAATACATTTTTATAAATTCATATTTAACTTTTTGAAAAATTATAATTAAAAGATTACTTTAATAGAAATATAATAGGTTTTTATTCACGAATTTCATTAATTAAGAAAATTTAATAGAATCAAGAAATAAGAACGCTTATGGTTTTATTAGGAATTTAATATTAAGATTAAGAATAAATTTATTGGTAAAAGACTATTTATTTTCACAATTATTATTATTATTTTTGTTTTTTTTCTATGGACTAAAATATTTTGCAAGACTATCTTAAGAAACTTAAAAATAACATATCTCTTTTTAAATAAAAGTAATTAGTTAAATTTAAAGATTAAAGAAATAATTAGAATTTAGAAAAAAGAAAGATTCCATAAGAAAATAGATATCAGATTTTATTTTAATTAATCAAATTTACAGGAAAATGGTTGAAGGATGAAGAAACTTTGGAACATAACAAGGATATCCACAATATAATTAATAAGCGTAAGCAAACGTTAATTAACAAATGGTTTTCATAACAAATATTTATTTAGAATTTCTAGCAATTATAATATTTAAAAATAAAAATTAGCTAATGAAGCAGATAATAGCAGCACCAACAATGTTTAAACCAATTCTCAAACTAACACAACCTCTTCATCGACTTTAAATCAAGTTCCTAATAACTTGAATGCCGGTTAAGGTTAAATTCTTTTGCCTCCTTGTGAGGTTTAGAATACTTGGTGGTCGGGTGCTGGACAAAGAAAATTTAAGAATAAATAAACAAATAAATGAATGAACAATAAAATAAATGAAGCTTTAAATGGAATAAAAAAAGAATATAATATAAAATGTAGGGTTCATCCCAATATTTCTATTTATATTATATAATTAAAAAGTCTTTTTACATAACAAATATCGAAACAAATATTTAAAATTAACAAAATATGAATGAATATGTTTAAATCTATATTTTTTAATTTAAATAATAGTGCTAATTTTTTTCAGAAATAAAATTAAATATGCTTTGTTACTAGCCTTTTCATTTTTAAAATACCTCTTACAAATTATTGTTGCCCTAAATCATCATTTGAATTATCACTAGAATATTTTATTTCTTAGAATTAATATAAATCTTAAATAAATTCAAATATTTATTTATTATAAGGGTAAATCTTAAACTATTTATTGAATAAGCTTTGCTTAAATCTAGAAATAAATAAAAATTAATATTCAAGCTATAATAAAGAAGATAACAATTACTTTTAATAATTTAAATGACTAAAATAAATTTAAATTAAATCTCATTACATAAACTTAATAGAAAAAGTAGAAATGCTTTTTGAATTCTTTAGAATTTATCCTAAAACAGCTGATCCTTTCGAACCAATTGAATTGCCACTGTTGAAAATTAATTTTAAATAAATTAATAAAAAATATATATATATTTTTGCTTTGATTAATTAATTGAGAATAACTTTTATTTTTTACCATTATTTAAACAAATTTAAAAGTTAAATAATAAATTTAATTTGATGAAATAAAAATAAAAATGAATTAATTCATTACGTAATATCTAGCTTAAGACTTTAAAGATTATAACATCCAATTAAGGCATTTCCTAATTCTTAAGCTCCCTATGGGCCTATATTATTAAATCTAAAATTTATTTTAATAAACTTTAATTATTTTATTAGCTAATAAGTTTGCAAATGTTTCATATTTAAATTCAAAACGATATAAAATTTTATAAATTAAATTTATTAATTAATTTATGAAAGTATTTTTTTTAAGTTAAATTTATTTATTTTGATTTCATAAATTAAGATAAGTTTAAAAATTTAATATAAATAATAGTTTTTTACTCTAAAAAAAGCTACAGAGCGTTCAATTAAGTACATTTTGATAAATGAAGACAGAAACCAGAAATAGCCTTAAAATCTATAAAATTATGACTTTAAAATATTTTAATTTATTATTAATTATAATTGCAATAAAATTGAATATTTTATAAAAACTAAAATGAAATTCAATTTTTAAAATAAATTAATATTAATATTAAAAAAATTCTTACGAAAGAATTAATTTCAAAGTTTTAATATTTTTGCAATCAATTAAAGAAGATGCAAGACTAGTTGCACCTAATACTGCTACTTTATTAACGCTTTTATAAAAATTATTATAATAATATATTTATATTTATTTATAATAGGGGAGGATAATTTGAGCTGAAAAAATATTTTTAAAGAAAAAATATAAAATATTTTTTATATAATTAAAAAAAAAAATGAAAAAAATTGAGAAATATGTCCCCTTGAAATAAAGATAAAAATATTAATTCATTTATACCTCAGTTTCAGAGTAAGTTTTGAGAGATTTAAAAACTTAGGTAGTAGATAAGCTAAGTTTGATACACCTTATGAACCTACTTTATTCTAACTAAAAATATACAAATTAATTTATATCAGCTTTTTCAAATGTAAATTTGTCATTCAAATTGAATTTATTTATTTATTTAAATTTATCTAAATTTTATGTTTCAATATGAGAGTATTTAAATAGTTAAAAAAATTATTATTTTGGCTGAAATATGATGATTTAAAATTATTATATAATAGAAATCACTATTTTAAATTTATGCTTCAGATAAAAAATGAGAAATTTATTGATTTATTTTCAATAATTAACTTTGAGTTAATATTACTCATTAATTCATTAACATAGCGATTTTGCTAATTAGAAGTTCGAAATAAATTAGTTGATTTTGTATAAGAAGTAATGGATAAATTATTTTATGTTATTCTTTTTAAATTTTATTTTTCTTAATTAACCATATTTTTCATTCAAATTTACTTGAAATTGAGAGATAGGTATTAGATATTAGGCAAATTAGTTAATCCAGCTACTAGATTGTATGCATTTATTGAATCAATTTTGTTGTCACTTTTTATATTAATAAAATTAGAAATTAATAATTTTATTTTTTATTAAAATTTATATAAATATTAAATTGTTGTCAACAATTTTTCTTAAAAATGTAAAATTAAGTATTTATTTATTTAACAAATTTTAATTTTAAAAAACCTTAAGTTAATTTTTAAAGTTTAGAGGTTAGTATATTTTTCTAAAGCTAGACTCAAATCAGATAAATCTTTTTGATTTATTTTTTAGTTCCTTTTTTTGTAAAGAAAATTTAATATTCAATCAAAGATAATAAAATTAAAAAATTATAAAGTTTAATAATATTACATTAGCTTAATATTCAGTTAAGAAGTGGAAGTTAAGCTAGAGTTTATAAACTTTTTTTATGCAATAAAAATATTATTAACTTGCTAATTAATAAATTTATTTTTGCTTACTTCTTAGAGATCTGAAAAAATAATTTTTTATTCAATCATTTTTCTTACAAGTTAATAATAATAATAAAATTTAAATTTATTTAATTGTTAATAATAATAATATTTGATTAGTATTTACCATAAAACTAATTTTATTTTTAGTAAACCATCTTTTAATGAAATTATAAAATATTTTTGAATAAATGTAAAATTTCTATTAAAAAATGAATGGGTACCTGCTGTGACCCTCCCCCCCCCCCAATTATTTTGAAGGAATAAATTAAAGAATTTAGAACAAATAATTATTATCTAAAAAAATATTAAAATTGTTTTTCTCTCTTTTTAATTTAGATATTATTATTTATTTGAAAGCTTTCTAACTTAAAAAATCAAAATCATATTAAAATTGAGGTTTATTTTTTCTAAAAATATTGTTAATTTATGAGTTAATTAGTCCTAATTTAAATATAAAAACAATTTTAATGAAATAAATTTAATAAAAATAAAAAAAAACTAAAAAATTATATTTCACAAATATTTATTTAAGAATACAATTTCAATTAAAATAAATATTAGTAACATTTATAATGAAATAATAAATTTTATTCATATTAGCAATACTAGAGCTAATATCGATATTTATATAATTTAAGAGTAAGTTTTTTAACTATTTTATTAGTTATTTTATGAGCTCTAAGAAGAAGAAGAGGAAGGATTTTAACAATCTTTTTGAGTTTTAGCTGCTCCTGCTTTTGCTGTTGTATTGTTTGGACAGTTAGTACATTAAGTTTTTGAAGTACTAGTAGCTTAACTTGCATCTCCATAAAAGTTAGCAGCACATAAGCATTAATTTTTATCTGCAGACCATGTTACTGCATTTGAATCATAGCATTTACAACCAGTGAAATCATCTGTGTTAGTAGATCCTGATCCACAGTTGCTACAGGCCGTATTTCCAGTACCACTTGCATATTATCCTGAGCTACATTAAGTGCAATTTACATTAGCTTATCCATTTGAAAATGTTCCAGCAATACAAGGAGAGCATTTTCCAGATGTTAAATCTGTAAATTATCCAGCTGGGCAAGCTGTACAGCTATTCAAAGAATTTTTTGAGGCAGCTGGTGTTCCGATATAGCCTGGATTACAAACACAGCTACCTCCATTCAATTTAGAGTTAGGATCAATGCATTAACAATCAGAAAAATCTTTAGTATTTGTTTTGCCTGTGTCGCAAGTTGAACATGAAGTATTTCCAGTACCAGAAGCGAATTAACCATCACTGCATTATTAACATTAAGAACTTCCAGTACTAGCTGCAAAATATCCAGCAGCACAAGGAGTACATGCTCCAGAAGTAGAAGAATTTGAATACTGACCTTTTGGGCAAGGTGAGCATCCAGTTTAGCTTGATGAGCTTGATGGGGTTCCTGAATAGCCTTAAGGACAGACACAGCTATTGTTTGTAAACACAGCACTTGAATCTGGACACTTACAGCCTGAAAAATCTGCTGTAGAAGTTGTATTACTTGGACAACTAGTACAAGATTTATTTCCTGTTCCTTAAGCATAATTACCAGCAGTACATTGGGTACATGAAAGACTTGCAGGTGAGCTTGAGTAGTATCCAACTTAGCAATCAACACAACTTCCAGATTAATAGTATTAACCTGCAGGACAAGGAGTGCATCCTTAAGCATCAGCTGAGGTTGCTGGGGTTCCAATATAACCTTGATTACATGAGCAGGAATTAGCATTTGATGACCATGTTGCATTCTAGTCATAGCAATAGCAAGCAGTATTAATGCCTTATATTGTAGTAGATCCAGGAGGACATTTTTAGCATTATGCAGTTTATCCTATTTAAAATGCTTATGTCAAGTAATAACCAGGTATGCAAACGGAACATTAAGTGGCATCTCCTTACTAAGTTACAGGATTTAAAGTACCAGTATTAGTAGGGCAAGGTTAGCAAATAGCGGAGGTAGTAGATGTAGCAGCCGTTTGCATGTAAAAATTCAGCTAGCATTAATTACAGCTTGAAACAGAAGTTGAAATTCCAGGGTCAGAAGAAGAATTATTTGGACATTATTGGCATTAGGCTGCAGTTCCAGGATTTCCATTCACAGGATCTTAGTGAGGGGCGATCATGTAGTAACCAGCTTAGCAAATGTCGCATTGAGATTAATCTCCTGGTATAAAAAGTGTTACATATGTTCCAGAACCATTAGGACATGGAAAACAAGTAGGAGGAGAAGAGCTTGTTGCTGCAGCTGTAATATAATAGTTTGTAGTACATATGCACTAATTAGGTGAATTAACACTCATACCTGTGCTATATGTGTTTGGAGGGCATTTTACACAAGCAGGTGGTTTTCCATATGACTAATTAGTATCATAATAGTATGGCATACAAGCAGCACAATCTTTAACATTGTTTTAAACTTGAGAAGGCACATCGTAATAATTTGAAGAATTGTTTGGACAAAGTGAACAAACTGCAGGTTGGGAATTTGTAGCCTTCTAAGAAATATTTAATTGCATGAAACACATTAAGAGATTTAAGTCATAAGCATGCCTTTTGTATTATTTGGACACTTAACGCAAACCGCAGCTTAGCCAGGATTACCGTTTTAAGGTGGAACTGCTGGAGTCTAAATATAATAATCAGCTTAACATTAATTGCAATCACTAATATCTTGAGGTGATGAAGGTGTATTAGATTGAACTGCAGAGTTATTAGGGCATAATAAGCATACTGCACCTGTAGATGATGTTGCTGCCTAAGACAAATAGTATGAAGGAGAGGTACAATATTTGCAGTCTGATATAGAGTTGGATACTTAAATAGTAGAACTATTAGTTGGGCATTTTACACAACTAGCAGAGATAGAATAAAATCCGCCAAGGCATATGCAATTTCCACTATTTAATTAGTCAGGTTTAGTCGAATAGTGGCAGTACTAAAAGGAGACTTAGAATAGCACAAAAAGAACAAGGCAAATGTTAACTTTTTTCATTTAATTTAAATTTTTGTATGCTTTGATTGGTTAATTAATTTGTTTATATCTAAATTAGAGTTTTCAATCTATTTATACCACAAGATATTATCTTCTATAATCTGAAATACTATCTTCTATAACTTCAAATATTTACGTTTTATGTATAAGTATATAAATGATATTTGTTTTTTCACCTTCGTTTGAATAATGTAATTAAATTAAATAATTCTCTCTTCTTTTATTATATTTTATTAGTAAATTAATTAATTGATTGATATATTCTAAAGGTTACTATCTTAATTAAATTTTTGAGGCATTATTCATAAGAAAAATTATAATTACAACCAATCACTTATTAAATGGTAAAAATATAAATTCAGCTTTATTTTAATTAAAGGAAGAAAAAAAAAATTGACTTCCTGAGTTACAAATAAATTCATCAATAGTTGTTTAATTAAAAATTTACCTTTTTCTTCCTTTTAATTATTTTCAGCTTCAATATCTTTTTTAATATCAAAATTTTTAAAACACAAGTTTTTGTTACAGAAATATTAATATACACTTACAAGAAAATCTAATTTTTTAATTAAAATTTGTATGATAATCTAATCGTTCTTAAATATATTAAATCAATCTTTTTTTTTCTATAATCAATACAAAACTTATAAAAGCATTTATCATTCATTTTTAAAAAAGCTGATAATGTTATTTCATGCAAATTTTAAAAGATCTAAAAAAATATGATTTATAAGTAAAGTGAAAATATTAAAAATCAATTAAAACATGTTTAAAGTCAAGAAATCTAGCTTAAAAATCAGGAATATAGAATAATGTAGCCCTTTAAATCCTTTTAAAATGATTTTTTAATACTTTAGATGAATATCAAAAAGATTCGAGATAAGGAAATAAGTATAATAAAGAAAATTTTTGATTATACAAAAAATTGGCAATTTTTAGTTGTATTATTTAAATTAATTTTTGTTAATCTCACCTATTCTAATATTAAAAATAGCTCTGCAATGAATTATCTTATTTTTTAAAATGATTATGAGGAATTATGATGATCTTCATACATATTTTAATGGAAAACTTAATAAATAAAATTTTACCATTAATTTAAAATAGAAATTGAGTTTTTTAGGATTTAACTAAAATGGATGAGCTCTTATAAAATTCTATCATAATTGAGTGAAAAAGTTATTTTAAATTTCAAATCTTTTATTTTGTATTATTTAAATGAATTTTGATTAATCTCACCTTTTCTAATAATAAAAATAGCTCTGCAATGAATTATCTTATTTTTTAAAATGATTATTGAAGAGTTATGATGATTTTCATAAGTATTTTAATGGAAATCTATCTATATAAATACAATTTTACCATTAATTTAAAATAGAAATTAAGTTTTTAGGATTTAACTAAAATGCATGAACTCTTATATAATTCTATATTAATTGAGTGAAAAAGTTATTTTAAATTTCAAATCTTTTATTAATAATTACGTTAGAGTACTTACAATCTGATATATAAAGTCAGAGGGATAAAAAAAAATTTTACTTATATTATTATCTCAAAATCAATTATCAAAAGGCTTGAAAGGCTAAAAATTTACAAGTTAAGTCTTGATTTTCCCCCTTGATCCTAAAATTCTTTGATTGTAAATTCTAATAAAAACTAATATAAAAATACATTTTATAAAAAATGTTAATATTCAATAATAATAATGATTTATCATCAAATTCTGGACTTATTGATTCAAGAAGTAAACTTATAAATCAAAGTAAAGAAGCTTTTATATGTTTTAAGTAAATTAGTTATTATAAAAACTCTTTTTATAGAAAATTTGATAGTAGAAAAATAATAATAAAAGAAATGAATTTAATGAATTTTAAAAGATTACTTTATTATGTAAAATAAAATATCATTTACAAACAGATAAAGTTAGTAAACTTTCTTTTGATATTTTTTTTTTTCTAATGAATTAATTTTTTTTAGCTATTGTGGGTAAAAATAAATGTGAATATAAATTAATTCAAATTAAGAAATAAATAAAGAGTTTTTGATTTGAATAAGTATTATTAATAAATAAACTACTTTTCATTTGCATTTTAATGATAATTTCTTTTTTTAAAACTACATTTTTACAAACAACTAAATTAATATTTTATATACCTTCATCATTAAGAAAATAACAATTTAAAGATTCGTTTAAAAAATATTTATTAAGTTATTATCCATGAATTACATCAATTTAGAAGAAATTAACTAGAAACAATAAAAATGGTTGAAAAGTTTTTGATAAGGAATTTAATCTCAATATTAGAAATGGTATAAAATTAAATTAATTGGTGAAATATTATATTTTTTCACAATTTCAGTTAGTTTTGTTTTTAGTTATTATGAACTAAAATATTAAAAAAGGAATTCAAATTGAGAAATAAATATAAATTTTTTGATGTGAATAAGTATTATTATAAATATATATAAACTACTCATCATTTGCGCTTTAATGATAAATTTCTTTTTTAAAACTACATTTTTATAAAGAACTAAATTAATATTTTATATACCTTCATTATTTGGAAAATAACAATTCAAAGATTCGTTTAAAAAATATTTATTAAGCTATTATTCATGAATTACATCAATTTAGAAGAAATTAATTAGGATCAAGAAAAATGACTGAAAAATGTTTGATAAGGAATTTAATCTCAAGATTAGAAATGATATAAAAATAAATTAATTGGTGAAATATTTTTTATTCGCAATTTTAATTTGTATTTTTTTTTAGTTATTATAAACTAAAATATTTATAAAGGAATTCAAATTGAGAAATAAATATAGATTTTTTGATGTGAATAAGTATTATTATAAATAAATAAACTACTCATCATTTGTGCTTTAATGATTAATTTTTTTTTTTTAAACTGCATTTTTACAAAGAACTAAATTAATAATTTATTAACATTTATCATTTGGAAAATAACAATTCAAAGATTCGTTTAAAAAATATGTATTAAGTTATTATCCATGAATTACATTAATTTAGAAGAAATTAATTAGGATAAAGAAAAATGACTGAAAAATGTTTGATAAGGAATTTAATCTCAAGATTAGAAATGATATAAAAATAAATTAATTGGTGAAATATTTTTTATTCGCAATTTTAATTTAACTTACTTTTTTTTAAGTTATTATGAACTAAAATATTTTTTAAGGAATTTAAATTGAGAAATAAATATAGATTTTTTGATGTGAATAAATATTATTATAAATAAATAAATAAACTATTTATCATTTGCTCTTTACTGATAATTTCTTTTTTAATACTACATTTTTACAAAGAAATAAATTAATATTTTATATACATTTAATATTTATAAAATAACAACTCAAAGATTCGTTTAAAAAATATTTATTAAATTATTTATTATTCAACAATTACATCAATTTAGAAGAAATAGACTAGGATGAAGAAGAATGACTTAAAAATGTTTGATAGGAAATTTAATCTCAAGATTAAAAATGATATAAATATAAATTTATTGCTGAAATATTTTTTTTTAGCAATTTTAATTAATATTTTTTTTATTTATTATGAACTTAAAATATTTTGCAAAAATTAAGTAGTTTAAAAATAATATTTAGCATATTAAAATGAAAAGAACTCCTGTTATTAAATTTAAATTTAAGGATTTATGAAAGAAATAATTAGAATTTAGAAAAAAGAAGGATTCCAAAAGAAAATAGAAATCAGAGAGCATAAAGCTTAAATCGTTTCTGAAGATTTGAAATTTCTTTCTATTGTGAAAATGAATAAATTGTTTAAATGAAAAAAGAAATAAATAAATAAAATCAATGAAATAAACAAAGAAGATGCTGATTAAGAGAAAAGAAAAAAAAATAAATAAATGCATAAATAAATAGATAGATACATTTGTAATAAATTTACAATACAAAATCAATAAATTAAAAATAGACAATTTGCATAATGCAAATTATCAGTCAAACAAAGTTAAAGGAAATTGATAAATAAACAAGTTGATAGAAAATTTTCTATTTATTTATTTATATAGCTAAGCTATTTGAAGAAAATAAATAAATAAATAATAAAGAATTTAAGTAAATTTTAAGTAAATTTAAAAAATTATCAAAACAACTCTCAAAAAAAACCAAAAAATAGAAAATGGAAGGAGAAATTATTGTAAAACTAAAACTTTCCAATGAAGGAACCTTTGAAATTAAGATTGACCCTAAGGCCACTGTTTTGTAGTTTAAGGAAAAGATTGCTAAGGAAAAGAATTGCGAAACTGGTCACATTAAGCTGATTTACAAAGGTATAATTTTTAGATATTTTGTTTTATTGTCCATGATTTTTTGCAATCAAGCAAAAAGATCAAACAGAGATAAGATTTTATACAGAATAACAAAATAAAGCTTATTTCTTTCGCAATTTACTTTTGAATAATTGACTTATTTTGTTTTTATTAACCAAATTTATAGGAAAATGGTTGAAGAATGATGAAGAAACTTTGGAACATAACAAAGTTATTGATGGAAACACAATGCACATTATCATTAATAAGCGTAAGCAAGCATTAATTAACAAAAGGTTTTCATAGCAAATATAAAATGTTCACTTAGCAAGCAAGACATTTTATATTACTTAAACTAAATATTTTTTAGAATTTTGAGCAATAATTTTATTTAAAAAATAATAATTAGCTAATGAAGCTGATAATAGCAACACCACTAATGCTTAAACCAGTTCTACAACTAATACAACCTCTTCATCTACTTCAAGTCAAGTTCCTAACAACTTGAATGCTGGTTAAGGTTAAAATCCCTTTGCCTCTTTGGGAGGTTTAGGAGGACTTGGTGGACTTGGCGGTCTTGGTGGTCTCGGAGGTTTGGGAGCTAATGGTTAACTTGACCCTAATGACCTTGCCTAAGCTATGCAATCTCCTTAAGTACAATAAATGATGTAATAGGTAATAAGCTTTTCATAATTTGACTTTTTAAACACAAATACGCATGTTTTATAATGTTATTTATATCTAATTTTATTAACAAACAGATGCTTTCCAACCCATAAGCTCTCCAACAAATGCTCCAATAGAATCCTTACACCAGATAAATGCTTGAACAAAATCCTCAACTCTTAGTAAGAAATTTAACTCTTTAAATCAATAAATAAATAAAACAAAGCAAAAAAGTTAGAAATGAGCAAAGAAATTAAAGAATAAAAAAACAAAAAAGTAGATAAATAAATGAATGAATAATTAAATAAATGAAGTTTTCAATAAAATAATAAAAAAAGGAATTAGCAGATAAAGATTTCAGAATATATTTAAAATATATTGAATTTTTAAAATCAATTTATTTAATGGTTTTTATTAATTAATTATTTAGTAAATGCTTTCTGACCCCATGATGATTTAAATGATTAGTAACCCTTAATTCTTACAAAATGCCATGCAAATGATGGGTAATAATGGTGGCATGGGTGGCATGGGAGGCCTTGGTGGTCTAGGAGGACTTGGCGGATTAGGAGGACTCGGTGGTTTAGGTGCTTTTGGTTAACAATAACCTTAATAATAGGCATAATAATAAGCATAATAATAGGGATAATAAGGAACTTAATAAACAGGATAATAATAATAATAGTAACCTGGTTAATTACCTCCTTTCAATTTTGCTCAATTGTTAAACAATCGTAAATTCAATATTTTTTTATCACATTTTATTAAAATTGTTTTGAATTAATTAATAGCTTTATTCGGAGGAATGGGTGGTATGGGCGGCTTAGGAGGTTTCGGATTCCCTCCTGCTCAATAAGACAACACCCCTCCTGAAGAAAAATATAAGGAATAGTTAGCTCAATTAGAAGTTATGGGTTTTACTAACAAATAAGTTAACCTTGAAGCTCTTAAGGCTACAGGTGGTAACGTTGAAGCTGCTATTGAACGTATTTTAAACATGCTTGGTTGAAGAATAAATACATTTATTTTAGCCAGTTAAATAAATATGATAATTTAAATAAACAAAGCAATAATAAACAGTTAGATAATTTAAAAGCAATTTTATTCTAATTAAATATTCTTTTTATATATTGTAGTAAATTGATAAGTAAGTAAGCTCCTTCCCAATCGTTCTATTTTTTCTTCCTTTTCCCTTCTATCTTTTCATATTTTTTTCTGATATTTCTTTTGATTTATCCAAATATTCATAAATAAATTCAAACTTTCATAAAAATCATACATTAATTTAATTTATTTTTTGAAAACAATGCCTTTTTTACTCTTTTTTTATAAATAAATTAGTTTTTTTATAATTATTTCTTTTAATCAAAAAAAGAAATTTAATTATATTTATTTTTTTTATGATGATATTTCTTACATTTTTATTTTTAGTTTTTTTATGTTTATTTTTTATTAAATACTAATTTATGATAATAGATAAATTAGCTTTAAATAGATTGCTTATTTCGATTTCGTTAAATGGTTTTTTTTGTTTTAAAATTAAAAAAATCACATTATTTGCATCACTTATTTTTGAGACTTCAAATATTTAATTTATTTAGATTAGAAGTCAAGTTAATGAATAAAAATATTATTTTTATATTTAAAAACTAATTTTTTAATTATTGTTTTACTTGTTTAAAAAAAAAAATAATTTATTTATTTAAAAATTAAGCAAATTAATTCTTAAAAATAGATTTAATTATAAATAAAATATTTCATTTTTAAAATTAGGATTAATAATATGATTAATAGTTAAATTTTCCATCAAAATAAAACTAATTTGAATAATTTTTCAAAAAATAAAGAGTAATTTCCTTAAGATTGATGCAAAATGGGCATCAAAACGGAATAACTATTTATAGTTAGCTATTTAATAATTTATTTTTTATAGCAAAATTTTTTATTCATAGAAGTATTTATTTTGAAAGAATTCTAATCTTTTAACAATAAAACTGGAATGGAATAAAATTTTATTAGGACCTTGTGATTAATTTAATAAATTACCTTATTTTTGCAGAAAAACAGTCTTAAAATTATATTTTTAATAATTTAATTAATTTAGAAATTAAGATATTTAGTTAGTTATTTAAAGAAAATCAAGCAGCAATATAAAAAGCATTCAAATAAATGGATAAGAAAACTTAAGTTGTCGTCACCTCTAATCCAAGAGGAAGTAATAAAATATAAATTATTAAGGACTATAGTCTCTAATTTAGCCATTTTCCATAAAAAAATATTAATAGATAACATCAGTCAAGCTGAAGTTGAATAATGCATTAAAGATTTAAATGATTGGTTCAAAACCAATGCATAATCAGTTGCAAAAGACCTCCAATCTGTTAAGCCTGCAACTGATAAGCAAATAGATGATCTTTAGGATAATGTTAAGCTCACTATTCCTAAGGATTTAATTGCATTGCTTAAAGTTGCTGATGGCAAATTCTAGCTTCACGATTCTTATAAAACTCTTTCTGTTTAATAAATCATTGAATAAAACGAAGTCAATGCAGTCTCCGCTTTCTGGAAAAAGAATTATCTCACTGTCGCTTAGGATATTGACAGCAATTATTTAATTATTGAATGCAATAATGATGGTAATTTTACTTTTAGAATTTACAATTTAGATAACTTTTAGAATAGAAAAACAAAAACAAATTATTAATAAACTGATAATAAAATTAATGATCGATCGATTAAAATGGAAGAAATTAATTTTTATCAATGATATAATGCGTTTATTAAATAATATAGGAACTTCAGGAAATGTTGTTACATGGAATAATGATGATGGTGTTTCTGAAGAACTTAATCATTCTTTTGGATTGTACTTGGAAAACATTAGAAACGGTCTCTTGAAAAAGGAACTTGAATACATTGATGAAGTTGGCTTAGTAGAAAGAGCTAATTGAGATATTTTTCTTAGAATTAGATTATAAAATATAATTAATATTTATAATAAATTAATAACTACTTTCATTTTCTTATATTACTTCCTGTCTTTAATTGTCTGCTGCTAAGCTTAATTGTTTTAAAATCTAAATAAAACTAATCAATATCATATTACACTGTATTCAACAGAATTAGGTTTTCTTTTTTTTAAATTTTTAGCTTCGTTATTTAAAAAATTTTTCATATAAAGTTCTTTGTTAGTATTTCAATAAAATATAAAATGATAAAAAAATGAATGTTTGATTTAGATATCATTTTATTTACCCTAATTTTTTTTATTTTATTTTTAAGTCTTCAAAATAAATAAGCATTTTGTATTAAGTATTAGATTTATGATTTTGTAAATAACTTCTGATTTTGTAGAACAGGTAAATTGAGTGATTAAGGTAATTTAGTTTTAAGCTAGCTATTTATGAGTATGAAAAATTTCTAGAAATATTTGTGAGCTTATTTATAATATTATGATGATATGATGCTTAAATAAATACTTATTTTAAATTTTCAATCATTTCTAAAGATTGATCTATTTAAAAAATTAATTTTAAATTAAGTTGGTGTTATATTAAATATCAAAAAAATAAAAATAAATTATTAATGTAAAAATGCAGAAAATATATTAAATATAAAACATAAATTAGAAAAGTTAAAGTTTGTTTGACCTAAAATGATCATAAAAATATTTATGAATTAAATATTAATATTATTTAATATGAGCAAGGTAGACTAAGTATAAAAACTGAAATAAAAATTGTTTGATTAATTGCTGATTATTGTATATCTTTTAACATATTTATTTGTATGTATGTATATCTTTTGGATATAAAAATTTCAAATATTGCAAAATAATTAATTAAATATCCCAAAAGCATAATTTTAAGCGAATATTAGAAGTAGAAAGATAGTTAGAATAATACATAAATACATACATACATATAAATATAACTTAAATAGATAAATGTCAGGTGGTTAAAAGTAGTAAAAAGAGTCGATCATTAATCTTTCTTAATATGTTGGAAAAGATATTCGTGTTAAATTTTAGGGAGGCAGAGAAGTGACAGGTGTTTTAAAAAGTTTTGATAATTAACTCAATATGATTTTAGATGATTGCGTTGAAACTATAAGAGGTAATTTAAATTTTAAAATAGAATTTGCTGCAAAAAAATAGTTTTAAGGAGAAGCCTCATTTAATTGAAATATTTTATTAAAATAGATAAAAATGATCCTTATTTGATGACAGAACAAAAAAGAAAGTTGAATTTAGTAGTTGTTAGAGGAACTTTGGTAAATTTAAATCTATTTAATAAATAAATTAAATAAATGAGTAAATAAATATAAATAAATTATTAAAATGAACAGGTTTCTACCATATTCCCAATGAGCGGCACAGAAATAATTGAAAATCCTTTTGTAAACATGGAAGAATAGTGATAGTCGACTGGTTACTCTTTATTTATTTTATAGTTTATATAAAAAATTCATTATTTATACAAGTTCTTCAATACAAAATAATTAGTAGACATATAGAATTTTAATCAAATATTCTGTTTTTAAAACGTTTTAAATCAAAAAGTTTTCCTTCATTAAATCTTAAAAATATTCTAAAAATTAATTTCATTCATCCAAATATTAATTTGATAAAAATTAATTTTATTCATCCAAAAAATAAAAATAAATGATAAAAAAATTAATAAAATAAAAATTAAAAAAAATAATTTTATTCCTTGTTGTGTTTAATATTATTTTCACTTAATTTTTTAATAATTTAAGCAATGATATTTAACTCATAATCTAATTTATTTTTAATTATTTACACGAATATATGAATATATAAAAAAGAAGCTTTCAATAGTATAATATATGATAGCTATTTTTTAACATTTTCTATTATTTTCTATTGATATATTTATATTTAATCAATATTTGCTGCTTATTCCTGTATCTACATATATTTCGTTATTTAAAACTATATTATAAATTTAAAAGCACAAAAAGGAAAGTATTCATACATACATAAATACTGATAAAAGATTTATTTAAAATGATAAAGCAAATTTTAATTTTAAAATCTTTTAATTTTTTTATTTTGATTAAATATTATCAAGTTAATAATAAATTTGAACAATTTCTATGCTAACATGATTCATTTTCTATTATAAAATGATTTGCAAACATGCAAATAAATTCAATAAAATTGTATCTAAAAATAATTCATCATAGATAGCAGTAAGTAATCAATCAATCAATAAATAATTTATTTTGAAGTGAATAAATGAATGAATATGCATAAAACCTACAAAACTAACAAGTACGAATGAGAAAGTGCAAATAAAATGGATAAATCTTCATTTTTTAATTAATAAAATTTGCTCTCAATCTCCTTGTTTTTCTATTTTGGAGTATTTCTATTTAAGCTTAAAATTTCAATCATGCATTGAGAAATCACAACTTGGCTTCTTCTCTTAATCTATTTATTATTTTAATAAATGGTAATATGTTTGAAGGAATCTTTTATATTTCTATTTAAAATCTTTTATATTTTATTCTATTATGTATGCTAAAACTAATTTATAAATTCTAACCTCTAATCATGTTCAGCGCGCTTTTCTAAGACAGCATCTCTAATGGCTTAGTTAGTCTTTTCATGATATTATCTCACTTTTTCATCATGATTATGAGGATGGCTTGAGTTGTATTCTTCCTATATTTAAATTAAATAAATGATTCCCTGCTTTAAAAAGAATATATGCTATTGCATTCAATTTATAAATTAGCTATAAAAAGTAACTTTTTTGATGATTTTTTCATCTTTCATTTCTCTATAATTAATTTATCATGGACATATTATCCAAACTAATGAAAATATTATTATTGCAATTATTCTAAACAAATGTCTATTGATTTATTTACGAAATTAGAATTTTAGGGCTTGTAGTACTTATTAACATAATAACTATAAGCGAAGTATGAGAGAGCAACCATACCAGCACTTCTAGGATTGTAGAAGGTAGGGTTTCTTCTTAAAACTTTAAATCCTTGATAAACCATTTGAATACTTTTTTGGATATAGATTGATTTTTCTTAAGAATTACTTATGTTTATTTTTTATTCATTCTAAAAAGGAAATTATGTATCAATCTCATCAAAAAGAAAGAAAGAAATTAACAAAATAAATAAATAAATTAATTAGCAAATACATTCATTTCATTCATTTATAGATAAATACTTATGTTTTATAAACCAATCTAAAATCCTAAATAGAGATATATGACAAAAAACATTTCAATCTAAATACCAAAAAATCAAATCTGAAATTAATACAAAATAACAAACAAACAAACAAACAAACAAACATATTCTTTTGATAAAAATTGATTGAAAAAGAAATTATTTTTATCTTAATGAATAGAAACTTTAAAACTAATACATTTTATTTTAATTCCTAAAAATTAAATAAGAGCAATTGATTCAGAAAAAATAAATGGTAATAATAAAATTTGAAAAATAAATTAGAACAATTAAATAATTTTAGAAAAATTAAAAAAAAACAATAGTTTTTAAATAAAAAGTTATTTAAAGTAAAATAAAAAAGAAAATAAAGTTAATTGTCATATGAGTAAATGAGCAAGCAGTTGATTTAAATTGAAAGAAATATTTTATGAATGAATAATGTGTATAATTTAATAAATTTTACTTAAGTTCTTCATTCATATTAAAAGTTATATCTTTATAATTTAAATAAAATAAATTAGCATTAATTTAAATTTGTATCATGAGGGCTATTACAGTTCTTAATATTTCAATTAAATAAATAAGAACAATTATAAATTTTGGAAAATTATTTAAAAAAAATAATTTCTAATAAAAAACTTATTTAAAATAAAATAAATAATTAAATAAAGTTTACTCTCATATTCATATGAGTGCTTGGTTTAAATAGAAAGAAATATAATATGAATATATGTGAAAATTTTAATTAAATTTACTAAATTAAGCTACTAAAGTAATATTTTTTATAAGCTAAATAGCATAAGATTAGCAATAATTTAATTATTTGAAATGAGAGATATTATAGTTATTAATATTTCAATTACTAATAATTGAAAAAAATATAAAAATATTTTTTTATTTTATTATTTTATCATTAAATGAATGAACTATATCTCATATATTATTTAAATATGTTTACCAAATTTGTATTTAAATCTATATAAACTGACAATACAAGGTCTTATTATTAAAATGATTTTTGATCATATATAAGAGTTCTAATTCCAACTTCGTTAATTAGATAAATAAAAAATAATTATTTTATCAAATAAATAAAAAACTTTTTTATATTAAACCAATTTTATTTATTAATGAATCAAAGTTTACATTTCAAAATATTTTGTTGATAAATTTTCCCAATTCAATAAATTAACCAAAGATTTAAGAAAATATTACTAATTATTTTCAAAAAATTTCTTAAACTTATGATTAAGATATAGTGTTCTAATGTAAATTTATCATTACTTCTTTCATTTTAATTAATCGTTTTTTCTTTTAATTAATAATTTTTCTTGTATTAATTAGATTTAACATGCTTTTAAATAAAAATTTTGTTCTTCAAATTTTTTTATGATTTTTGGATAAGAAATTCCTCAAATTTTAAGGAAACCTCATATAATAAGTTGATAAATAGTAGTATATACAGTAACTGATTATGATGTAAATATTATGAATAAATAAGTTTGCTTAAAAATGATAGTAGCTAAATGTTATTTAATATATCTAAATTATTAAATCTAAATTTATTGTATGTAGGTTTTTTTTATAAGTTTTTACAATTTAAATTGCTTTTAGGTAAATAATTATTTTTAGAATTGATTTTTTGTATGAATGAAAGGAATTTTTAACCTATTTTTATTAGCTTTAATCTAATAATACAAGAGATTGAATTCGTTTGTTTGTTTGTTAGCCTTCAAATTATCATAGTAAGCTAATTTATTTTTTTTGTTATTACTTTGCTATATCAATTTTCTAAATTAGAAGTTATAATCATAAATTTTGATTTAACTACTGGCTGAGTTAAAAGGAAGTTCATTAACTAAATTATGATGAATTCTGTAAAAAATTTATTTAAAATCTAAAGAAGATAAGCATTTACTAGGGCTAATAATTACAAGCTTTTATGAAAATAATTTATTTTATATAAATTTCATGATTTTTAGTTTAAGATTGGAAACTGATTGTTGCTGCTATAAAAAGTTATTAAAGCAATTTTAAAATTCTTCTTTATTTAATTATGAAGTAAGTAATTATTAAACAAATAAAAAGTTGTAAACACTTTTAAATGATTAAATGTTTTTGTTATAAAACTGTAAATTAAATTTATTGAAATTTATTTCAAAGTTATGTTTCTATAAAAAATGCTAACAATCTTTAAAATCTAAGGGAAGAAAGTAGGTAAAGAAATAGCTCAATATAGATTTTTAATTAGCTGAATTTTTTAAATTTTATAATAAATATTTAGAAATTCTATTAACTCTTTTTTGTAGCAAAATATGATTTCATCTTTAAAATAATTTGTGTTTGCTTGATGTTGTTTTAAAAAAATTTAAATTACATATGCCAATTGTGATTTTACCAGGAAAGTTATTTAATGATAGTGGACATTTGATATTTAAATTATAAAGAGAAGCAAGAAAGATGCAAATAATTTAAATTTTGATCAGTTAATTAAAAGTTTATTTAAAAGTGGAGTTTTTGTTTAGTATAGTGATTTTTATTTCACATTAATAAATAAAATTCATGACGAAATTAGCTAGCTTCCTCGTAATAATAGTAATAAGTTAATTTAAATGCTGTAATTGATAAATCGTTGAATTTAATAACTTTATAAGCAAAATTGATTGAAAGATTATTTTTGTTAGTATTTATTTATTTTAACTATTATGAGATAATATTTTTAAAATCTAGAATAAGAGTACCATTTTTTTTGTTTTTATATAACAAATGCTATGATTGCAAAAATTATATGTAATATGAACTATGTAGAGTAGAATTTATGTTAAAAATCGAAGATATACATTAGCATTATATCTGTTAAAGTAAACAAAAATCGCTTAAAATAACAAAATTGTTTAGAAGCATAAAAATTTAGCAGAAAAAGCGTATTTACTTTTATAAATTTACTTAAAACTAGTTCAAAAGTAGAAATAAAAGAAAAGATATTTGAGGAAATTGAGAACTTCAAGTATCCGCTTTTGATTTGCGTTTTTTAAATGAGATTGTTATGGCAAATTTCGTTTAGAAGAGTTCTTTTTCATGTTTTTCAACAAAGAAAACAAGATTAAAAAGATGATTAAATTAGATAGATCTCAATGGCATTATTACAGATTATATGATTCGTATCTTTAATTAATGACCTATAAATTTTTGAAATATTTGCAGTACTAACTGTTTTTTGAAGGAATCCAATTAGTGACTTAACTGATAATCATCCTTCAAGATGAATGTAACTAGTTTTTAAATAATTTAAAAACTGTTCAAACGTTGGTTGAGGAAGAATTTGAAGTGATTTTTTGAATTGATTAATTGGTGAACGGATGATAAAAGAATTATGAAATCGATAAAAAAGTAAATATCATTCAAAAAGAACTCAAAGCGTTTAGTGAAATGCAAATAACTTGTAAACAGAATAAAGTATTTTTAGAGTATCTGCAAAGTATTTTTGAATTTGAGAAGGATTTGAATGGAAGAATAAAATTAAACAGAAATGGAAGGTTAATTAAGATAATTGAAAAATCATCAAAATAAAAATGTTCAATAATATACTCAGTATATAAAAAAACATAACGCAGGGTAAAAAGCGAAGGGAATGAGGCTTCGCAATAAATAATCGAAGGTTTTTGAAACGAAAAACTTTGATTAAAAAGAAACAAAAAATTGAATGAAAAGTTGGATGGGAGAAATGGAAAAATGTTAATAAACAAGTTCAAAGAGAATGAGTGAGTCTGATTTAAAATCTTTCATATCAGAGGAGATTATCTATTAATTAAATGATCAAAAAAAAATATATTTATTTGCAACTACCTAACAAATTTAATTACCTCAAATTAAAATGAGCGAGCAAAAACCAAATATAAAAGTAATTCAAGTGATCTAATCAAAAAAGCGCATAAAAAATAATGAAGGATAGATCAAAAGTAATATTAAAAGTACATTTCATTTAAATTGGACTATATAATTTTTCATATTATTTTAAATGTAAATTAAAAAATTGAATATAATTGTAACTCTAAATGTTTTATTAACTAGTTGATTGATATATTTGCGATTAGAGAAGGACATATTTATTTACATATAATTTATTGATTAATAAATTTATTTACATTAATCAATTGATCAATTTACTTATTTATCTTTTGATTTATTTATTCAAACAATGAATGCACTTATTATTTTATTTATTTATTTATTTATTCATTAATTTAATTTAAATGGGATTTGTATATATAAATCTGTAAAGATTGTTTGTTTATAATAAAGAGTATCAAACAGAAATATTAATTAGTCTATTTCGATTTTAATATTAAATAATGATAAGTGGATGCAAAGAGAATAGCTGCTATTTTTATTTTTTTCCAAGCTCAATAATACTTGGGTGCTTTAATGAGTCTTTCTATTTCAGCTGATGATACAAAGCGAATGGAGAGCGAAGGTTCTTTTTTTAAGAAACAAAGGAAGAAATGTTCGCAGAGAACCTTGGAGTAGAGGTTTAGAAAAATGGTGGATCTATCAAGTCTGATAGAAAATATTAAAATTTATGATTAAAAATAAAAGGGGTTGAAATGAATGAGATTGAAGCTTGAAAGAAGAAACAAAAAAGGTAACACCGGAAATAGGGTAAGGTAAAAGAAGATCTATAGATAAATTATGTTTTAATTAAAAATAAGCGAACATACGAAATTAAAAGGGAGAAAAATTAGCTGAAAAAATAAGTGACTTAATATTCAAATATGATGGTTGGGATATTTATTAAAAATCGAATTATTTAAAAATATTGATTATTCTTTGGCATCAAAAATAAATTACACAGCCACTTTTTGTACGGCACAAAAGTAATTACATATTCTTAATTAAAGTAAAGCAAATTAACAAACAAATAAATAAATAAATTAAAAATAGCTAGATCGATCTGAAGCAGTCTCAAAAGCGATTCCTTAACGCTTTAATAAAAAAAAAAAATTTTAATTAATTTACAAAAATTAAAAAACAAAAATCACAAAAGATAAATTATAAATAATCAGGAATTGAGGAACTCAACTATTTGATTTCACTTGTAGGAAGGGGACAAATTGCAAAATAATATTTATAAACGAACTCAAATAAGAGCATAAAATAACAAATAAACTCACAACAATATAATCACACAAACTACTACTTAAACATTATTAATTAATCTTTCATTGCTGCTTTGAAAATTTTGTCTCTTTGAACTCAATAAACTTGCAAAAAATTAATTAATTCGAACATTACTCTAGATAAAATAAAGATTTTTCGCACTTTTTGAATTAAATCAAATTTTCTATTAATAGTAATTATCCAATAATATAAAATGATCAATAGATAACAATTAATGCAAGCTGAATTGGAATAGCTAATCATCCAAAATCAGTAAAAGGACGAGCTTCTTATGATGCTCATGGCTTTGAATAAGTAGAACCTTGTTAACAGTGATACTCAATATCACCACTTACTTTAAAATGCCTAATAACAATAATAATTGTCTCAAAATAATTTTTATGGCTTACCTCCTCAATAGAATTCTCTATTTAATAATAACAATAACATCTCTTCTCACTACGGATTCAATAATTAAATTAACGCTCAATCCGTTTCAAATCATTTAAATTTAGGAATGCTGAATTAAAATTAATATTAGAATCCTCTTCTCAGCTTAAACAATATGTACAGTCAAAATTAATTGAATGCTAAAAACCCAAACAGTTTGTACAGTAATGCAAACACTTCTAGACTTAGCAACATGAGTAACGCTACAACTGCTTCTTCTCACTCTTACTTGAATAATCCCACCTCTGAAACAAATTTAGTCTTCCCTGAATGCAACTTTAGCAGATTCTCAGATTTTTCTTAAGCCAAATATATTCGCGATAGCGAAACAAAGAAGAATTTAGATTTATCTGATTTCTCTATGCAATTAGAAGATAGCACTACTAGAGCTAGCATGAACAGAAATCACGTTCCTCTCAATCAATCTCAATCTCCTTTGTTAGCAGCTTCTTAATTTGGATATGATAAGACAGTCCAACAAACTTTTAGCCAAAATGAACTTCCTAAATTTTAATAACAATACTACTTTAGCAAGCAAGAGGAAGATGCTGACAATACCCAAAAGATATAAATTAATGATATCAGATCCAGCCTAGAATAGCCCAAGTTATCTCATAAAAACTCTAATTCTTCTTGTGGATATAAGTTTATCTCCAAGGATAACAGCAACAATTTCATGTCTAAAATGAAGAAAAACCCTGCTGTGAGCAGAATTGCTGATACTCTTACTTACATTTATACCTATGAACCTTAAAAATTAGAATAGGGAGAAATCTTAGAATAATTATTTTTCAATAATGAACAATAAGTTGAATAATAAAGTACAAAGAATTCTAACAAGAGCGAAATTATTTGCAACTCATCCCCAATTAATACAACTATCATTCAATTAAATAACAAAAATTGCGATGATCCTCTTGGCAATTTGACTCATCCCTTTGAAGACAATAACAAGTAAAACAACGAAGTTGCTGGTGCTGGAAAAAACAAAAACTATATTTCTAAGAACTCAGTTAAAATTGAAGAAAACTTGAACTTCAACACTCAATTCCTCTCCAAGTCCATCAATCTTTTATCTTAATAAAATGGAAATAAAAATACTCCTAATTAAGATTCTGATTCAATTAATAGCGATTACTTTGATGAAGAAACTGAAGGAGAATACAACAACTTCCACGGATTCATCAAGAAAGGTCACTCTTCCCTCCGTTTAAACTTAAAGTTGGTCAACACAATTGAAAACTTCTTGAAGAAGTAACTTTTGTTCTCAAATAATCCTTCCAAAGATGAAGAAAATAACGAAAAATAAGAATAAACTTAAAAGAGTGTTCCTATCAGCGAAAAAATTAAAACAATGAAAGGCTAACTTGACTTCGAAGACATTACAAACCACATCAGCTTGGAAACAAACGTTAACGAAGAAGTGTTAAAAAAGGAAATATAGCAAATTTTACATAGCTTTAAGAGTAACCACAAAGTCTATTTTAAGAAAGTTCGCTCATAAAAGGAAATGCTTAAAGACACAAAATTCCACAACCTAAACAAGAGAATTATGAGAGTTTTACTGAGCATTCTAAACAACCCAATTATTTTATAGTTGAAGGTGCCCCAACCCATTTTCAAGTTCTTCCATACAATGAGCACAAAATTAGTAAACTCTTCTAAGAAATTAATAAAAAATACAATCGTTAATGACTAGTACTCTCACGCTCACTATAATACAATGTTTTTACAAATTTCTGCTTCTAATTATTAAAAACTCAGTTAATCTTAATCAGATATTGAATTACACAAGATTATTTATGATATTGATCTATCTCTACCCTACAGCCAAAATTATTTTGAAATCCAAAAAACCAACATTTTAAAGCAATATATCTACCTTATTTTAGACAGAACTTTGCGTCTCAACGATACCTCAAATGACTCTCAAATTCAAGCCATCAGATCTATGTACATTGACAGAGTTATCAAGGGAATGGAAAAAATGAACGCTGGAAAGATAGTCCAACGCTTTTGAGAAATTAATAATTCTGATTTTGCTAGTTATATTAGTTTAAATCAAATTCACGTAAATTTAAATCTGATAAATTGATTAAAATAGGCTGGCAAAAGCTTATAATAAATAAAATTCCTATAAAGTATAACCTGCTATGTCACAGATTTAACCTTTCCCCTACCATAAATTTAAATATAAATAAATATATAATATCAATACCCTAATATTATCAATCACTCATTTTAAATAAACCCTTTCACTAATAATAATCATATCAAATTAATAAATTTACTTTACTTTCACTTCTTTACTCACTTAAAACTTAACTACGAACTATCTATGATTTGCCCGCGCTCTTTGTAATTAATAACTACAGCATACACTCACTCACTAACTAACTTAAATACAGATTACAAAAGTACACATTTTATTTAGCACGCATGCTAGAAACTTAATAAAAAAAATAGATAAGTATTATTTTTGGAAACAAAACCAGAAAAATCTTCCCACAAAAACCTTTAAAGTACAAAAAAGTACTGATAAGGCCTTAAAATACAACTTATTCCAGTGTGCTAACTGCAGAGCATGGCAAAAATAGAGCAAAAATACTTGAAAGAAAGTCACTTTTACTCACTTTACTCATCTCTATTACTTATTAACTCCTTTCTAAATTAAAAATTAAATAAATAAATATCTTAATCGCAATAATTTACTTCTTTTCGCTCGGAAAAAGAGAAGAAAATCAAATCAAATAAGAAATTAATCACTAAACAAAAGCAAAAAAATAAACAAACAAAAAATCAAAGGAAACAAACAGTTTAAATTGTAAATATTCGAAGTAAATTATATATATTTTTATATTTTGTTGAGCTAAATATCATTAATTTAAAACAACCAAACAAAATCAATCAATTTTTCTTCGTATTTTACTTAAACAAGCCAGATAAAAATAGAAACGTTTGCAATTAAGCATTAAAATTTACTCTGGCATTTCTCTTATTTTAAGATTCTAACTTTAAACTTATTTAAATCGGCAATTATCATGACAGATGATTGATTCTGTTTTTTAATTAACTCTATACATATTTATTTAAGTGATCTTCACATTAAAAAAAAGAGCAAATATTAAAGATCAAACCAATTTTTTTGTGGGAGAAACAAAGTAAAATTAAATTTTCAGCCAAAAGAAAGCAAAAGACAAATAAACAATTTCACTCAAAAAAAGAAATAATTAAAAAAATAAAGACTTCAAATTTTGTTTTAATGATTTAATAAATGCTTATTTCAACCAATATATCTATCTTTCTTTCTTTCTTCTTTCTATTTATCTTTATTACTTGATATCTTACTATCTATGAATTCACTTTCTATTTATTTACTACTTTCTATTGAAGTGATGTATATTTATTTACTTTTTTTGCTTTATTTATTTTCCTTTTTTCACTATTTTGTATCTAATGTATTTAATGTAAGAAAATACAAACAAAATCTTAACTAGAGTAACCCTAAAAAAAGTATTTGAATATTTCAAAAAGCGAAACAAAATTTAATTGTACTAAACCAAAATCTTTTGTTTTTTGTTTCAGTAGCAAATTTTCAGCGGTAGCAGCAAAAAATTCTATTATGTTCGATTGGCTTGGATTTCAAACAAGTTTATCAAATTTACATCAACCAAGCTGACCTTACTTTTATTCATAATTTTATGGGAGTTTGATTGACTAGTTGATTTGTTTTTTTGTTCGTAGGACTACCAAATTTGTTTGAAGAGAGAGCACATTTTAATGAAGTTCATAAAATTACAAAAGAAGCTTAATGTGTAAACTTCTCCTTTTAATTAAAATTGTGTTTGATTTAGCTATTAGCTTATATAAAAAGTGATTGCTGAGGGTATAAAAGAATATAAATGTGTGCTCGTAACTATTTATAATGAAATATCTTTCTATCTTTGTAGGCATTTGAGATACAATTAAAAATCTATTGCAAATGAAGAGCTATTTTAAGAGTGATCACTTGTAAGAAAAAATTAATTAAAATTTGAAAGCTATTTTTACCATAAATAAATAGAAAACTCTTGAATTGAATGATAATTTAAGAAGGGGTGGGATTTGTGTGAACAAAAAAAGTATTTGTTTCTCATATTTTTATAAAAAATTTTCGTCTTGATTGCACAATTTTCTTTACTTCCAACAATTATTTGTTCTATCTAGTTATACATCGATCTAACTATTTATTTGTATCTGTTTTGCAAAACAGATAATTAAAGCAATGATAAATTCAAAGTATTTATTCTAATTTTTCCAATCTAGCTTTCGTTGGCTAAAAAATACTATGCAAGCTCAACCTTACAAACCTTACAGACTAATATGTAAATTTCTCTCTCATTTTTTGTCTAACTTTTTTCTCATTTTTATGGTCCATTTTTTAATTCGCCCCTCAAATTTCACTCAAATGGCAAATAATTATTAATGTAATCCCTTATGGCAGTTTGAAATATTTCGCGTGTAGAGTAATAATTTCCCATTTAACAATAATCTAATATCATTCTTCATCAAAGACCCCAATTTGATCTATTTATCTTTAATTGCAAAATGTATCCTAAATTTGCAATTTATCTCATAAAATTAACATCTAATGTAGTAATATTCTGATCTAATCTTAATCTAAGCAGTTTTAAATTACTCCTTTAATTTCCTTTTCGATTTTTTTTCACTACGAACTCACGATCATTACAAACTCTTCTTTCAATCCATTTCTCTCCAAACAGCTTAAAATTTCAAATCTACTCCAATTACACTCCTGATTCTGCTCTGGCACCATTTCATCTACTCTAATCGCACTGGAGTATTTTTTGAAACTTAATCTATATATATAATTACAAAACTTTACTGAAGACAAAATAATAAGAATAGAAGAACTTTTATTGCGTAAAAAAAACCAAGTAATGTCACATTATTAATAAATCTTTTAAATGTCTACAAAAAATTTAAATGAATTTAAATATTCTTTCTCATTCTCATCTTCACTAATAAATGATCTTCATCATTTGCTGAATAAAAATTTGAAAAATATTAATAATAAATTTCTTGTTTTTGTTAATTAGAGTAGGTTTATTTAATTGTAATACAACACATAGCTAAATCAATTAAAATATCCATTCAATTTTTGTTGTTTTTTGATATACTTGCTATTTTATCTCTTTATTTACTATTTTCCCTCTTTTTGTGCTAAATCTGTATAATATCTTAATTTATTTTTCTTTCTAATTTATCCTTTAAGTTTTTTCTGATGTAAGTTTTTCCTAAATAGTTAAATATTAATTTAGGTATTTAAAATATTTTTTCAACGCATAAAATCATCCTTATCATATTAAAATATAATGGAAATTTACTAATATCTACATTTAATCGGCTTAAGAATATTTTTTCTATTAAGTTGATAAATATGTATTGAAATATTTAGCCTTTTATAGTACACAAAATTTAATTTATTAAAATGTGTTAAAGAATGTATGAATTTACTATCTAAGTTGTAGTCTTTATCACTTAATAAATGTAAAATTATTGTTTTTTTTCATCATTAAAACAAAGAAAGACTACAGATGGTAATTAAATATTTCAAATATTACAAAAGCTTAATTTTTCCATTAAATAATCTAAGTAACATTAAAATAATCGATCATTATCTCAAAAAATTTTCATATTCTTACTAAATTAACTGCAAAATGATACTTTATCATTAAAAAAAGAAGATAATATCTAAAAGCAAGTCTTTTCACATTAAATTACAATAAAAACATGTAACAAATTGGAGTTTTTAAAACCAACAAATATATCGCTTTTTTTGCAATTATCTGATTTCTTAAAATTGTAAAGCAAAAAAGGCAAAACAAAAATAGGTATGAAATATATTTACTTATGAATTTGAAAATCTTAATTTAATAATTTATTCATTAAAAATTATATCTAATTTAAAGAGCCAAACCTATTTAATTCTTTTGACAATAATGGCGAGTAAGAAACTTTAAAGCTAAAAAATATTGCCATCGCCTTAAAAAAGCAATTTAAATGAACTGATTTTGTCTCATAATATGCTACAATGGCTTAATCAAAATTAATCTATATTCCAATTAAAAAGCATAGAACTCCTTAACTATGTATATAATTTAAGTATTATCAAATAAGAATTTAGCAATAATTAGTTTTAATAAATTTAACCAACCTATTAATTAGTCTATAAGTACTAATACATATTATTTAAAGTAATCTTTCACTTATTATTTTAATCAGACCTTTTTATATTATTCTTCTCTTTTCTCTCCTCAAACTCCAATATCTCTATCATGTTCTATAAATTCCTTCTAATTGAATATTTATCATCAGTGTAATCCCTAATTGAAAGTATTTGTTTCTAAAAATATACTATTTGATTTATACTATTAAAATTAACTAACTGCAACAAATCAATTATTTATTTATTTACCCATTCAATGAAAAAATAAAATTAAAAAATTTGAATTCTCATAGGAAAGAAAGGCTAGATTACAGAATAAACAATAGAAATAATAATAAAAATTCAATTAAATTGTTTTGCATTCAATTTTGTCTATTTTTAAATTAAATGACTATGCATATCCAAAATAAATTGTTCTATTTATCAAAGGTCTATATTTTTTAGTAACTATTATCGAATTAAATTTGATAAAGTAAAAACCATATATTTAATTCAATATCAATACCGAAATATATTCTTAAATAGCTAAGTTACACCCCAAGCATTATAATTACATATCAGAGTAAAATTCATTTAATTATTAATAAAATTTATTTATTCAATCATTAAATCTCCATTTTATCCCATTAATTTTGCTATCCTTATTTCTATCCAAATTTTTAGCACTTTTTTACATGTTTTATAATTTTTAACGAAGTAATTAAATTTTAAATTAATCTATTTAAATTTCACAATTAGATAATTTGCTTCATCTAATTCTTATTTAAAAAGATTTATTTCTGATTTATGAATACGCCTTGAAGTTGCAATAAAAAATATATTCGTCATACAAAATATTTATCAATTTAATGAACTATTTAATAAGTATCTATTTTAAATTTTAAAGTCATTAAATGAAATTAAATTTATTTTATTCTTAAAAAGATTATTTTTAATTAAAATATATTTTATTTTATTAATTTTAATTGAATGATCATGGAATAATAAATATATTTATATTTTCAAAAATATAAAGAGAACATTAATATTTTTTATAGAACTTGTTAGGCCTTTATGATCTGAGTTATTTATTTTTATCTTTTGAGTGACTGCTCTGTTTTCTTTAGAGGTTTATTAGTTTTAATTCAAATATTTTGATTAGTAATTAAAAATAGTGTGTAAATATTCTGATAAAAAGATATTTAAAGATCAAAGCAAATTATTTTTGGATTATAATAAGCTATAAAAAAAGAGTAGAAATATTAGAGATAGGGTATTAGGTGCTTGGATCTTTAATTTTTATGTGCATTTTTTAATTATTTAGATATCTATATTTGTCTTTATAGTTTAGGAAAAGTATATTCCTTTGATTGGGCAAATTCTGAAAAACTGTAAGCTATGAAGTATATCTATGAAAACAACTATTGAGAAGAGAGTATCATTTCTCAAGGAATTGAGTAGAAATTATTGGTTAAAATTCAAAAGGAAGTTTAAAAAATTTAAATAGTCATGAGCTGCATAAGGATATAATCTTTTTGAAGAAAACAATTAATATGATACTTAACTTGAATTAAATAGCTGCTATTTAATTTATTGGTCTTACAAATAATTACATAAGTCTTAATTTTGAAAGTTAAATATGAAAATAAATTTAAATAATTTCTTTATAAATATACAAGCTAACTTATATTTTTTTAGAAGAGATAAGAAAAAATGAAAATTATTTGAAAAAGATTTATAAAATGCTATCATGAAAAGAATTATAAAAGATTTCATGCAAAAATTCTTGATAAAATTTGAAGAAGATGAAAGTATAAGTGCTTTAGATAAAAGAATACTCTCGCCAATTATAAAAAATATTTGATTATTTCTAAGAATTTATTTTAGTCATTTTCATATGATAATTGATTATTAAATAAAATTATAAAATTATTTATGTTATCATTTTTATCTATTTGTAGTACTCCAAAATAAAATATATAAGTAATTTTCTCTAATAAATTTTTATAATGATAATAAATATTTGGAGGAGGGTTGAAAATATAAAATATTTATTATATAACATTATAAATATATAATAATTTTTTTAAATTTTCAAGAAGAATTCATAAATTATTAAATAATAAATATTTACTTTTAAAATAATTATGCATATTTATTATATTATTAAAAAAAAAATTATTATAAACTTAAAATTTAATATCTGAAATTACAAATTTAAATTAAAGGTCTCAATTTAATTAATTAAGAAACAATAAACTTATAATTAAAATAATGGTAGAAGCAAAAATAAAATTTCTTATTATGAATGTTGATTGGTAAAATTAATTTTATTTAGTTTATTTGAAGTTAAAATCATTAATAGTTATGGTTATTAATTAAATGATTTGATAATTCTTAGGAAGAGTTTTTAAATTTGTTTTACAGAACTATTATTTGTATTTAAATAATAAAAGAAAAACAAGAGCAAGAAAGTAGAAGTAAATATAATATACAAAAGATGAAATTATCTAAATTAGATTTATTTTCTTCTGAGTTTTACTTTAACTTAGAAGGTTAACGTTAAAAAAAGGGTACTTTTTAAGGTGTTATATTAACACTTTTATCTACTTTTGTGATTCTTTCTTACTTTATTTATTTGTGTAATCAATATCTAAACAACTAAATTGATCCATAATTTAGATCTTAAAGCTTTATAACTAATATAAGAAGAGAAATACCATTGAATGAAGACTTTATTGGATTTAACTTCTATTATAATACTAGTTTAACATTAAGTTAATTTCAAGCATAATAGAATAAAACATACTTAGTATTCATTCCATTTCTATACTATCAAGATAAATCAAATAATGTCTTTTAGCAAATTAATTTGAACACAACTTAGTGCAATAACCCTTAGCTAGAAGGTTAGAATTGTATTGATATGTCTTAGATAAGTAATTATACTTTTCTTTATGATTAATCAAATAGTATTTTTTCATAGATATTTGTTAATATGTATGGATGCTTAGATTTAGATGACTTAAAAACAACAATTCCAGATAATTGTGCTAGTTAAAGTGAGATAGATGAGGTTATAAATGGAGGCTAAGCTGGCTTTAGTATGTTTTTAAAAGCGTAATAATATAATACAACTTCAAAACAGATTCAGACGAGATATAGATTTGTAGAGATTTTTGGTTTATCAAATTAGTTCATTCTAAGCTAATTAAAGACTTAAATTTAAAACACTGAAGTAAAATAAGGATTAATTTTCTAAGAATAATAAACATATTCTACACCTGTATCATATGATTAAACAATACAAAGCTTTGATAGATAACTTTCTTTGTAATCGGGTCTTGGCCCATACATTCAAATAAATATTAAAATGGATGAAATAATGTAATTTACCTAAATTTAATATCCAACCATAACACAAATCTTAGCCTTGGCTAATAGCATTGGTTTCATAGCAATTATTTGTAGATTTATTGCAAGATTTATATCATAAAATGTCATTAAAGAAGATTTTTTTATTCTTATTATGAGGAATCTATTTTAAGATAAATGCTAACAAGTACTATAGCATAATAATTTGATAAATAAATGTGAAATAGTATTGCAAATTCATAAAATGGAAGAACCTATAGCTGACAGTATTTTAGAATAATAAAATAACACTAACCTTGTAGTGCCTAATTTCTAAATATAATATTTATAAAAAAAAAATATTGCAAGTATTAGTTAAGTTATTAATAATATTTTTTAAAAATAAAAATTTAATTTAAATGAAGAGAGCTAATAAAATATTAATACAAATTTCTGCGATCGTTTAGATTCTATAAATTCACTATAAAATTAATAGAATCAGACAAATAAAATTAAATTTGATAAAATTGATTTTATTTCATAAAAAGAATCTCTGAAGGCATCTATGATAAATAGCAAAGCAACTTTGAAGATAAAGGAAAAAGAAAACACAATAATACAAAAATCTTTGAATAAACAATAAGAAATATCTAAGAACGCTTTTAAAACTAAATTTTAAAACCAAAAAATAAAAAAATCTTTCGTTGATGCAATATCGAAAAGGCTAAAAATTATTGATAATAATTCTATGAAATAAGTTCTTTAAAATACTATATTTAAATTTAGGTAAATTATTTAACAATTATCATGAATTATGAATTTTAAATATTTTAAAAAGATGTTGCAAAAACAAAGAATATCTTTTGTAGAAAGGCATTGACTAAAAATAAATGATAAAAATTTAAAAAGAAGTATTAAAGAATTTAAATATTAATGAGCTCTTTAAGGATATAATATTTTTGAAGAAAGCAATTAGTATGCTACTAAGCTTAGACTAGATTGCAGCTATCTAACTTATAGGTTTGACAGATAATTATATGACTCTTGATTTAGAAAGCACAACTTCAAATATTAATTTTTATTGTAAATTTATAAAGCTTTTAAATACAAAAAATTAAAATAAAATTTAATTTAAAATATAATAAAAAGAAAATTTAAATCATTTTGAGTAGTATTATGTAATGCAATAATGTGGTCAGATATAAATAGATTATATTCAAAAATTCTTGACAAAATGTGAGGAAAATGATGAAGTAAGCATTATAGATTAAAGAATTATTTCATCAATTTCAAACAATATTTGACTTAACGTTTATAATTTATAAAAATAAATTCTTTAAATTCTTGTTTGTTTCTCTTATTTAATAATGTATAGAGAGTATATGAGTAATTATCTCTATAAAATTGTTTTTAATAAATAGTTTTTTAAAAATAACTATCTATATTAAATATAGTAAATAATTAATTTATAATTTTAACTCCTAATTTTTATATTGTTTTTTAAAATAAATAATCCAAAAATTAATTAATATTCAATATTTTATAAATTTTAATAATACATATGTAATATAATTAATAAGATAAAAAGAAAGACATAATGTCTTCTCTATGCGGAGTATTTTAATTTTTGTTGTAAATTCTTAAAATTTAATAAAAGTATTCGAATTGAAAAAATAGAAACAAAAAGATGGTTTAAGTTCATATTTCATTTAAATATATATGAACTTCAAAACCTTCTATTTTAGCTAAGAATGCTTTCGATAAAGTTTTTTCCTCTCAAAATTTGAAATATACTAAAGTGGAACTAAATACAGAATAAATAATATCATCATCATAAATTATCAATATATAGAGTGTTATTTGTGAAATTAATAAAAAAGATAATTTAGGTTTAACCATTTTTGTTAATGAGTGCTTATTTCAAACTCATTTAAAAGAGAATAAAACTTGGTAAAAGAAATCAATGAATAAGTACTGATAAATGCGAAAAAAACTATTCAAAATACAGTTTAAACATGTATAAATATAAAATACACAAATAGAATCATAAATAATTGAAATATCATCTATATTCTCACTACTTGAATAACAATAACAGCTTTAAATACAAATTATACCATTAAACAAGCACAAATATCAGATCTAGCAACTTATCTTCTAAATATTTTCCATTTAATTACATTTTTTGAGTATTTTCAAATAATTAAAACTTATTAACAAAAAACTTAACAATTAAAAAGTCAGAAATTTATTATTCTTTATAATTTAGATTAAATGTGTCAATTTAAATAATAAACAAACAAAATGAACTTATATTAAATTAATAGCAGAAACAAAAATAAAATTTCTTATTATCAGTTGATTTGTAAAATCAATTTTATTGAATTCATTTAAAGGTAAAATCGTAGTTATAGCAGTTGATTATATGATTTGATAATTCATAAGTTTATTTACAGAAATATTATTTGCAATTAATTAATTGAAGATAAATAAGAGCAGGAAAGTAGAAGTAAATAAAATATAAAAAAGATGAAATTATCTAAATTAGATTTATTTTCTTCTGAGTTTTACTTTAACTTAGAAGGTTAGTGTTAAAAAAAGGGGACTTTTTAAGGTGTTATATTAACACTAGTATCTACTTTTTTGATTCTTTCTTACTTTATTTATTTGTGTAATCAATATCTAAACAATTAAATTGATCCATAATTTAGATCTTAAAGCTTTATAACTAATGTAAGAAAAGAAATACCATTGAATGAAGACTTTATTGGATTTAACTACTATTACAATGCTAGTTTATCTATAAGTTAATATTAAGAAATATAGAATAAAACATATGTAGTATTCATTCCATTTCTATACTATCAAGACAAACAGAATAATATCTATCAACAAATTAATTTGAATACAACTTAATGCAGTAACCCTTAGCTAGAAGGTTAGAATTGTATTGATATGTCTTAGATAAGTAATTATACTTTTCTTTAAGAATAAACAAATAATATTTATTCTTAGATATTTGTTAATATTTATGGATGCTTAGATTTAGATGACTTAAAAACAACAATTCCAGATAATTGTGCTAGTTAAAGTGAGATAGATGAGGTTATAAATGGAATATAAGCTGGTTTTAGTATGTTTTTAAAAGCATAATAATATAACATAACTTCAAAACAGATTCAGACTAGCTATAGATTTGTAGAGATTTTTGGTTTATCAAATTAGTTCATTCTAAGCTAATTAAAGACAAAGATTTAAAACACTGAAGTAAAATAAGGATTACTTTTCTAAGAATAATAAACATATTTTACGCCTGTGTCATATGATTAAACAATACAAAGCTTTGATAGATAACTTTCTTTGAAATCAGGTCTTGGCCCATACATTTAAATATCTATATCTATGGATGAAGCAGTGTAATTTACCTAAATATAATATCCTACAATAACACAAATTTTAGCTTTGGTTAATAGTATTGGTTTCATAGCAATTATTTGTAGAGTAATTGCAAGATTTATATCATAAAATGTCATTAAAGAAGACTTTTTTATTCTTATTATGAGGAATCTATTTTAAGATAAATGCTAACAAGTACTATAGGATAATAATTTGATAAATAAATGTGAAATACTATTGCAAATTCAGAAAATGGAAGAACCTATAGCTGACAGTATTTTAGAATAATAAAATAACACTAACCTTGTAGTGCCTAATTTTTAAATATAATATTTATAAAAAAGAAATAATGCAAGTATTAGTTAAGTTGTTAATAATATTTTTTTTAAATAAAAATTTAATTTAAATGAAGAGAGTGAACAAAATAATATCACAAATTTTGCTGATCGTTTAGATTCAGTCAACTCATTATAAAATTAATAGAATTTGACAAATAAATTTAAATTTGATAAACTTGACATAATTTCTTAAAATGAATCTCATAAAGCATCTATGATAAATAGTAAAATAACATTGAAGATAAAGGAAAACTCAATAATACAAAATTCTTTGAACAAACAATAAGAAATACCTAAGAATGCTTTTAAAACTAAATTTTAAAACCAAAAAACTAAAAAATCTTTCATTGATGTAATATCTTAAAAGTTAAAAGTTAAGGAGAATAATTCAGTTAAAAAAGCCCTTTAAAAGACTATTTTTAAATTTAGGTAAACTATTTAATAATTATTATGAATTGTGAATTTTAAATATTTTAAAAAGATGTTGCAAAAACAAGGAATATCTTTTGTAGAAAGGCATTGACTAAAAATAAATGATAAAAATTTAAAAAGAAGTATTAAAGAATTTAAATATTAATGAGCTCTTTAAGGATATAATATTTTTGAAGAAAGCAATTAGTATGCTACTGAGCTTAGACTAGATAGCTGCTATCCATATTATTGGTTTGACAGATAATTATATGAATCTTGATTTAGAAAGCACAACTTCAAACATTAATTTTGATTGTAAATTTATAAAACTCTTAAATATAAAAAAAAAAAATAAAATTTATTTTAAAATAGAATAGAAAGAAAATTTAAATTATTTCGAGAAGTATTATGTTATGCAATAATGTTGTAAGATATAAATTGATTATATTCAAAAATTCTTGACAAAATGTGAGGAAAATGAAGATCTAAGCATAATCGATTAAAGAATTATTTCATCAATTTCAAACAATATTTGACTTAAAAATTTATAATTTATTAAAAAAATTCTTTAAATTAATTATTGTTTGTTTCTTTTAATTGATAATATAAATAGGATGTATGTTTAATTATCTCAATAATATTCTTTTTAATAAATAGTTTTTAAAAAATTACTTGCTCTATTAAATATTCTTAATAATCAATTTATAATTTCAGCTACTAATTTTAATATTGTTTTTTAAAATAAATAATCTCAAAAATTAAAATTCAATATTTTATATTTATAATAGTACATATGTGATATAATGAATAAGATGAAATAGAGGTATTTAAATTTATTTATAAAATTAAAATTTTGATGAAAAATAAATCATAGTATTTTAATTTTTAATTTTGACACCAAATTTATCATCGTATTTGGTTTGAGTGATCGAAGTAAATATCTCTTATTTATGAATCAAAACAATAGAGAAATTAAATTTATATTAATAAGTGGATCAAATATTTAAATGAAATGTAAATTTTCTAAATAACTTCCATTAATACATTTTTTGAGTATTTTCAAGTAGTTAAAGTTTATTTACAATAAACTAACCATTTATTAAAAAGTCAGAAATTTATTATTCTTTATAATTTAGATTAAATGTATTAATCTAAATAATAAATAAAAAAAATGAACTTATATTAAAATAATGGCAGAAACAAAAATAAAATTTCTTATTGTGAATGTTGATTGGTAAAATCAATTTTAATAAATTCCTTTAAAGTTAAAATCATAAATAGTTATGGTAATTGATTAAACGAATCAATAATTCATAAAGGAAATTTTATTTAAAGAAATATTATTTGCATTTATATAATAAAAGAAAAATTAAGAGCAAGAAAGTAGAAGTAAACCAAATATAAAAAAGATGAAAATATAAAAATTAGATTTATTTTCTTCTGAGTTTTATTTTAACTTAGAAGGTTAGTGTTAAAAAAGGGGTACTTATTAAGGTGTTATATTAACAATAGTATCTACTTTTTTGATTCTTTCTTACTTTTTCTATTTATGTAACCAATATCTAAACAACTTAATTGATCCATAATTCAGATCTTAAAGCTTCATAACTAATATAAGAAAAGAGATACCATTAAATGAAGACTTTATTGGATTTAACTTCTATTATAATAATAGCTTAACTATAAGTTAATATTAAGCATTATAAAATAAAACATATTTAGTATTCATTCCATTTCTATATTATCAAGACAAAGCGAATAATATCTATCAACAAGTTAATTTGAACACAACTTAATGCAGTAACTCTTAACTAGAAGGTTAGAATTGCATTGATATGTCTTAGATAAGTAATTATACCTTTCTTTAAGAATAAACAAATAATATTTTATCTTTGATATATGTTAACATTTATGGATGCTTAGATTTAGATGACTTAAAAACAACAATTCCAGATAATTGTGCTAGCTAAAGTGAGATAGATGAGGTTATAAATGGAGGTTAAGCTGGCTTTACTATGTTTTTAAAAGCATAATAATATAATACAACTTCAAGACAGATTCAGACAAGCTATAGATTTGTAGAGCTTTATAGTGTATCGAATTTGTTCGTTCTAAGTTAATTAAAGACTTAAATTTAAAACACAGAAGTAAAATAAGGATTACTTTTTTAAGAATATTAAACTTATTCTACACCCGTGTAATACGATTAGACAATACAAAGCTTTGATAGATAACTTTCTTTGCAATCGGGTCTTGGCCCATACATTCAAATATGTATTTCTATGGATGAAACAGTGTAATTTACATAAATTTAATATCCTACAATAACACAAATTTTAGCCCTGGCTAATAGTATTAGTTTCATAGCAATTATTTGTAGAGTTATTGCAAGATTTATATCATTAAATGTTATTAAAGAAGATTTTTTTATACTTATTATGAGGAATCTATTTTAAGATAAATGCTAATAAGTGTTATAGCATAATAATTTGATAAATAAATGTGAAATAGTATTGCAAATTCAGAATATGGAAGAACCTATAGCTGACAGTATTTTAGAATAATAAAATAACACTAACCTTGTAGTCCCTAATTTCTAACTATAATATTTATAAAAAAGAAAAAATACAAGTTTTAGTTCAGTAATTAACAATATTTTTTTAAAATAAAAATTTAATTTAAATGAAGAGAGTGAACAAAATAATATCACAAATTTTGCTGATCGTTTAGATTCAGTCAACTCATAATAAAATTAATAGAATTTGACAAATAAATTTAAATTTGATAAACTTGACATAATTTCATAAAACGAATCTCAGAAAGCATCTATGATAAATAGCAAAGTAGCTTTGAAAATAAAGGAAAACTCAATAATTCAAAAATCTTTGAGCATACAATAAGACATATCTAAAAATGCTTACAAAACTAAATTTTAAAACCAAAAAACGAAAAAATCTTTCATCGATGCAATATCTTAAAAGTTAAAAGTTAAGGATAATAATTCAATTAAAAAAGCCCTTTAAAAGACTATTTTTAAATTTAGGTAAACTATTTAATAATTGTTATGTTTTTTGAATTTTAAATATTTTAAAAAGATATTGCAAAGACAAGGAATATCTTTTGTAAAAAGGTATTGACTAGAAATAAATGATAAAAATTTAAAAAGAAGTATTAAAGAATTTAAATATTAATGAACTCTTTAAGGATTTAATATTTTTGAAGAAAGCAATTAGTATGCTACTGAGCTTAGACTAGATAGCAGCTATCTAGCTTATTGGTTTGACAGATAATTATATGAATCTTGATTTAGAAAGCACAACTTCAAACATTAACTTTGATTGTAAATTAATTTTTAAAACTCTTAAATATGAAAAATTAAAATAAAATATATTTTAAAATAGAATAGAAAGAAAATTTAAACCATTTTGAGAAGTATTATTCTATTCAATAAAGTAGTGAGATATAAATTGATTATATTCAAAAATTCTTGACAAAATTTGAGGAAAATGATGAAGTAAGCATAATCGATTAAAGAATTATTTCATCAATTACAAACAATATTTGACTTAACGTTTATAATTTATTAAAATAGATTCTTTAAATTAATTCTTGTTTGTTTCCCTTAATTGATAATATAAATAGAGTATATGTGTAATTATCTCAATAATACTCTTTTTAATAATTAGTTATAAAAAAATAACTAGCTATTTTAAAAAGAGTAATAAAATCAATTTACAATTTCTACTCCTAATTATAATACAGTTTTAAAAATAAATAATCACAAAAATTAATATTTTATAAATTATAATAATACACATTTAATATAATAAACAATATAAAAAAATATATTTTGAATTTATTTATAAAAATTAAAATATGTATGGATAATAAACCAAATATCAAAATTTAAAAATATTATTAATTTTTTATTGATAAACATTTATTTTTTATTTTTAATTTTGACACCATATTTTAATAACTCCCCTAAATATTTGGTTTGAATGTCTGAAAAATAGATATCAGGTATTTATCTAGATTTATGAATCAAAAAATACAGAAAATTGAATTTGTATTAATAAGTGTATCAGAAATTCAAATAAAATATAAATTTTCTTCATAATTTCCCTTTAATTTCATTTTTTCAGTTATTTATTTTTCTCTATAATTTAGATTAAATGTGTCAATTTAATAGAAACAAAAATAAAATTTCTTATTATGAATGTGAAATTGTAAAATAAATTTTATAAAATTCATTTATAGTTAAAATCATAAATATTTATGGTAGTTGATTAAATTATTTGATAATTCTTAGGATGAGTTTTTAATTTATTTTACATAAATATTATTTGTATTTAAATAATAAAAGAAAAATAATAGCAAGAAAGTAGAAGTAAACAAAATATAAAAAAGATGAAAATATAAAAATTAGATTTATTTTCTTCTGAGTTTTATTTTAACTTAGAAGGTTAATGTTAAAAAAGGGGTACTTATTAGGGTGTTTTTTTAACAATAGTATCTACTTTTTTGATTCTTTCTTACTTTATCTATTTATGTAACCAATATCTAAACAACTTAATTGATCCATAATTTAGATCTTAAAGCTTCATAACTAATATAAGAAAAGAGATACCATTAAATGAAGACTTTATTGGATTTAACTTCTATTACAATGATAGCTTAACTATAAGTTAATATTAAGCATTATAAAATAAAACATATTTAGTATTCATTCCATTTCTATATTATCAAGACAAACCCAATAATATTTATCAATACATTTAATTGAACACAACTTAATGCAGTAATCCTTAACTAGAAGGTTAGAATTGCATTGATATGTCTTAGATAAGTAATTATACTTTTCTTTATGATTAATCAAATAGTATTTTTTCATAGATATATGTTAATATTTATGGATGCTTAGATTTAGATGACTAAAAGACAACAATTCCAGATAATTGTGCTAGTTAAAGTGAGATAGATGATGTTATAAATGGCAGCGAATTTGTCTTTACTGTCTATTTAAAAGCATAATAATATAATACAACTTCAAAACAAATTCAGACGAGATATAGATATGTATAGATTTTTGGTACATCAAATTAGTTCATTCTAAGTTAATTAAAGACTTAAATTTAAAACACTGAAGTAAAATAAGGATTAATTTTCTAAGAATAATAAACATATTATACACCTGTGTCATATGATTAGACTCTACAAAATTTTGATAGATAACTTTCTTTGTAATCTGGTCTTGGTCCATACATTTAAATAATTATTTAATTGGATGAAATAGTGTAATTTACCTAAATTTAATATCCTACAATAACACAAATATTAGCCTTGGCTAATAGTATTGGTTTCATAGCAATTATTTGTAGGGTAATTGCAAGATTTATATCATAAAATGTCATTAAAGAAGACTTTTTTATTCTTATTATGAGAAATCTATTTTAAGATAAATGCTAACAAGTTCTATAGCATAATAATTTGATAAGTAAATGTGAAATACTTATGCAAACTCAGAATATCGAAGAACCTATAACTGAAAATATTTTAGAATAATAAAATAACACAAACATAATAGTGCCTAATTTCTAAAAAGAGTACTTATAAAAAAGAAATAACACAAGCTTTAGTTAAGTTATTAATAATAGTTTTTAAAAATAAAAATTTAATTTAAATGAAGAGAGCGAACAAAATAATATCACAAATTTGGGCGATCGTTTAGATTCAGTCAATTCACTGTCAAATTAATAGAATATGACAAACAAATTTAAATTTGATAAACTTGACATAATTTCATAAAACGAATATCAAAAAACCTCTATGATAAATAGCAAACCAACTTTTAAGATAAAAGAAACCTCAATAACGCAAAAATCTTTGAACAAACAATAAGAAATATCTAAAAATACTTTCAAAACTAAATTTTAAAACCAAAAATTAAAAAAATCCTTTATTGATGCAATATCTTAAAAGCTAAAAGTTATGGAGAATAATTCTATTAAAAAAGCCCTTTAAAAGACTATCTTTAAATTTAGGTAAACTATTTAATAATTATTATGTATTATGAATTTTAAATATTTTAAAAAGATGTTGCAAAGGCAAGGAATAATATTTGTAGAAAGGAATTGACTAAACATAAATGATAAAAATTCAAAAAGAAGTATTAAAGAATTTAAATATTAATGAACTCTTTAAAGATATAATATTTTTGAAGAAAGCAATCAGTATGTTACTGAGCTTAGACTAGATAGCAGCTATCTAGCTTATTGGTCTGACAAATAATTATATTAATCTTGATTTAGAAAGCACAACTTCAAACCTTAATTTTGATTGTAAATATTTAAATTCTTATTTAAAAATGAAAAATTAAATCAAAATTTTTAAAAAAATAGAATAGAGAGAAAATTTAAATCATTTTGAGAAGTATTATGTAATGCAATAATATGGTGAGATATAAATAGATTATATTCAAAAATTCTTTAAAAAATGTGAGGAAAATGATGATGTAAGCATAATAGATTAAAGAATCATTTCATCAATTTCAAACACTATTTGACCTAATGTTAATTCTTTATTAAAATAAATTCTTTAAAATTATCGTTGTTTTCTGTTATTTGTGAATATAAAGCAGTCCTATAAGTATAAATATCTTACTAACATTCTTTTTAATAATTAATTTTTAAAAAATAATTGGCTATCTCAAATATAATATTTGTAAAAAGGTTGTTCCCACCAAATTTATTTTTTAAACTCCAGCTGATACTCTAAATTTGATTGTATATTTAGACATTTCTAAAAGCTCATTAAATAAATTTAAATTCTAAAGACCACGATTCAGTTAGAATAAGAAAAAATAAATTTAGAAAACTTTTGATTAAAAAGGTTAATTATAAATTAGTAATTTGTTATGCGACAAAATAAAATGGGATATTTTTAGTAGGAGAAATGAAGTAAATTAGGTAGAAAGACCTCAAAAGAAGTTTGAGAAAAGTTTAAAAGGACCAGTGTCAACCAATTTTCCAAAATTTCATGATAATTTCAAAAGTATTGTAATGTTGGTAATCGTTGGAGCACTTCTGAAGACCAAAGGCTATGTACCTAGAAGAAAAATAAGAGTTGATTGAATACTGAAGCTAAAATATAAAGTTAGCAACTTCTGAACTCAAGAATGATTTAAATATTGAGGCATCAATATAGATAATTAAAAATGTACTCATTCAAAATGGTTATCACTCTTACAATTTTCCTAAAAATTATATTTTTTCAGCTTAAAATATTGTAAAAAGGTAATAATTTGCTAATGAATATTAAAATTGGACATAAGATGATTGGCAGACTGTAATTTTTATTTCAAAAAAATATAAATTCCACGTAAATGTTAGCATTTGAATTAAAAGGGGATATTTTTCAAAAATTATATTAAAAACATCAATAGCTTTTATCCTATAAAAATATTAAAAATTTTTTTATGAATTCACAAATTCAATAATCACCCTCGCTTAACTAAAAAAAGCAAAATAAATATTTCTTTAGAAAATTTGGAAAGAGAATTTTCTAATATATCACATTTAAAAAAGTGGTTAGTAAATTAGAGGAGAAATTTTAAAGAAAAACTCATTTTTAACCTTTAAATATTTTAATTTACTAATAAAAAATATGAAAAAAAGGATTTAGATTAATTGGTACAAAATAAAATAATAGCATATTACTCAATTAAAAATTAAACTATGGATGAATGATTTATTAATTTTTTGACTTGCTAAAAAATAAATATAAATTATTAACTTTGTGATTAGTAATATTAATGAATTATTAATTTATTTTATATTTAATATATATAATATTTTTATGCATTAAGGATTATTATATTAAACATATTATCATTTTTTATAAATTATTTTGTTTATTCATTCATTTTATTTACACAAAAAATTACTGTTTTTAATATAGTTTATATATTAGATTGATATAATTAATGCTTTTTAATCCAAAAATCAAGAAATTATTATGTTTCAATAAATAAAAACGCTAAAAAGTAGAAGTAAATAAATAAACAATCAATAAAAAAAGATGAAATTAACGCAGTTCGATTTATTTTCTTCTGAATTTTACTTTAACTTAGAAGGATAAAATCATAAGAAAGGTACTCTATAAGGTGTCATATTAACAATATTATCTTATTCTTTAATCCTTACTTACTTTGTATATTTATGCAATCAATATTTAAATAATTCAATTGATCCCTAATTTAGATCACAAAGTTTTGTTTCTAGCATTAGAAAAGAGATCCCATTGACTGAAGATATTATTGGATTTAACTTTTATTACAATACTAGTTTAACTATTGATAAGTTTCAAATGTTACAGAATAAAACTTATTTAGTTTTCATGCCATTCTTGTATTACTAGGATAAATTGAATCATATTTATGAATAAATTAATTTAAACATAACTGAATGCAGTAGCCCTTAATTGAAAGATTAAAATTGTATTGACATGTCTTAAATAAATAACTATACACTCGTATTAGATTAATCTAATAAAGTTATATCTTAAGTTTTTATCAATGTCTACGGTTGCCTAGATTTGGATGAATTTAAAACAACAATACCAGATAATTGTGCCACTTAAAGCGAAATTGATGCTATTATAAATGGATTTTATTCTGGTTTTAGTATGTTTCTTAAAACTTAATAATACAACACAACTTCAAAGCAGATTCAGACTGATTATAGGTATATTGAAATATTTGGGATATCAAGCTAGTTCATTTTAAGTTCATTAAAGACTTAAATGCAAAATACTTAAGTAAAACAAGGTTTGGTAATTTAAGAACAATAGTCTTATTCTACTGCTATACAGTATGATTAGACAATCTAAAGCTTTGATAGGTAGATCTCTTTATAATAAAGTATTGGGCCTTACATTCAAGTAGCAATTTAAATGGATGAAATTGTGTAATTTACTAAAATCTAATATCCTACTATAACATAAATTTTGGCATTGGCTAATAGTATAGGTCTCATAGCAATTATTTGTAAAACTATTGCAAGATTCCTATCTTAAAATATTATCAAGGAAGACTTTTTTATTTTAATTATGAGAAATTTATTTTAAGAAAAATACTAATAAGTATTATAGCATAATAATTTGATAAATAAATGCGACTTAAAAATACAAATTTAAAGTAGGGAAGAAGATATCCCTGATGAAATTTTAGAATTTTAAAATAAAACCAACATAAATTTGCCTAATTTTTAATCTAATTTTATGGAAAAAAGAAAGAAAATTAGTCCATATTAGTAAAATAGCAATATCAGTTTTTAAAAATAGAGATTTTTATTTGATGAGGAAAGTGAATATAAAATTTTTAATGGCCCAGGCTCTATATCTTCACTCAAGAGCTAACAAAATCATTCAAAAAATTATACAAAAATAACTAAGTTTGATAAAATTGATACAATTTCATAAAACGAATCAATTCAATCATCTAAAATGAATAGCAAATTATATTCCAAGAATGACTAAAGTCCAATCTAAAGAAAACCTATAAATAAAAAACAAGATACATCTAAAAATAATAAAAGAACTGAATTTAAGAAATCAGAAACAAAATAATCTTACGGAGATATAATTTCTTAAAAGCTGAAAGTTATGAGACATGGTTCGATGAAAAAAGCAGTGTAAAAGATGATGTTTAAATTTAAGTAAATTTTTAAAAAATTTATTTTTAATAATTTATTATAATTACGATTAAAAGATGTTGCAAAGCTTAGGAATTTTTAAAATCTTAAGGCATCGAGTAAAAGTAAAAAGAAAAAATATTTACAGAAGTATAAAAGAATTTAAATATTAATGAGCTCTTTAAGGATATTTTATTTTTGAAGAAAGCAATAAGCATGATTCTCAGTTTAGACTAAATAGCCGCAGTATAACTGATAGGCCTGACAGATAATTATATGAATCTTGATTTAGAAAGCACATCTTCAAAAGTTAATTTTTAAAGTAAATTATAATAAATGTTTAAAAATTTGATATTAAATTAAATTATTAATAAAAGAGCAGAGAAAAAAATTAAACCATTTTGAGAAATATTATTCAATATTATAAAACGAGGAATTATAAATTGATTATATAGAGTAATTCCTACTAAAATGTGTTGAAGATGATAATTTAAATGATATTGATTAAAGGATATTTTAATCAATAACTAAAAATAATTGACTCAATATTTTTATATGTTAATTTTATTTTTAGTATTTTTATCATAATTAATTTTTAGCCTTTTATATATGACTTGGATAAAAATGAATATACTATCGTAGGGTTGTTTTTTATCAGGAAAACAAACTATTTTTTCTTTAGGCTTAACTTAGAGGGATATTAGTAATATTAAGTTTATTGCTAATCTAAAATTTAATTCTGATCAGTAAATCAAATATATTTATTTTTGTTAATAAATCATGAAACTGATAAAATTAAATTGATTTCTGTTAGAATTTTTGATCTATCTTGTCTATTTTTATTATATCTTTATATTTTATAAAAATTTTAAATTTCAAATGATAGCTTCAAATTTATTGCTAATCTAAATTAAATTCTGATTAGTAAAAAAATGTTTCTAGTTCTAATCAAGCATAAAATTAAAATGATCTCAAATTAGGATTTTAAATCTTTTATATTTTTATTTATAACTTTATGAAAAATGAATAAATTCAGATAATTGTTTCAAATTTCTTGCTTACATAAAATTTATATCTGATCAGTAAAAAAATGATTTTGGTTGCAACAAAACATAAAATTGTTATAATTAAAATATTTACAATTTATAATTTTTAATCTTTTCTATTTTTATATTAATTTTATACTTATAAAAATTCTAATAATTGTTTAAAATTTTTGCTAATCTAAAATTTATATCTGATCAATAAAAAATCTTTCTTGTAGCTAATTAAAATTAATAAAAATAAAATGATCTCAAATCAGAATTTTTAATCTTATCTCTTTATATTTTATTAAAATAATAAAAATGATTGTTTAAAATGTATACATGATTAATAAAAAAAACTTTTAGTGAATATATGACTTAAGTAAATAAGATATTTAGAGCTTAATATAAAACTATTTACACCTTAATTCCTTAGATATACCCAATCAGAGGTACCAATGACACAAATTTATGTTTGAATTTTTTTTTACTCTTAAATTTTTGTAAAAAGTTTTTTTCTGGTCTTGATATATGAGAAACAATAGTTATTACATATTTAAATAAATAATAAACTTTATCAAATTAAAAAAAATTTAATTATATTCAATTAAAATAAAATAGATTCAAAAAATAAATAAATAATTAAATACAAATTATTTTTATTTGTGATATCATTTTTCTTTCAGTCAGAAAAAATAATTAAATTTGGTAATTAAAAAATTAGCTAAAATTAATTACATAGCTTTTTAGCTATTTGTAAATTCATTATTCTTTTTTATTTTGGAAAGTATAACTTTTATTTAATTTAATATAAATATGTCTAAATTATAAATCAAAAATTTAAATTAAAAATATACAATCAAAATAATTATTTTATTTATATGACATTTAATTAAATAATAACTTTTTATTTATTTTGTATCAAATATTTAAGCCACTGCATTTAAGTTGAGGAAGAACAATCTTCTAGTATAGGCAATCAAAATTTGTTTTTGCTATTTCTAAAATTTTAGGACTAGTGTAACATTTCTCATAGTATTAATCTTAGTTTAAAGCAGAAGTATAGAATTCATTCAAGTAAATTGCTCTTTAATAGTATTATCTAAAAAGATAACAATCACTATCTGACATTTCGTGTCTAATATATTGGTTATAAACTTATTTGAAAGTGTCTTACTCCATGCAACTTTGGTGAGTATCTACATTATCTTAAACACAGCTAGAATATTAGGCAAGTGTAACATCATTATTATCAACAGATAATGGAGTCTAGTTAACCTGAATCAATAAGATACCTGCTCCAACTAAGCACAAGACAGGAATTAAAAATAATAATTTATTCATTGTTGTTTCTAGTTTTTTTTTTATTTGCTTATTTTAGATTTGATTCAATTATATTTAAATTAATTATTATTTTCTTCTTTTTTAATTGAAATATACTACAATATTATTAAAATCTTTTATAACCCAGAACAAAGATACAAGATATTCTGCTCGGCTTTCTTTTGGAAGAAAATAAAAATTTCTTATTGATCAGAAATTAATTTTAGACTTTTAAATCTATTCAATAATAAATACTTTGAATATGAATGCATTCTAAAAAGATATTGATAAAAGAGTTAAAAATTAGATTATAAATAATTTTTCTAAATTTGATTTTCTTTAAAAAATATTTTATCTTTTTAAGTTAAAAATAATTAAAAGATACAAAAATTATAATTAGAAAGAAAAATAACAAATCTTTGATTTTCATAATGTTTTTTATTATTCTATTTTAAGGAAAATTAAAGAAGAATAATTTTATAAATAGTAAGGATTTTTTTATAAAATAATAAAGGAAGGATATATATAATCTATCTAAAAAAGATGCAATATAAATTTTAATTACCTAATTAAGAAAATAAATTTCCTTAATTTTATAGGAACATCACCAAAAACTCCCCTCCCCATGAAAAAATACTAATATAAATAGAAAAAATTAGTAAAATATTGCTAGCACTTACATTAACGCAAATGAGATAATTTCTTTGATCATCTATATGAATTATTAATGTTATAAGTACATAATCTACTAAAACTAAATACCATTAAACAAGTTAGTTAAATAGCCTTGATTCAAAAAAAGACTCAAGCTATTATTAACAAAAATTCAGTAATTAAAAATAAAAGCTTATTCGTTTTTCTTTATATCTAATTTGCTTAGATTTGATTAAATTATAACTTAAATGAGGACTTTCTCTTTTTTTAAATTTAGATGAGTTATTGTATGTATGACCAGCAAAATCTTTTAGAAAATTTTTATTTGATAAAACATAAAATAAGAAATTATCTCTCTAATCAATCAATTAATTTTACCCATTCATGAAATTAGGTAAGTGTGACATTATCTTTAGGATTAAATAAATAAATTAAATTATTTTGATTAAATAAAACTCAAGCTCCAATTAAACATAATGCATGAATGAATTGAAAATAAATTTTTTATATTTGATTGAATTATTATTTAAATAAGTGATTTTTTTCTTTTATAAATTAAGATTAGTAATTGTATGATCAAAATATCTTTTGGAAAATTTTTGTTTGATAAAATTAAAAATCAAAAAAAAATATCTAATCAATCAGATTTTAATTTATCAAATTGGATATATCATCTAAATTGGGAATTCGCCATCTAGAAAGATATTGAAAAAGATTTAAATATTAAATAATTATAACTATTTACCCTCTTTTCTCAATTAGATTTCCTTTGAATCAAAAAACGAAAATAAAAATGCTATTTATAAAAATTAAAATCAGGAGAAAAATACTGATAAGAAATTATTTTTAATTTTCTCCTTAATCGCAAGCATTGACGGTATTTATTATTTTTTTATATGTATTATATTTATGGAGATATGTTGCTCAAAAAGCTTAATAAATTTATAAAGAAAATAATTAAAGGATATTTAAGATTACAATAATAATGATAATATTTATTAGATAAAAATTAGTGTTTAAATTCATTTAAAATATTAAATTTTTTACTATTAAATTTCATTCCTTAAAAAAGAGTAAGTATTTGCTTTTTAAATTTAATTAAATGATTTATTTACCTTATAACTATATACATTCTTTATTCTTTATTGGATAAAATTAGATGCTTGTATGATTTTTTAAAGTTTATATATATCTATCTATTGTTTTGTTATTTCACTAAAAAATATAAAAAAATGCAATATTAAATATATTTTATTCTATATAATAGTTGTTAAAAAAGTAAAACTTTTATTTATTTATTCGTTCATTTATTTTGCATCAAATATTTAAACCACTACACAATTCGAGTTCAGGAGCGATGAATTAATTGTAAAGGCAATCACTAGTTTTAGCGATAGCTAAGAATTCAGGACTGGCACGACAGTTCTAGTATAAATTATCTTAATTTAAAGCAGCAGTATCTAATTCATTTAAGGCGTATACTGTGTTTTAGTAGTTAGCATAAGCAATGCAATCAGGATTAGTATTCATGAAATATTAAATTTTTTGCTTAGTTTATTAGAAATTGGTAGATGATGTGCAAGGTTCTCTGTGATTAACGAATTTATCCATACAGTCTTCATATTAGGCAAATGTAACATAGTCATTATCAACTGATAAGTTAGTCATATTACCTTAAATCAATAAGACTCCAGCTCCAATTAAGCACAAGGCAGGAATTAATAACAATAATTTATTCATGCTTTCTTTCTTTCTTTATTTCTTTTGTATTTGTTTTTTTTAGATTTAATTAAATTATATTAATATTAGAGATTGACTTCTTTTTTCAATTGGTGTTAGTGGTAATTCTTCAATGTCTTTTATAATACACAAACACTTGATATTATTTGCCTGTTTTTCTTTTGATTAAATGATTATATTTCTTATTGATCAGAAATTAATTTTGGACATACAATTAATACTATTCCATACATAGAAAATTAAAATTGGCAATACCGTCATTCCTCATAAATTACGACAATTTTTCAAGCCTTTTTAATTAAGACCATTTTTTTAAAGCATTAAATGAATGGGCTTGTAAAAAATGTCTGGGATTTAAGTATAATAAGGAATTAGAGTAACTGTTTTATTATTTATTTATTTGCAATAAAAAAAATTGGTAATATTCAATATATATTTTATATAATATTTAATAAAAAAATAATAATTTTATTATTTATTAATTGATTCACTCATTTTTAATCAAATATGTAAACCGCTTCACAATTTGAGTTCAGGAACAATGAATTAATTGTAAAGGCAATCACTAGTTTTAACAATTGCTAAGAATTCAGGACTAGCACGACAATTCTAGTATAAATTGTCTTAGTTTAAAGCTGAAGAATCTAATTGATTTAAAGCAAACACTGTATCAACGTATTTACTATAAGCAATACAAGCAGGATTGGTATTTAAGTATTAATAGACTTTTGTTTTAGTTTATTAGAAATTGGCAGTAGCTGTGCAAGGTTCTCTGTGATTAACCTTATTAGTCATACAGTCGTTGTATTAGGCAAATGTAACGTAATCATTATCAGCAGATAAGTTAGTCTAATTACCTTGAATTATAAAAATCCAGATCCAATTAAGCATAAGGCAGGAATTAAAAATAAAAGTTTATTCATTCTTTTTTTTTTTAATATTTATTTTAGATTTAATTAAAATATGCTAAATAAGCTCTTCACTTTTTTTTAAATATCTGCCCTATTCTTAGTTTCATTCAATCATAAAGCATACTATTTCCTATTGATCAGATATTAATTTTGGATTTACAAATCAATTTTATTTTGAAATTTGAAATAAAAATATTTAATTAAGAATCTGAGAATGAAGAATTAAAAATATATACCAAACTTTCTCAATTAGAACTTTAAAACCAAAAATACTTTTAAAAATGATTATTTATAATTTCGACAATCAAGGTAATAATGTAATGAGAAATATGTTAATTAATTTTATTAATTTTTCAGCTATATAGCAATTAATGCTCATAATCTATTTTAGTCTACTAAAATAATAATAATTTTGTTCAAATAAAACACAATAGTTTTATTGAGAAAGAAATAAAATAATTGAGAAAATAAAATTAATTAAATGTTGAAATAATTTAAAAAATTAGGATAATTCTTTCATAATAATTTAGTTTTAAGAATTCATAATCAGTTTTATAGTTATTATTTAGCATTATTACTATCAAAAAATTCTCATAGATTCCACAAAATTATCAAATTTAGAAAGGAACAATACAAAGTTTAAAATATTTTAACCTATTCATTCTAAATTTATTTTATTTTAAGTAACAATTTTTTAAAAATTAATTGTATCTATTTTTTCTCAAAAAAATATGTTATTGCTAATATTGTTTCTTATCAGAAAAATTCTAATGATCCTAAATTAAAATCATAATTTTTTTTGATATAAACTATTCTTCAATTTAAAATAAACAAATTTGTCTTTAAAAATGGATTTATCTAATAATATATATTTAATTTTTGTTAAAACATATTTGATAATTATTGGATAGGAATTAATTAGCAATATATTAATTTCATTAAGTTTATTTGATTTTTCATAGATATCTTAATTAATTTTCATGATTTATTTTTGTCTTAATAATATAATAATAAAATGGTTCAAATAAAACTCATGATTTTTATTGAAAAAGAAATAAAATCGAATTTTGAATTGAGAAAATAAAATAAATTAAAATATTAATAAAAAAATTAGATATTTTTTTCATAATAATTAACTTTAAGGAATTCATATTCAGTTTTATCTTAACTATTTAGCATAATTAATATAAAAAAATTCTTATAAATCCCACTAAATTATCTAATTTAGAAAGAATCAATAAAAAATTAAAAATATTTGTATCTATTAAGTCTAATTTATTTTATTTTAAGTTACGATTGAAAAAATTAATTGAATTTATTTTTCTCAAGAAAATATTTTATACTGATATCCCCTTATCAGAAAAATTAAAATGGTCTTAAGTTAAAATAACTATTTCTTCTGAAATAAAATTATTCATCAATTTAAAACAAATTTGTCATTAAAAATAGATTTATTAAATAATTTATATTTTTTTGTCAAAACATTTTTGATAATTGTTCAATAGATAGGAATTAATTAGCAACATATTAATTGGATTATTGCAAATAGTTTTTATTTTTAATTGAAAACTTCTATATAAACCCAAAAATATATCTGGTATTTATATTGAAAATTAAATTCATTAATTCTATAGAAAATAATTTCTATTTATAAATATAATAAAATTTATATTAAGCATTCATATCATATGCACACACATACCTATACATATTGATATGCGTATATATATATACAAATACATAATATTGAACTTTTAGCAAAGATAAAAAAAACATTTTAAGATTTAGGAAAGTATGTCGACTTTATAAAATATAAAAATATAATATTGATTTTGTTAATGATTAATAAAGATTTTGTATAATGATAAATTTGAGTACTAATATAAATTATAAAAGAATTTTTTTAAAAAAATTAGTAAGCAAAGAAATAGCAAAATCTCTGATTCAGAATATTTATTTATTTATTTACACTTTTATTTACATAAAGGATAACTTATTATTCATATTAGCATCTCTAAACAAGAAAGAAAAAATAATTTTTGGATTCTCATATTTTATTCAATAAGTATTTTTTTTATACCGTGTTTATTTTTTTGTGAGAATACCATTTAAATTTAAAAAGAACGCATTTTTATAAAAATAAAACCTTACTTCTCAATTCCAAATTTTTCAAAATTATAAGGTTCAAGAATCGAGGTAATACGTAATTGTTGAAAAATGTAAACATATATTTAAGTAAATTAATAGAAAGAGAGTTTAAGATTTTTTTATAGCAATTTCTTAGTTAAAAAATAACTTTAAATTTTTAAAATAGCACACTTAAATACTTGCTATTTGATTTTTCTTATCTATCAGAAAAATAATTAAATGTGATATTTAAGATAAAAGTTAATATCAACTGAATGAATTGAAGGTATTTACTTAATAAATTATTTTTTGCAGTATTTAATTAGATCAGATTATATATTTTCAAATTTAACAAAAGTAAGTAAATATTTACTTTTTGAAACATTCAAATCACAAATATATATACAGCAAACAATATTTTGCTATTTTATATAATATTTTATAGATGCTTGGTATATATTTTTGTTTCAAAGATTTAAGCCACTGCACAATTTAAGTTCAGGAGAGATGAACTTTGTGTAAAGACAGTCATAGTCTTATTGAACGATAGCTAAAAATTCAGGACTAGCGCGGCAGTTCTAGTATAATTAGTCTTAGTTTAAGGCAGCAGTAGCTAAAATATTTAAGGCAAATACCTTATCAGTGTATTAAGCATAAGCAATACAAGTAGGATTGGTATTTAAATATTATTCAACTTTTTCTTTAGTTTATTGGAATTTTTCAGTTTATGTGCAAATATCTCTGTGATAAACGTTCTTATCGTACATGCAGTCGTAATATTAGGAGAAAGTAACCTAATCATTATCAGCAGATAAGCTATTCTAATTGCCTTGAATCAATAAAATTCCAGCTCCTACTAACAATATTGCAGGAATTAAATATAAAATTTTATTCATTTTTTTTATGTATCTATTTTTCTTTGTTTGTTTGTTTTAGATTTAATTGAATTATAATTAAATGAGTGATTTTCTTCTATTTTTAATAGATATTATTTGTAATACGATGATTATCTTCTAATTAAAATAATGCAATTTAATATAAGAATTTGCATTTTTTGCTTGATTATACATCTAATAAGAATATTTCTTTTCAACCAGAAATTAATTTTAGATTATTAAATGAACAAAATCTTAAATTGATTAAAATTTATCATCTTTTTTATAAACATCTAAAAGATCAAAAAGCAAACATAACTATATACCAATGTTTCTCAATTAGATCTATCTATGATTAAAAATGAAGAAAAATATTTTTTTTAAAACATCAAATAGGAAGGGTAAAAATTTAGGAGGCGGGTGGCCCTTAATTAATTAGAATTTACAGTATATTATATTGGAGTTCTAAAAGCACATCCAACCCTTATTTAAACCCAATTCGAAATTATATAAAAGAATATCATATTGAATATGAGATTAATACAAAATAGACAATAAATAAATAAAAACATATATAATAGCAAGGATAATCAATGAATGGTTTGTTTAACCTCTCTCCATCTTTTAAAAATAATACTTCAAATAATAAAAAGGCTACACAAATTTATTTTTTAAATTAAAAAAATTGATAAAAACTAAAATCTTTAGTTAGAACATATACTAGTTTATATGATTTTATTCTCTGCATCTATAAAAATAAAATTGGATGATTAAGAATTTTCACAAGTTGAGTATTTATTAATCTTACTTTTTGATTTCTTTTATAAGAATTTAATTTACTAAAGTCTTCATAAGAAAATTAAATTAGCTATTTTATTGGGAAACCAAATTATCAATCAGTCATTCAGTCAGTCAGTGAGTAACAAATTAGTTTTAAGTGATAGGTTTTTTTTATTTATTTAAATACATAAAAAAATTATTTAATAATTGTTAATTAAAGATTTATTAACTGATATCATTTTAAAATTATTTTATTTTAATTTTCTATCATTATTATACAAGTTAGAAGATCTATTTTAATCTTATTAATAGAAATAAAGTCCTTAGAGAATTTATTTTTATCTTTTATTTAACAACAAAGTAAAATTAATTATTAATTTAGAAAAGAAAATAAACAAGCACAGTTATAAATAAATAAATAGTTAATACAATAATGAGTTTTTTTTGATTCAATTATGACATTAATTTACATTATTTATATATTTACTAATATATTATATTTGTTAGATAGATTTTAATTATTATAGATAATATTAACTAAAAATATATTCATTATTCCATAAAAAATTATCTAGTTGTAATAAAGCTTCATTTAATTATATTTAAACTAGCTAAAGATATTTATTTATTTAACAACAATTAATAACTCTGGTAAAATAAATATATAAATAAATTTATTTATTTATTTATTTGTCTCTAAAACAAATAATAATTATTTTATATTATAAAATGAATGAATTTAAAGTTAAATAATTATTTATTAAACTGATTTTTTAATTTAAATGAGCCCTTATTCATTTTAAAAATTTAATATCCCCAAATTATTTAACACAAATTCAGTAGAATAATAATTAATTATGTAACAATGATAAAATAATTTTTAAAATAAATTAAATTTCTAGTTTAATTAATTGAATTAAAATTTAAATATATAACTTCAGTTGTTGATAAATTACCTATTTAAAATAATCAAATATAAAAACTAAGCTTTTCTTATTAAAAAAATTTTTTTTTTTTAATATCTACTATATTTTTTCTTTTATTTTAACAAGATGTGTCTAGTCGTTAAATTTAGCAGCTCTCGAAAACCTCGAAAACAGTATAATTACAATAATGATGATGACATATTTTATGTAAACAAATATTTTTATATTTAAAGGCTAATACTTGAAAAAATAAAATAAATACAACTTTTTTTTAATAAAAGAACAAGATAATTTTTTCTTAATAATTAAAGAAGAAATAATTCAGAATTAGTTTAATCTTTATTATTCAATATTACTATCAAAATATGGTTATATAAAAACCTACTAAATTTATCAAATTTTGAAAGGATCAATCAAAAATTTAAAAGATAGATTTGAACAAATTCAGTTTAATACAATTTCCTTTAATGCTTTTATGTTACAATTGAAAAAATAAAATTGATTGATTATATTTTTCTGAAAAAATTTATTATGTTATTACTGATATTTCTTTATCAGAAAAATTATGATGATCCTAATTGAAAAAAGATCAGCTATTTATTTTTTCTTAAATTAAATCATTTGTCAGTTTAAAACGAATTTCTTATTTAAATATTTTTTAACTAGTTTTTTTTTTTTAAAAATTCTTATTTGATAATTGTTGGATAGGAAAGAATTAATCAGCAATATATAAATTGCTTTTTAAGTTTATTTGTTTTTTGATTGATATCTTAATTAATTTTAATGATCTACTTTAGTCTTACTGATATAATAATAACCTATTTCAAATAAATCACATTACTTTTCTTGAGAAAGAAATAAAATAGAATAATATATTCAAATTGAGAAAAGAAAATACCAAACATCAGAATTTCAATCTTATAAATTAAGCTTTTTAATTTACAAAAAATACACAACTTTCATTGTTATTGATATATTTCTTTTACCAAGAAAAGTTATTGTAAAAGTTTTTTTATTAATAATTTAAAACTTTTATATAAATCAAAATGTCCATTCATTCATCCATCCATCCATATCTATATTAAAAACTTAATAAATTCTTTTGATCTCACTTCTATTCACAAAAATAATTAAATAGTCTTAAACATTCATAACAAATAATCAAAATTTTGTAAAAAACAAAATAAAACATTTTAAAATTCAGAAGTCAATGCTGATTTTCCTAAAATATAAATAAATAAATAAATAAATAAATAAATAAATAATATTGATTTAATTAATAACTTATAAACAAATATAAAGATTTTGTATAATGATGAATTTGAGTATTAATATTAGATCACTTAGACGGACTTATAATAAATTATAAAAGAAATATTTTATAAAAATGAGTAACAAGAAAAAAACTAAATCGCTTATTCAAAATATTTAGTTAATTTTATATACGCAAAGGATAAATTAGTATTTATATTAGATTCATATTAGCATCGATATAAATCAATAAGAAGAAATAAAATTTTGATTCCCTCACACATCTCATTCAATAGTTTTAAAATTTTTCTACAGAGACAAAAATTTTTTTTTGTGAGGATATCATTTAAATTTAAAATAAGAATGAATTGAGAGAGAAAAATTCAGTTTAAAAATGTATGAAAAAGTTTCAAGATATTTAAAAAAATTTAGTTGCTGATTGAGTATGTATTAAAATATTGTTGTTTCACAATTTTTTATAGCTAATATAAGATATTATTTATGGAATCAATAAATGACAAAGTTGATTTTATATAATTATATTTGATAGTCATTTTAAATATATATTAATTAATAGATCCAATTATTTATTAGTCAACATTCAACCTAGGTGACTTATCTAACGATAGATATTTCGTAGGCAGGAATAGTGAAAGTTTCATTCTATTTTAAGCAGTCTGTTGTGTAAGTCTTGTCGTGTCTTTGATGGTTTCTGTTTAAGTATTAAACAATAACTTCAAACGAATAGGTTCCTTCACAAGTATTTGTAATGACTGTAGAGTCAAATGTCATGGCAGTTGGGGTGTATTCATAGCAAACATTTTATTCTTATAACCTTGGATATTGCACTACTTCTTTTAAGTATTAAGCAAAGAAAACTAATGTGCCAGCTAATAAAATGTATGGTAAAGCTATTTTCAAATTCATTTCTCTGATTTTTTATTTTGAATTAATCTTTTTATATTAAATTATTTATTTCTACTTCTTTACTTAGAGAACCAAATATGTATTTAAATTAAACCTTTTATCCTCATTAGAACAATCAATTTATTTAAATTTAGTATCTATCCCTTTAGATTTTAAGTTTTAACAAAAATAGTGGGTAAAAATATGTCTAAAAAAATCTAATCTCAATTCTTTTATTTGCAAAAGATTTAATTAGATACTAATATATAGAATAATATTAAAAAGATAAATTAATAACCGAAAGATTTCATTAGATATCTATTATTAAATTCTTCTATAATCAATCCTAATACCAAGATTTATTTAATTTATTTGATTCTGATTTTTTTTTTCTTAAAACTCATTTTTTAGTTTTCAATTTTTGAATTTGATTATCAAAAAATTTAATGCTATTTCATACTCTTTCTTCATTATCATTCTCAATCTCTAACAATATGCTCTTCGATATGTAAAATTGCACATAAAATTATAGAAGTGTTAGAGTGAATTTTTTCTTATGCAAAAGCACTAGTCTCTAACAATTTTCATTTGATTTAATATATAATTTATTCATATTTAATGTAAAATAAATTAAAATTAAAAAATTCTCTTAATTTATTTGCTTTTTAATTCTGATTATAATTTTATTTTGTTTTAATTTAACTGATTTTTTAATTTTAAACATTTTTGTTTAATTATTGACTAATTTATTATAATTTCTTGATTCTTTGCTTTTACAAAAAGAAAATATTTTGGATTTGATAATTAATTTTGATAGTAGTATTATCAAAATTAGTCTGAAGGAAAGTTAAAAATAAACTGAATTAGAAATTTCTTACTTTCTTTTAAGCAAAATTTAACATTTATAAAAATTAAGGAAATTATAAACTTGTTTTTGGTATAACTAGGGGGATGAGAGGTTTCCTAACTACATTATAAATCCTATAAGTGAAATTTAATTAAAAAACTTAAATCTGATTGATTATGATGTAAGAATGTATGTCTCTCTTTATATAATTTAGTAGTAGAACGGATTGTAGGAAGGTACTCCCGATTAAAGACTTAAGTCATATGAAGTATTAAATAATCCATAGATGAAGCAGGACATCAAATAAAAAGGAAAAAATCTTTCTTTGAATTTTAACACCCAAAAGAATTTAACTCAACACCATAAATTAAAAAAAGTGGCTTTGTTTAAACTAAAAAATTTGAAATGAATATTTCTAGTAAAATGAGAGCAAATTTTTTTTAAATTTCATAAATTTTAAAGAGAAAATAAGATAGATATTTCAGAAATTTTTTTGCTAGGATAGAAAATATTTTTAAAATAATTATTTGAAAATTCAATCTATCTAGCACAATTCAAATAAAAGTTGATAAAACATTTTATAGTTAACAAAAACATTTTTAACTTTAATGTAGGCAATTTTTTCATTAATTTTCATTCTTATTTAAATAAATTAATTAAAAAAAAGGCTTTTTTAAATTATTTTTTCAAGAAAAAAAATCTTTCTTTTTTAAAAATATATTTAAAATTACTAACTAACTAACTAACTAATTTTTGGTTTAATTATTAATAAGAAAGTAGTACTAATTTTATGTTAAATGTCAATGTTAATTTATATTTAATCAATTTTAAGTTATTAATTAAACACATTATATTTTAAAATTAGATTATATAAATTTTAGTATTTTTAGATGTAAAAAAGTTATTTAATTTATAAATATAGATCAAATATTTTATATAATAATTTATAGATTAACAGTTTTGTTTATATTTAATATCAAATATTTAAACCGCTGCATAATTTGTATTCAAAAGCAAAATATTTCTAGTATAAGCAATTATAGTCCTCTTTGATTATAGCTAAGAATTCAGGTTTATTAACAAAAGATTTAATTAGATACCAATCTATAAAATATCTTTGTCCATAAATTTATCAGCAGAAGATTTCATTAGATATTTATTGCTTAATTTTTATAAAATAAATAAATAAATACTTATTTTAATATTTTAAGATTTATTTAATTTTAATTTTATGAAAAATGAAGAATAAAAAAATTAAGATAAAATGTTAAAAGCTAAAAAAAATAAATAAAAAGTGATTCATAAATTTAATTAGTAAGTAAGTAATACTCAAAAGATATTTAAAAACACACTTTTGTCCATTTTTTTGGTTGTGTTAAGAAGATTTGGATGTTAGTTAATTGTTTAAAAATGTTGACAGATATATAAGTAAATTAATGGAAAAAAAGCTTAAGATTTTTTAATAGTAGTTTGTAAATTAAAAAATCACCTTAAATCTGAAAAAAAACACAATTAATTAATTGATTAATTACTTGCTTTTGATTTTACTTATCAACCAGAAAGAATAATTAACTAATTAAATGCGATATTTAATATAAAAGCTAATATTAATTGAATGAATTTAAGCTAATTACTTAATGCATTATTTTGCAGTAATTGATAGATCATATTAAATATATTTTAAATATAATAAAAGTAACAATTTATTTATTTATTTATTAAAAATTCAAATCACAAAATATGTAGCTAGCTAACTAACACTGTTTTACTATTTTATATAATATTTTATAGATGTGTAGTTATTATTTTTGTTTCAAAGATTTAAGCCACTGCACAATTTGAGTTCAGGAACAATGAACTTAGTGTAAAGGCAGTCATAGTCTTATTGAACGATAGCTAAAAATTCAGGACTAGCGCGACAGTTCTAGTATAATTAGTCATAGTTTAAGGGAGCAGTATCTACTATATTTAAGTAAAAATATCTTTCTTATAATTTAGCATAAGCAAGACAAATAGGATCGGTATTTAAATATTAGACAGCCTTTTCTTTAGTTTGTACGAAGCTATCAGTTTCCATGCAAGGTTCTTTGTGAAAAACTTTTTCGGTCATGCAGTCTAAATATTAACCATATGTAACGTAATCATTATCAGCAGATAAGTTATTCTAATTGCCTTGAATCAATAAAATTCCAGCTCCTACTAACAATAATGCAGGAATTAAATATAAAATTTTATTCATTTTTTTGTCAATCTTTCTTTTGTATTTTTTATTTCTTTGTTTGTTTTAGATTTAATTGAATTATAATTAAATGAGTGATTGCCTTCTAATTTTAATCGATAATAGTTGTAATATCTTTTGATTAAAGGATCTAATTTAATATAAGAATTTGTATTTTTCATTTGATTGTACAACAAATAAGAATATTTCTTATCAATCAGAAATTAATTTTAGATTGTTAATTGACTAAAATCATAAAAAGATTAAAGTTTTCCATCTTTTATAAATATCCAAAGGATTATAAAACATAACTATACACCAATGATTTTCAATTAGATCTATTCATCAATCAAAAGTAAGCAGAAAAATATTTTTTTGTCATAAAAAATAAACTTATTTAAAAAGAAATATATCCCTTGGCTATTTTTTAGATTCTTTTACATTATTTATTATGATGATATTTAAATATAGAACTTTTCTTATACTCAAGCTTTTTATCTATGCTAAAGAGAGAAAATTGTTTCTAGTAAAATAGAGATTTCTAATATTTATTTACATGAAAAGGAAAACTAATTTGCTGTTTGGTTTTATCTTTGATTTTCAAAATCTAATAATTCTTTTATAAGAAAAAAGTCTTAATTAATCATTAATAAATTGAGTAAACCACAAAAACCACTACTGAAAGTGAAATTATCTTTGGTAAAATATCTTGAAAATAAATTCTTATTTTAATGTGCTCAAATCTATTCAAGCTAATTGGCATATTTATTTACTTATTGTTACTCTTTCAAAGAAATCTTAGGAAATTATAATGAATAATTCTAAGAGCTTTATATTCTATTTTAAATTTCTAGAAAACGCGAAGAAGTATTTTTCTAATCTTATGAATACTCTAAAGTCTTTTTTTAATCAATTTATTTTAATCCAATCTATCTGAAAGAATGTAATTAATATTGATTCAGATTTTAATAGTATGCGAGTAATACAAAATAGATAAATAAATAATTAAAAAGGATACTCAAAATTGGTTTGAATAACATCTGTCCATGTTTTAAAAATAATACCATCAAAATATTTGAAAAGAGCCACACAAATTTATTTTGTAAATAAAGAAAATTGATAAAAAACTTAAAATGATTCGAACTTTTTCGAGTAAAGAAGATTTTATTTATTTTCAGTGTCTATAAAATTTAGTAAATATGACTTATTTTTCTTGAAGAGGACTTATCTTATTTTTGATTTCTTTTAAAGGAAAATACAAAATTAAATTAGCTATTTTTTCAGGAAATCAAATAATAAATAAATCAGTTTGTAACAAATTAGATATTAAGTTATAGATTTTTTAATTAAATCATCATTTTTTTGTTAAAAAAATATAAAATATTATTTGATAATTGTTTATTAAAAATTAATTAAAAGTATATCATTTTACATTTATTTTATTTTGCTTTTCTAACTATGATGGTCTATTTTAATCTTTCTGATAGAAACTGAGTCCATAGAGTAATTATTTTCTTTTACTAAAACATATGCAAAATTTAATATTTAATCCAAATTTAGAAAAGAAAATAAACAAGTGTGGGTAATAAATTAATAAATAATACAAAAATTAGTTTTGTTTCAAAATAGTCAAATAAGACATCAATTTAAATTAAAATTACCAATAGATTCTATTTGAGAAATAGATTTTTATTTTTATACATAATATTAATTAAAATTTAAATATATAGGAATAAACATTAATTACTCCATACAAAATAATTAAAAAATTTTGATGTAATTTTATTTAAACTAACTAAAAATATTTAATACCGATTAATAACTCACTTTAATATAGCAATTAATTTATTTGGTTAAGCTCTAAAACTAATCAAAATTATTTTATAATTTAAAATAAATTGATATAAAGTTAATTATTTATTTATATTTGATTTTATAAAACTATTGAGCCATTTTTCATTTAAAAAATTAATATCCCTGCTGCTCTTTATCACAAATATAGAATAATTTTAAGAATAATAATTAATTATGTAACAATAATAAAGTAATATTAAAAATATATTAAATTTGTATTTTAATTAATTGAGTTAAGATTTAAATATTTAACAATTCTAGGATAGTTATTTATTGAGTTAGGAATACGCATTTATTTAGTAAAATAATAAACATTATTTATTAAAATTTTTAACAAATTAAAAGAAATAAAAAAAAGGTTTAGAAGCAGGTTTCGAACCTGATCGATAAAAGAAAAAAATAAATAACCAAAAAATGTTTAATCAAAGACTTAATTTGTTTGTTTTCTGATGAAGTAATTAACTTTTTTTTATCAAACATTTAATTTTGAATTAATTTTTTTTTACAAACTAAAAAAATGCTTAATTCTAAAAATTAAATGTTTGATTAAAAATTCAGTTAGATTTCTTCATTAAAAAACAAATTAAATATTTTATTAAACATTTTTTGTTTTTAGTTTGTTCAGGTTCGAAACCTATTTCGATACCCTTTTATATTATTATTATTATACTTAATATTCATTAATTTCCTACTAGAGAAATAATTATTAGAGAGTAGTAATATACCTTTTGTTGATAAAAAATGCATTTAAAATAATCAAATATATTAATATCTAAATTTTTATAAAGAAAAATTAAGCTTTTCTAATTCAAAAAATTTTCAATATTGACTGCATTTTTCTTTTATTTTAAAAAGATAGATAGATAGATGTGCATGATGGTTATTGTTATCAATTCAATGCTTTTATATAAACTAATATATTTATTTTTTAAGGCTAATACATTTATTTTATCATAGATATTTTTTATTACAAATAAAATTAAATTCATATCAAATATTAATAATATAATAAATATAAAAAGAAAATAATTTATTCTAAATTATTAGTAATAAAATAGATAGATCCATCCTGGTAAAATAAATATAAAAATATTTGTTTAATAAAAATAAATTGATAATATATGTAATAAATAAAATGTTAATTTTCTATTCCTTATTTTATTAATATGTTTTATTGTAGAGGTAGGATATAATTTAAATTATTTATATCAGTAAAGAAATATGTTTACTCTGAAAAATATAAATTTAAGAGATAAAATATTAATTAGTTTATCTGAAACAAAAAATAGATAGAAGGATTCTAGAAAAAATTAATGTATAAAAATACCTGTAATTATTTTAATTAAATATTGTTTGTTTTTCTAGTCCGTCCTCATTTTATCTTCAGATAAATTTAGTTACATTTTATCTATAAAAAAAAATAAATATCTAATCAAGCAAATTATTTTTCTGACAGAAATAAGTCAAAAGTCTTTTTGATAATTCATTAATTAATTAATTAAAAATTAAGTATTTATTATTAAAAATTAAACAAGAAAAAGCTAAATATAGTTTTTTTATAAGAATATATATATATTTATATTTCATTGATATGTTTTATTTTTAAAAGAACTAGTTAATCTTGTATCGCTCACTCAGAAGAAAAATAAATTTTCCTCGTTTCATATTTTTACTTGCAACTATCTATATACTAATTATTGTTTATTTATCTTATGTATCAAAAACATAAATAAAAATCTTTGATTTATATCATATTCACTACAAAAACCATAGTATATTACAAACAAAAATCAACTTTTTTGTTTAGATTTTTGTTTGCTTTAAAAATTAAAAACACTTTAACACTTTACAAACCAACATTTTTGAAAATTTAGTTGTTTAGCCAGTCAATATGCACAATAATTTATAAAGTAAGTTTTTATATGTTTAATTTAAGATAATAAAGGATTAAATAAATGACTATAGATATATATAATAACTTTATTTGATAGCCATTTTAAAGATATATGAAAAGCTAACTACTAATAATTATCTATCAACACTATACCTAGCTGACTTATTTATCAATAGATATTACTTTAGCATGTATAGTGAAAGATTAATTCTCATTTAAGCAACCTGTTGTATAAGTTTCAAAATATCCTACTTGGTTTTCGTTTAAGTGTTAGACAACAACTTAAAATGAGTAATCTCCTTCACAAAAGTGTTTTTAATGATGGAAGAGTCGATTTTCATTGGATTTGGGGTATATTCATAGCAAACATTCTGTCTGCTCCATTAAGCCATCATATTGACAAATTTTTAGTAAGAATTTAGCAAAAAAAACTATTGTCCCAATTCATAGAATGTAAGGTATAGATAGCTATCTTCAAATTCATTTCTAATTAATTAATTATTATAAGCTATGTTATTAAATTATTTATTTATTTCAATTACTTTTTCTAACAGAATTTAAAAAAATATTATTATCCTCATCATAAAATTTATTTAAAATTAGTTTCATAATTATTTCAATTAAATTTAGCAAAATTTGCATTTAAAAAACATACAAACAAACAAACAAATAAACTACTTTAAAAATATTATTTTTAACTTTTTTATTTATAAAAGATAAATAAATAAGACACTCAGTGATATATTAAAATGGTTTAAAGATAAATTTATTAACAACTGATTTAATAGATATGATTTATTTTTCAATTTCTATCTCTATCTCCCTTTATTTTAGGATTTATTTAATTGTATAAGGTAAGTAACTTTGATTTAAAGAAAAATAATAAAATGAATTTAAAACAATTTAGCTAACTCATTTAATTTATTTATTTATTAGCTTTATATTTTTCTATTTTTTTATTATGCTTGTCTTTTATATAAATATATATACATTTTTTTATTTATTTGTATGTTTGTTTATAAATTTAGCTCATTTACTTTTTGATTTTAAATTTGTGTTTTTAATATTAATTAATTTCTTATTATTTCACAATTTTTCTTCAATTTTTCATATTAATTAATTAACTAACTAAATAACTAATTAATTCAAATTTTTTCTTTGATATACTCATCAAAATACAACTGAAAATAAAATTTTTTACTCTGTTTATTTATTTTTAATTTATTTTATTATTATTAAACTTTTTTTTCTAATAGGTCACAGGTTACGAAGGTGGTGAAATAAGACAAGGAATTAATCTAAAATGAGCCCAGAATGAATGAATGTTTAATTTTACCAAAAACTATCAAAACTTTTATTAATTGCTATTTTCTTACTATGTTTTGTTAAAATAAATATATGAGAAGCTTTTATATCAAAAGTATAAAAAAATCAACTGATAAAACCAAAAAATCTTTTTTTCATGAAATTATTGATAAAGAAATCTTATTTAAAAAATCTTAATCACTATTTTTAATTGCTTTGATGTGGAATAAAAACTTACGAAATTTATCTAAAGTATGTTAATTAGAAAAGTTTATGATTAAAAGTATTTTAAGTATACAATAAATATTTTCATAAAAAATAAAATATTCATTTTTGTAATTTTAGAATCTGAAAATAATAAAATAATATTAAGCAAATTAGTTTGTATTATTGTTCATTTTTTCAAAAAATAATAGATAACTATTTATAAATTTTTTCTTTTGAAGATGTTATCAAAAAATATGAATAAAATAATTAAAACAATAAATTACTTACTATTCTTATAAAAAGAGATTACATTAAAAATATACATTAAAAAAAATAAAATAAAAACTAATTTCAAAGATTTATTTAGATATAAATTAAATAAAAAGCAAGCTTTCACAAAAAAATTTGAAATATTAAAGAAAAATGTTGTTTTTATTAAAAAATAAAATTTTTTAATTTGAATAATAATAAAGAAAATTAAAAATAAAATCATAGTTTTTAGATAAAAATAAAATAAAATGAATTATTTAGTCTAATTAATATAATCAAATTAATCAATCATATATATATATATGATAAAAGAAAGTTAAATTAAATTTAAATTATAGCTTGATTTTATTTAAATTTATAATTATGAATTAAACAGCATATTAATTGTAACAAAATAAATACCAGAAATATGATGTATTAATTCAATTATTAACTTCAATAATATTTCTATCTATCTGCTTTGGTCAATTTTTGTTTTAGCTAAATAATTTATTTTTAATATGATAAATTAATTAATATTATTAGAAATTTTTAATTAAATTTATATTTTTGATTAATAATTGAAAAAGAAACCTTAAATAGTATTTTAGAATAGAAAATTCCAAACTTAAATATTTAAAATCATTTATTTATTTATCTAAGGCAGTTATAAAAATTATATTTATGAAAAATTGGTAAAAAAAAATTAATGAAATGAAATTGTTTTATCTAAAAAAATAGCTTTTGATAAAGAATTTACATAAATTTTATTTATAATAATAATACTATTTTATTAAAAATAAATAGGCTGTTAAATAATATTAATCATTCCATCAAATATTTTTGATAGAAGCAATATGATTAAATTTATTAAATTAATAGAAGGTGAATCTGATTATAATTATATAGGTGAAGAGCTATAGTAGTAGCAGTATAAAATAGGAATAGACCTACTTAGCTTATGTATTATTAAAAGAATAAATAAATAAATAATAGAAATCAAACAATAAAGAACTATTTAGCTCGATATTTTAATTATAAGAAATTAGCTAGCTAGCTAGTTGCATTGATAAACAGCTAAATATGAATAAGAAAAAAATGAATGAATTAATTTATAAATGAATTTATGAATAATTAAATAAATAAATGAATGAATAATGTTTGTGTGTGTGTTTATGTGTGTGTATTTTGGGTTGCAAAAATAAATTAAAAATCTTTGACAATACAACTAACTTTAAAAGTAATTAAGAAAATATCTAAAATCAAAGAAAACATTTATAAAATACTAATTAATAAAAAAAAGAGGAAAAAAAATAAACAAATAACATTGATAAAAGAAGATAAAAGAAATGAAGTCGGAGTGCCATTTGTGTTAAATGACTGTTCAAAATCTTGCTAAGTGCACCAAAACTCGTTGTCGTAACTTTTTCTGTGAGAAATGCATCTAAGAGAATTTTGATCCTGATTTTACCTACCATGGTTCTTACAAAGAAGGTTGTTGGGTTTGCTACGCTTGTTAAAATGTTTGCAAATGCAAACTTTGCAGGGGAGAATTGGTCATTCACAACAAAAAGTCTCTAGCCAAGCGCAAAAACAAGCTTATCCAATTATTTGACCAGCTTTCTGCAGTAGAGAAGGCAAATTCTTTCGCTACAAACAGCCAGGGATTAGATAAGGAGAAAGATTCCAGTGAAGAATATGTATCTCACCCAAATGATTATGAAAAGGGGACTTCTCAAGACGAAAGAGAAACAATAAACAACTTGTTTAAATAAAATCTTAAGTAACCCAGAATGTTGAACTAAAGAATAACTAAATAACTACCCACATACAGCAAGGAATACCACTCAAACAAATTCTACAGAAGAAAAATGTTGCTAAAAGCTATGTGATATTAGATATAAATATAAATATATATAAATAAATAAGACAGATTGAATAATATAATTACTACTTATATAAAATTAACTATTTATTATGGTGAAAAATTTGTACTAACTAACTAAATAAATAAATAACTAAACAAATATATATTTTGAGGGAAACAAACCAATAAACAATCATGTTAAATATTCTAATTTAGTTATTAAACTAAATATAAGATATTCTTGATCAGTAGCTATGTAGTTTATAGACTTAAAAAATCTACGTCTATCTATCTATTTAAAGTTTTGCTAATTTTTGGAATTAATTTATATTACTTTCAATCTTAAAACAAACAAACAAACAAATAAATCAAGAAATATTAAAAAAAACTAACAAGTCTATCTATTATTTCTGAGTAATTAAGTAATTAATATTAATATGAAATATAATCTATGTATTAATCACCTTTTATACTATCTTTTCTAGTTTCTCCTTTATCATTTTATATATTTCAAATTAGAATTTTTACTCTGCTAGTTAAATTTAGAAATTCTACATTAATCCATGTCTATTTCATGATGCGCTACTAAAATTTATACATTAATTAATAAAAAGACTTCTCGCAAATGTTCTTTTTCAATCAATCAATATTTTATAAAATATATTTTCTTTGTATTTAATATCAGCAACTTATTTACTTACTCAAAAATTAATTAGCTTGAGTTTTTGAAATTTAATTTTTTGTTTTTGTAGAAGAAGTTAATTATTATTTTTGAAAATCAAAATTTAAATTTAATTTCTATTCTTTTTACATGGTAAATTGTTAGACTAGTAAATTAATCCACATTTACTCTATTTCAAATACTGAAAACTAATAATGACTTTATTTGTTTCTAAACGAAAGCTCAGTTTAATACATTTACTAACTCAAAATCATAATTGTTTACTATCACTCTCAATTCACGCCTGATATGAATTGAGTAACAAATAAATAATTACTTTTAAAATAAGCAATCACGTGCATTTATTCATTCATTCATTGATTTTAAAATATTTTTAATCCTTTAAAAATCTCTTTATTATTTTTGAAATTAATTTAACTCTTTTGAGAATTATTTTAAAAACACTCTTAAATTATATTTTATATGGTATTATAAATTCAATTATTTCCTATTATATTTGATAAGATAATAAAGTCAATTTTTGAAACTTTAGAACAAATTTATGAAGAAAAAACTATTGATTTATGAATTTCTATTTGAATTTTTAATAGCATATTTAGTTTATTGATCTAAATATTAAGTTATTTTAATAATTACTTTATATTCTATCATAAAAAATCGAATATATTTTGTAAATTCAGCTAAAAAAAAAACTTCAAATAAAGTCTCTTATGATTTTTATATAATAGAAATACTATTTGCTTTCATTTTTATTTAGAAATATGTAATTATATTTTAAATTTTTAATGTATTTTATTCATATTTTTTGAAATTTTTCTATAATCATTAAGCTTGGATACATTGAGGGACTTATAGTATTTTTATAAAATAAAAGTTAAATACGCTAAACAATTTATACAGTAAATTAATTTTGTAAGATAGAGAAAGAGAGAGCTATTAATATAAATGCGACTTATCTTCCTTAAAATTGTAATTGATTTTAAACAATTTTCTTTTAAATTCGAGTTATCAGCTAAATTTTTTTTATATTTTTGATTTGTGGTGAATTATTTTTATTAAAAAACTAGTTATTAAAAATAAATAAATAAACAAACTTTGAATTATTTCTAATTTAATAAACTAATAATTAAGAAACAAGAAAATTATTAAATTATAAGCAAATCTTTAAAACAGCTACTGAAAATTAATTAATTGAAAAAGAATAAACAAATTTTAAATAAATGAATGAAGTGATAAACTAGCTTTTAATAATCTAATGAAGAAATGATTGAGTTTATAAGGAGTCTTTGTTGCATTAAATAAATGCTTTATAAATTACAAATTATAAAAAAGGATTTAATTAATTAAGTTAGCAAATAACTAACTAACTAACCAACTAATTATTTTTAAATATATTTTATTTAATGAAGAAAACCGAACTTAAAATGAATGAATTAATAAACGGATTAATTAAAAAAATCATTTTGATCAGTTGTTTTTGTTTTTTTATTTTTGACCCTTTTCCTTCTTTACTTTGGGTTTGTTGCTAGATTTAAGATCGAAATCCAATCCTTCATCGACTTCTTCAGCAGGTTCGTTATCGATTTCTTCGGCACCCTCTTCTTCTTCAAGTTCTTCACCTTCTTTGACGAAGATAACATTTTCGTATGTTCCCTTAAGAGTGTTCTTATCTTCAGTTTGAGCAACTTCACCTCTGTTCTTTAATTCGAACATTTCGAGGACCAAGTTTTCTAATTCTCTTGATCTTTCTCTAGCTTCTAATTCAGCCTTGATAGCATCCTTATCAGATTGCACGAGGTTGAACTTCTCAATGAGCTCGGGATTAGAGAAACGATACTTGTGATTAAGTTGATCCTTAATAGTGTAGTTGTCTCTATTAGCAATTAATTCGTCGTAAGTGTAAAATCTCTTCTCCTTCAAATTATATCTCCATCTGCAATCATCCTTTGTGGTTAATTTCTTTTCCAAGGCTTCAATATGAGCATCTATATTTTACTTGAGTATTCCCTTTTCCTTATAATCGCAAAGAGTTTCATAAACTTCAGCAATATCTTTAACATTATTGAGACCTCTTCTGTAAGGTAAATACTTCAAAATTAACTCATGCAATTCTTCATCATAAATGTTCATATTTCTCAAACCTATTTAATAAATTATATATATAAATAATATGTAAAAATAGTCAATAATCTCAAATTAATTGAAGTATATTATAAAATGATAATTTTTTATTGTTGTTTACCAATGAAAAGCTTGAGGAGGTTACCGGTGTAAGGTCTAACTTATTTGCTGAAATTTGAAACAATAATAGGCTTAACACTCTAGTGGAAGTACTAAATTTTGTGTTCATTAACTTTAGTTGTATTTTCAAACATAGTTTGAAGAATTTCAATAGCTTCGTAAGCATCTAAATATTAAAAATAATAAACTTAATTATAAAATCTAATAAATTTGATAAATCTTTTCATTTTTAAATAAAGAATTAAAATTTCTTATTGAAGAAAATTTCAATAAGGGAAGTTTAAATGATCTCTAATATAAATGTATATGAGTGCTTTATTATATTTGATAAATATAGCATAAAAATTTTAAGTTTTACTTCAAAAAGCCTTAAAAATTTAAAACTTTCAAACTAAAAAAGTTCATTTTATTGTTGAAAAGTATTTCTGTAGATGATTAAACAGCATTTAGCAGTTAAATTAGATGTTTTTTTACTAGATAGATTTTTTTATTTGCTTTCCCCTATAAAATGTATATCAATTTTATTAAATTTTTATCAGTGCTTTTTTCTAAACCTGAATTTTTTTAACATTTACCAAATTCATTTAATTTTAATAAAAAATAATTAAATAATTTTATTGTTTTTAAATTTTATCTATTTAGTTAGTTAGAATTTTTTAGTTTATATTTGTTGATATGATTGATCTACACATTTTATCAATATTTTTTGATATTAATAAATATCATTTTTTTTTCTTCTTCCTCTCTAAGAATAAATTTAAAATATTCTTTTACAAATCTTGAAATTTAATTTAATTATTTTTATTGCTGCATTTCATTCAAAATAAAAAAATATTTATTTCATTAGAGTCTCGTTAAAAATTATTTGCTTCTCTCTATCTAAATAATTTTAAAAGCAAGCCCTTTTATTTGCTCAGAAATTTTGCAGTAGAAGTCTTTGTTTATTCTATGAATTAGCATATCAAATCATCTACTTTAAATATCCATTTTGAAAGTATTTGTTTATTCACTTTTCAAAATGACATTTTTAAATTAGAGGTTGTTTGCTATTAATTAGCTATGAATGAGTGCTAAAAGATTTTTTAATTATTTTAAATTGGGGCAATAAATTAATCTAAGCTTATAAACAACATCTATCAGCAAACAAATAATTTCTTTTAGTTTGATAAATCTTTCTAGAAAAGTAAGAAAGAGTAGCTTTTTTGATAATTTTAAAATAATTTTTATAAATATTATGCAAAAATAAATCGACTTTCGTTTGTTTTTAATTGTTTTCTTTGTTCTAAACTCCCATTTTTGTTAAATAATGCTTAAAGTAGCAATTATGCGAATTGATTTATTACTGATTTATTATGAATTTCTGGTAAACTCGTCTTCAAAGAAAGATACTTAATAAGGACTTGCTAAGTTAGATTTATAACTGGCATACAAACCACCGAAAGATAAACGAGGAGAGAGGTTTTCCTTAAATTTATATAAATGTCTTTCTAATTCTTTGAAAATGAATGGCTCATCCTTTCCTTCTCTAGCAATAATGTAAAGAATAGTACATAAACCTCTTCCTTCAATAGCTAAATTAGGATTGACCTTGATGTGATTAATCAACTAAATTATTAATTAAGTAATAATAAATAATCTTGTTTAAATAAAATATTTCTTCTTTTCTTGCTTATTTATTTTTATTTTACTTGCTCTAATTCATTTGTTCATTTATCGATTGTAATTAACTAGAGATAAGTAGCTTAAAAAAAATAAATGTGTCTGTCAACAACAAATAAAAGCTAAGAAGAAATACAAACTAGTTTTAACTAACAGTAAATGAATTTTAATTACATCTTCCAAACCTTGTCTTTAGACTGGGTTATCAAGAGGAAAATATAAATCATCCTTGAATGCGATGTTGGGCTAAAAACCATTATAGCCCATATTTTTTTAAAATCTCATCTATTCCTTTGAAGGGAAGGTTGCAAATTTATAATTCAACTTGGTGCAGTTGAAAGATACGCTCTTTGTAGATAACTATAACAACTTAAATAGATTTCTATTCATCATTTTTATGTAATTAACGCTAAATATTTTGTTCTTTTTTCCTTTTATTTTATCAGCTGCCACTATATTTTATACTAAGAGATTTTCAATTCACCTCCTTTGATTGATCTAATAACTTAAATAATATTAAATGATTAAAATAATCACATAAATATCTTTTTCAATATTTTCCAATTCAATCAATCAATCTAATACTCATTCATTCATTTATTCATTATTTCTCACTACCAAATTACTTCGCCTTTATTTTTGTATTTGCTGATTGACATCAAGCATGCATGCATGCATAATGCAATCAAATCAATAAAAAAAACCAATCCAAATATCTACTTGTTCTTTATAAAATTATTTCATTCTCTAAGTTTAGCTGATTTTTTTAATTTCTTTATTTTAAATTTATTTATATAATTTTTCATATTGAATTCTTTTGTTTATTTAGAAAACAAACAAATCAATATAAATAAGATTTTATAAAAATACTGTATGTAGTAGGTATTTAAATTATCAAATTCTATTTTTGTTTCAAAAAATCTAAAAATTTAATTTTTGATGAAATTTAAAAAAATATAATTATATTTTAGTTTATTTTATAATAAAAATTGGATTGTATAGTATAAAACAATTTTTTAAAAATGATTATCGATAAGGTTTTAACAATTTAGGAATGAAATTTTATAAATAAAGAGGAAGTTTAAATTAATAATATAATTTGCTTAGAATTTTTAAGAAAATATTATTAAATGTAAAGCTAAAATAATTTTAATAAAAATGATTAAATGATTTACACAACAATTAATAAATGATAAAATTAAATAAAGTAATTAAAAAGAACTTGAATTAAATAACTAGTTTTTAGAGTAAATTTTTATGTATTTAAGTAAATTAATGTTTTATTTTTTAGAGTTATTTTAGTAAAATATTTCAATTTTTTTCATCTTTTTCATTTTTGGATTTTTTATCCTTCTTTTTCTTCTTACTTTTACTTTTCTTCTTTTCTTTCTTTTCTTTCTTTTCTTTTTTAATTTTTTTAGTTTTTTCTTTATCTTTCTTTTATTTTTTTTTGGTTTATTTTTTTTATTCTTTTTTATCTCGTTTTTTTTTCGATTGAGTTCTACTTTCAGAGCTTTATCTACTTGTGCTGCTACTTCTGCTACTAATGCTATCATCATCACTGCTGCTACTGCTGCTGCTGCTTAAAGAAGAGCTGCTGGATCTTCTCGATTTCTTTTTTTTATTTACTATTCCATATATTCATAAGGAAATGATTTTAAGAATCTTGTTTAATAAGCTTACTTTTCTTTTTAGCTTCCTTTTTATCTTTAAGGTTTTAATTATTGGAGTCTTTTTATTGTTTTTTATCTTCATAGATTTCAATGTATTTGTCTTTTACCCACATGCTTGTTTTACAATTGAATATTTAATCAATAATTGCTTTAGTATTATTTAAGTTTTATACAATTTAAATAGTAGAAATTTGTTACTCTTTTTTTTCAGCAGGCTTTGCGTTCAAAACCTTTTCACTATTTGTTAAAAATGAGCATTTTTAAAATCTTAAAACCACAAAAATCAAAGTACTCCGTTATTTAACAGCTTTCTACATATACTTCTCCTTTGCTTTTATCAATTTTGAAATCTCCTTCATCTGTTTAAAAAGCATTAAAAATTATTTTTATATTTTATGATTTACAAAATATTCAAATAAATAAATAAATGAAATTGTTAATCAATCTATCAGATATATCTAATTTTATAAATACCAATTTGTTTTTCCCTCATGTGATCTTCCCACATTTTTTTTTCTTCCCATTTCCTATTATGTGAGTTGATTTAATTTAAATAGCTTCTTAAACTCATTTGCAAAACCTTTACAAAATTAGCACTAAGAAACACAAATTAATTAAATTTATAATAATCATAGATATAATATAGATCAAAATTACTTATATTCATTCATAAAAACAAGCATCTTGAAACAGGTAAATGTCTTATTTGTAAAAAAAAATTAAAAACAATAATTATCATTTTAAAAAAATAAAGTAAATCAATAAAATATTTATTTTAAAATAGAATTTTGAATTATTTAAAATTAAAAAATGTTTATTTAGAAATGAGAAATAATATTTTTCAACAAAGCAAATAAAATGCATCAATAATCAGAATATTAAGTAACATAAGAGAGGAATATTGAAAACATTAGATAGATAGATGCTTTGAATGAAATTCATCAAAATATTTATTTTTAAGATTGCTATCATTTTTTATTTATAGAAAGTTTATTTTTATTATTTAAAAGAATTAATCAATAAAGATAAATTCCTAGATATAGATAGATATAGATAGATACATACATACAAAAACAGAAAGCCAGAAAGACAGACAAACGAACAAATAATTAGATAGAAGAAAGTTATTTTTTGATTATTGATTGAATTGGTTTTTTTTGCAAGAATAAAAAGTATTTATTGATAATTTTTTTTATTTATTTATCCTTTATCTGATATCGAACAAAAGAAAGAAAGAATTAATAAACAAATAAATAAATCAATTATTTAATTTATTAACAAAAAATCCATCAAAAATAAATAGAGTATCTTAATTTAAAAACTAATAAGATGAGCCAGGAAATATCAAGCATAGGAGTCAGATTTGGAGAGGAATTCCAAGGAGACGGACACCTCAACGTAAAGGTAAATCTCGCGATTGACTCGAAGGTAGCCAGCTAAGAATTGGAAGCTGCTGCTTAAGAAACTGAAAAGAAGTTTGAAAACTTGAATTATAGCTTGCTCTTGAAGTTCGAAAATTGCGAAAATGTAGAGAAACTCAGCCAAGTAATCAATTTACTCAATAAAGACATTGCATCTGGTGATGACGAAGCTAAATTGGGTGAACAAAGATTCTACAAAGACTTAAAGAGGGCTTTCAAAGATTTAAATCTTCAAACTCACATTGTTGGATAAAATTTATACGTTTAAATTTCTTTAAAGGAATAAATTGCAGAGAAAATTTTAGAGCCTCTTCAAATCTTGCTTGAGTCAGGTTTGAAGGACATAGCTTAGAATCCTAACACTTTACAAGCTGAAGCTTGCGTTGATGTTACAGTTGATTAAATCTTTGATATGCTCAAGAACTATCGTTTTATTGTTCCCTTCTTAACTAAATCCAGAGCTAAATTGACTTTAGCTTTAGATAAGAACATTAGCACTTAAATTGAAGATGTCGTCAAAAATATTGATGAAAATTTACTCAGCTCACCTCAATTGCAATTCTTAAAGTATTTCAAAAATCTTGATGTCGATCTCACTTTCAACTCTGCCGAAAATCTCCCTCAACCCATCAAGCAATACGTCTTGCCCGGTAAAATTGAAATACCTGATGAAAATACTAAACATGAATTAATCAACCATTTAAAGTCATAAACATTCTTATACGATTTAATCAACAATATCTCTTCAAACGTTACCTGCAAACTCTTCATTGATGAGTTCGCTTTCTTATAAGCAAATGTTTCTCTCAAGAATTTTAAAAAGATTATTATGGAGTACTTGCTATTTGCCTTGAGAAAATTATGATAGGTTTGATAGATAGATACTTAGTTAGTTAGTTAGTTAACCAACCAATCAAATAAGTGAATCAATTAGTAAATAAATTATTAAAGAGCCAGAAAAATAATAATTAATTAATTAAAATAAAAAACAAGTTAGCAAGCAAGCATTAAACAAATCTTCTATCTATTCTCAATTTAATGTTAATAGGAATATAAATAATATTATAGCATAAGTCATTTCTAAATATTTATCTATATTTGTATGTATATCTATCTATGTGCATTATCACTCAAATGCAAAAAGAAGATTTCTGTTTCCATATTCTTGCTGAATTAATTAATTCGTTTCCAAAAAAAATTTATTTTGAATATTCTTTTTTAATAAAAAGCAAATTTAAAAATCTTTTTGATAAAGAAATTGTGTTTTTTTATTTACGTTTTAAAAATTTTAATTATCTTCTAAACATTAATAATTTTATTAAGCTTGCACACAATAGTTTTATGATTCTCAGTTCAAATTAGTCTCTATATTAGAGTTTGAAAGAAATTAATTTTTGTTAATATTATTTGAAAATTTATGAATTATTCATTAAAATATTAATATAGCAATTTGCTATTTTAAAAATACTTGATTGATTATTGGTAATCAATTAATCAGTGGTCAAGTAGATAATTTTTTTATTACTAAATATAAATCTTCCTATAAATTCTTAATTGAATAATATATAGTAATAATTATAATTAATTTATTTTATTATAGTTAATGTATTAATTCAAAAAAAAATTAATAAAAATTATAAAAACTTAGCTTAAAATTTAAATATTTAATATTTATTTTTGCTTAAATTTAACTAAATAATTTTTTATTTTTTAATAAAATTTATAGCTTATTTTAAAAAATAAATAATCATATTTTATCCTATAATTTTTGATATTTTTTATATAATTTGAAAATAAATTATGTTTCTTATGAATATTCTATTATTATGGATTAATTTTAATCTAGAAACACTTTAAGATATAACCAAAATTCTGAAAAATATAGTTCTAATTTATTATTTATTTATTAAAGTATTTAAAATATTTTTATAAGATACTCAAATTAGTAATTTTCTTTTTAATTTCTAAAATACAAAAAAACTCAAATTAATCATAAAAAAAAAATCAAAAAGACATTGAAAATATATCTATCTACTCACTGTAATCTTATAAATGGATAAAATTACAATCTAAAATTTAAAATGCAATAAGCATCCAAATAAAGACCTTCAATTTATTTAAGTTAATGATGTCCTAGCACAACCTAATTCTACTAAACCTCTCTTTTATTGCTCTTCCTGTTTTAATCATGATCTTCACTTTAAATCTATCAACTATCTTATGATTGACCAGATTTTTTAAGAAGCAGACAATAACATTATCCCAAAATGGCCACCAGTCAACAATTATAAATTAATCTCAGATCTCATTGATCTCACGTCAAATTAATCTTCACTTGACTACGTCAAGCAAATTACAAGCTTCTTTAATCAACTCAAAGAAGAGTTTTTAAATAAAATAGATGTTATCTAAAAAAAAATGATCAATGAAGCCTTGAAATATCCTATTGATAGATAGCATATTATCAAAAGATACTAAGACGTTTCAAACATTCTTTAGCTTAAGTAGCTTCTTAACAATCAATAATCAAATAATCTCCAAGATTATTCAATTCTCTGTAAAGAATTTATCTCTCAAATGGAGTCTCAAAAAGATAAAAATACTGAATAATTGGAAAGTCTGCTTACCTAAGCAAATTAATTGTAAACGAATTTCAACATGGAATATCCTCACATCATTAAAAACTAATTATTTACTTTTATTGACCAAATTTCTTTCTTCAATTTAGATATTCCTGAAATTAGCAGTACAAATCATAATAACAATAGAAATCATATAGAAAGTATTAGAAATCAAAATAATTAAACTGGAGATTTAAAATTAACGTCTGATTTAATCATGAAGCTTGTTTCTAATAAATCAAACTTTTGCTCTGACCAATTCTTAAGCAAGTTAAGTGAGAATCTTTAAAGTATAAACCCTCTACTTAAATAGTTTAGTTTCAGCACAACAGTTTTCAAGGAGAATAAAGAATAAATTGACTTTTCCAAGATTAGTGAGGAAAAAATAAATTTAATAGATGAATATGTTAAGCATTCAATAGCTTTGTAAAGAGGGGAATAGTAATTTGAATAGGAAGTAAAGGATAGTTTAGAAATCAAATAAATGACTTAAATTGTTGATTCTAAAATCAATTTCTTAAGCTAAGAATTCAAATAATAGTTTGAAAAGTTCTTAGTTGATGTAAAACCTTTCTTAAAATAGATTAATTTCACTAATACTTTTACTGACAAAAATAAATTTGACTTCTTCAGAAATTTTAAAGATGAAAAATGGAACGCTTTATTTTAGGAAAATCTACCTAATTTAGATCTAAAATTGTTTGTAACTTAGTTTAATGACGGGTAGCATAAATGTGTGGTAAATAAAAAAGAAAATGGTTATTATGAAATTGAATGTTTAAAACATACTAATTATTGGGTGAATTGTATATCAAATACAAATTTATAAAAAGATTAGAAGTATATTTTTAGGATAAAAGTTGAAAGTCTAAATCAAGATAATGGAATTTATATAGGTCTAATAAGAAATTCATAGGCTAATTAAAATACAGGATTTTATGAGTATCTAAGTTTTTATTTACAGAAAAAAAATCAATCTGTAATTAAATCTGATTCTAATTATGGTATTGATAAATAATTAAAGGGAGCAGGATTTAAAACAAGTGGAGAGAATATGATAGAACTAAGATTGTGTATGAAAGAGTAGGTTCTAGAACTATTAGATTATCCGAATTATGAGTATAAGTTAGGATTAGAGGATAAATATAAAGAGAAGCTTACATAATTTGATGATCTAAGATTTTATCTTGGCATTGGTAATTAAGGTGAGAAATTAATTTTAATGGATGTAAAAATAGTGAATGAGTTTATAAATTGAATTAAATTTTATAAATAATAACAATAATAATATAATATTCGATAGATCTTTTTATTTTTCTTATTTAAAAATTTGAAAAATTATAAAAATACTAAAATCATTTTTTTATATTTTTAAATAAAATTTATAGTTAATCTATAAATTAAGCATATTATTTTATCGTAAAAAATTTTATATAATTTGAAAGTAAATTATGTTTCTTATGAATATCCATACTAATATAATAAATTAATTTTTATCTAGAAACATGATTATATAAACCAAAATTATGAAAAAAAATAGTTCTATTTTATTATTAATTAAAATATTTAATATCTTTTTATAAGATACTCTATTTAATTTTCTTTATATTTTCTAAAATACAAAAAAAAAAACTCAAATTAATCATAAAAAAAATAATCAAAAAATACATTGAAAGTATATCATCACACTCTATTCTAAAAATGGATAAAATTGCCATCTAAAAACTAAATTGCAATAAGCATCCAAATAAAGATCTTCAATTTATTTAAGTTAATGATGTCCTAGCACAACCTAATTCCACTAAACCTCTCTTTTACTGTTCTTCCTGTTTTAATCACGATCTTCACTTTAAATCTATCAACTATCTTATGATCGACCAGATCTTTTAAGAAGCAGACAATAACATTATCCCAAAATGGCCGCCAGTCAATAACTATCAAATAATCTCAGATCTCATTGATCTTACATCAAATTAATCTTAACTTGATTACGTCAAGCAAATTACAAACTTCTTTAATCAACTCAAAGAAGAGTTTTTAAATAAAATAGATGTTATCTAAAAAAAAATGATCAATGAAGCCTTGAAATATCCTATTGATAATTCGCTTATTATCAAAAGATACTAAGAAGTTTCAAACATTCTTTAACTTAAGTAGCTTCTTAACAATGAAAAATCAAATAATCTCCAAGATTATTCAATTCTCTGTAAAGAATTTATCTCTCAAATGGAGTCTCAAAAAGATAAAAATACCGAATAATTGTAAAGTCTGCTTACCTAAGCAAATTAATTGTAAACGAATTTCAACATGGAATATCCTCACATCATTAAAAAGTAAATATTAACTTTTATTGACCAAATTTCTTTCTTCAATTTAGATATTCCTGAAGTCAGCAGTGCAAATCATGATAACAATAGAAATCATTTGGAAACTAATATTAGAAATCAAAATAACTAAACTGGAGATTTAAAATTAACATCTGAATTAATCATGAAGCTTGTTTCTAATAAATCAAACTTTTGCTCTGACCAATTTTTAAGCAAATTAAGTGAGAATCTTTAAAGTATAAACCCTATTCTTAAATAGTTTAGTTTCAACACAACAGTTTTCAAGGAGAATAAAGAATAAATTGACTTTTCCAAGATTAGTGAGGAAAAAATAAATTTAATAGAAGAATATGTTAAGCATTCAATAGCCTTGTTAAGAGGGGAATAGTAATTTGAATAGGAAGTCAAGGATAGTTTAGAAATAAAATAAATGACTTAAATTGTAGATTCTAAAATCAATTTCTTGAGCTAAGAATTCAATTAATAGTTTGAAAAGTTCTTAGTTGATGTAAAACCTTTCTTAAAATAGATTAATTTCACTAATACTTTTACTGACAAAAATAAATTTGACTTCTTCAGAAATTTTAAACATGAAAAATGGAACGCTTTATTTTAGGAAAATCTACCTAATTTAGATCTAAAATTGTTTGCAACTTAGATCAATGGCGGGTAGAATAAATGTGTGGTAAATAAAAAAGAAAATGGTTATTATGAAATTGAATGTTTAGAAAGTAGTCTATTTTGGCTGAATTGTATATCAAATACAAATTTATAAAAAGATTAGAAGTATATTTTTAGGATAAAAGTTGAAAGTCTAAATGAAGGTAAATCATTTACAATAGGTCTAATGAGAAATTCATAGGCTGATTAAAATGCAGGATTTTATTAGTATTTAAGCTGTTAGTTAAAGAAAAATA